TTGGCTATGACCTAGTAAATGAGCTGGCCACACCTTATCTCAACAAGGGTCATCACATAACATTGGACAAAGCATTTGGCTCTGTTGCTTTGGTTGATGACATGCTGAGGGAAAACACGCATGTGACATGCATGATAAACGCTGGTAGGAGAGGTCTCCCTGCAGGCTTCAGGACTCTTCGTGTTGGGCAGGATGAAGTCACAACCTTCTCCAAAGACCACACAGTCCTCTTGAAATATGGATCAACAAAGCAAGTTTCCATGCTGTCATCCCTTTATTCATCCAGGTATTTAAAATGTTTTTGCAATTTAATTCATTAAGTTTACTTCTTCATATAGAGAATGTCATTTATGTTATTGGATAGTGGGTTAATGACTTGGTATAATTAACTTGGGGTTTCCTGAACTTAAACCCCCATGTTTCTCAGTTTCTAGATAACACTAACAACCTTTCTCCATGTTGTAAGAGCTAAAAGCTATACAGGCCAAAATCTGCTTTTGAATGTTTCTAATCGAGAAAATGTGTAACATAAATAAGTATACATAAAAGTATTTTACCACCTTAAACTGAATTTTTAATGTTTTGTTAGGTTAATGATTACCTTTTTAACATTTGAACACCTAATAAAGGGTGCAATTACATCATGTATTACAATCATGCACTAAAATAAATATTATACACATTTAAGAAATGTTAAAAATCCTAGAAAATAATGATTCTTACTTCATTATATTTTCAAAAATGACAATAAATGCTATGGTAGATCTTTATTTTATATTATTGATTATAAAGAACAGATCACCCTTTCAATTTTGCAGGATGATCCAGACAACGAATGCGAGGGGTAGGGAAGTTCGGAAACCAGAAATGGTACACCAATATAATCATTCCATGGGAGGTGTTGACAGGAGTGATCAAATGCTGGCCCCTTTCAACCCACATATAAGATCGGTTAAGTTGTGGAAGAAACTGCTCATCAACTGTTTGTTGAAAGTAACAGGTATTGTATTAATATTGTAATTAGTCTCACATTCAGCAATGTTTCACTATCACACATTGACTTTTAGGCCAGGGTAAAGGAAGTAAATGTTTCTTTCTTATTATGTAAAAAAATGAAGCAATGTCTGGTTTATATGAAGTTAGTAACATTAGTAAAATCAGTAAAAAGGATAAAATGAGTACATTCAATAAAGTCATGCAAATTTTATAAAGACTATCATCAAATTCAAGTCCCATCATCGATTTTTAATAAGAAAAATAAGAAAAGCATATTTTTCATATCATGGTCTTACACCGTTACAAATAGCAAACATTGTATAGTTAATTTTACACTGCTACTCTTACTATTAAAAATTAAAAAAAGTGCTGCTTACTACAGACAAATTTATTTGCATGACATCCATTGCATATTTCCATGCATTTTGTTCATTGTACTTTAAGTTAACTCCTACATTGCCTACAAGACAGTTGGTGGTCGGTTGGACCATAGATCCTTCCACAATGCCCTCCTTCATGACCTGGTGGGGGACTACCAAAAAGAAGCAGTGATAGGGAGGCCAAGGTCTGTGTATGTTGAGGCAAGGAACCCTAGGTTGGTCTCAAGGTGCTTCCCTGATCTTATCCCTGGTAAGTATTCAACAAGTTCACACTAAGTTGCTAAATAAAGTTTCAAGGCTAAGAGTATTATATTGACTGAATTGTATGAATAATGAAAAATATTAAATAATTGAATAAATAGAAGATGCATTTATTTGTAGTTTACAGAGTGTATCATAGAACCTGATCAGCTGGAATAATTCATAATGTAGTCAGTATTTAAACAAATATATAATATAATAATTCCTCCATGAAATGGGCCTGATGTTATATGTCATTATAAATCATTTGTATTGGTATACTGTGCTTCAGATGGCAAGAGAAAGATATGTGCTGTGTGCGCAAAGCGTCCTCTGCACAACAAGCCCTACGCAGGCACAAGAAGCCGCTATTGGTGCCCTGACTGCAGAGTTGGACTTTGCATTACTCCATGCTTCAGGCGCTATCACACATTGGTGAATTACACCCCAGCAATGCCAGCTCCAAGGGAGGAAGAATGAGTGCCATATATGCATTGTTTAAATTATGAGCTTTCAATGTAGTACCATATTGTGCATGTAGCTAGTGACAAGTAATACCGTGCTACATGTATGTTATTTGCCCGAATCAGCCACCTGGTGGCGAAACTGGTAACTACCTACTCACATGACCTACTCACATGTGAGTAATAGTCTAAATGCGAGTAGAAATTAAAAATTCACAATGCAGTCAAACTGATATCATATTTGGAATCTACATGTAAAATCACACCTAGAAATGTGGTTTTGAAAAGAGTTTATCAACTTTGAAAGTTTAATTTTCTTTGAAAATGTGACTTCTTGGTCGGGGAGATTCCCCATAGACCCCATGTTGTAAAACCACAAAAAGTGAAATATCTTTTCTTGTGTTGGGCAGATAATATTTTCTTTCACTGTACATGTTTTAATTTGTATTACTATCACATACATAAGGGTAATGTGAAAAGTGAACCACTAAAACTGATGAATATTCAAATTTAAGGGAATTTAAATCGGTATACAATTTTGCCAATTGACTTCAAGAGCGGTACTTTCAAGGTCTCTATTTTTATATAAATATACTATATATACGTTATGTTCCTATTTATTAAAAAATATAGAATATTTATTAAAATTATCTATCATGTTGTTCAATATCTAAAAGTATACAAAAAGTTAAAACAGTACAGCAGTACCTTTGTTAGTATTAAGAAAAATTGTCAAAAAATGTTTTATTCAAGATTTTTCAGAAATGCTATTATGATGTCACTGTCATTTATTTATAGGCCTTTATATGATATTTTTGAAACCTTATGCTATTAAATAAGGAAAACCTCTGATGTATGGCTTTTTAATCTCTAGATAGCGCCAAGAGGGAAACTTTATTCATTGACATTAGCTTAAGATATAAGAAATACTACAAATGTTTACTTTGAGAAAGATACTACAAATAGTGTAAAAATCAGTATTTTTAAATGTATTTAATTAACCCCGTTACCATGGAAACCGCGAAATGTTATTGTACCTCATTTCAGTCTCCATGCGTAGCCATGCCACTTTTTCACATAATTGTGCAATTTAAAGTCATAACTATCATGAATAAGAGAGTTAAAAGAAATCTAATAATTTAGGTCTATTTTGATCATTTTCACTAAAATAAGTCGGCACTGGCAAAAGGCACTTTTTAATTAAGTTGGCACCTAAGAGGTTAAAGCATTTTTGGGATTTTGGAATCTCCTTGGCTAGATTTTTACCAATATTGGTAAAAAAATTATTAAATCCATTGGAAATGATTTCATGATCTGTTGTTTCCTTTCCATTTATAGTGAATTTAGATGGCAATGCAGCTTTTTTGTTTTTTCCAAGTAGTTCATTAATGATAGACCAAGACTTTTTAATGTTACCACTTACTTCGGCAAACTTAATTTGATAATGTGTACGTTTTGAGTATTTAATTATGTGCTTAAGTTTATGGTTGAAGGACTTGTAAGCTTTTCCTGTTTTGCAACGGGGATTTTTCAAATATTTGGTATATAGCTTATTTTTAGTTTTGGCAGAAGTTAAGATGCCAGAAGTCAACCAGGGTCTATTAGGATCATGATTAACTTTGATAAATTTGGATTTGAGTGGAAATGAAGAATCATATTGTTCCATTAACAAGTTAATGAAGATATTAAATGCTATGTTTACATCTTGACTTTTATAGCAAGGGGTCCAGTCGACATTTGAGAGTTTCTCAAGAAATAATTGCTTATTAGAGTCATTGAAATTACGATAACTGCTTAATGTTTTTTTAGATTTAGTAGTATCATAATGTGAAATGGAATAGATTGGAAAGTGATCAGAAATGTCCTCCATGATGATACCACATCCATCAATATTAGGGACATTAGTAAAAATATTATCTATAAGAGTTGCAGTCTTGTCAGTAATTCTTGTCGGCCTATATATTAGTGGGACATGGTTGAATGAATAAAACTGGTTCAGAAAATCATGTGTGGGTTCATGAGATTCAACCTTAAGTAAATCAATGTTGAAGTCACCCATGATGTAAGATAATTTACCCTCATCTGCTATTTTATTCATATAATCACCCAAGTCACTATTAAAATGTGACACATCAACACCAGGTGGCTTATATATGACAGTAATAATGATATTTTTTGAGTTTTGACTGATTAATTCAATAGCTACTGATTCACACTCTAGATTATCAACCCTAAGGTCATTGCGTGTAATATACTGCAAGGAGTTGTGAACATTTATACAGACACCACCCCCTCTTTTATCTATTCTAGAATTACATTAACATGTAGATGATTTTGAAAAAAAAATTAGTCAATTTGAAGCAAGTTGAAAAAAGACCTTTTTGACCTTTTTTGACTTTGAGAAGGTCATTGAAGGTCAAATGTCAAATCTTAAGTCAAATCTAAAGTCAGATTTGAATTTCTGAGAACACGTAGATGATTTTGAAATTTTTTTTAGTCAATTTGAAGCAAGTTGAAAACAGACCTTTTTTGACCTTGAGAAGGTCATTGAAGGTCAAATGTCAAATCTAAAGTCAGATTTGAAGGTCAAATGTCAAATCTAAAGTCAGATTTGAATTTCTGAGAACATGTAGATGATTTTGAAAAAAAATTTAGTCAATGTGAAGCAAGTTGAAAAAACACCTTTTTGACCTTGAAAAGGTCATTGAAGGTCAAATGTCAAATCTAAAGTCAGATTTGAACTTCTGAGAGCATGTAGATGATTTAGAAAAAATTGAAGTCAGTCTAAACAGTATTTGTTAAGTTATAGGAAGTTGTAAGTAATTGTTACAGACGCCGGACGCCAACCGCCGGACGCCAACCGCCGTCGCAAAAAACGGAGACCATAACAATATGTCACCACTTTTTGGTGGTGACATAAAAACGACTAGAAACCATGCAGTGGACACGATCAGACGAAATCTTCCTACAGAATGTACATCAGTGTGACTACCAATGACGATGTAGTAAGTAGTACGGGTGTAGACAGAAAGGTGGCGCTGTTACAGTAGTCATTATTGCAGTAGCAAGTATCATGCAGGTAAAATCCTTTAATAAACCTCTTGGGCTTAAAGCACTGGTCATTCATGTGTGTTACAGCACAACTTCTTAAGTATCTTACTGAAAATAATCAATACAACATTACAAGCACTTCATATACGTTTAGGCCTCCTACAGGTACATTAAAGAATATCATAACAACATCATCGCGATAGCCACGTCCCATTTGTCTTTATCCTTCTCTCGCAAACTGCAGATAAGAGGGGCTCTGGCATACCAGAATGCCCTTTTCCCTTTTTTGATGTCATCGCGATAGCCGCGCCCCCTAAATACCCTTCCAAAGTCTCTCGCAAACGGCAGATAAGTGGGCCTCTGGCATGCCAGAATGTAACAACATTACAAGCAGCTAATATATTGGGCCTATACAGAGACATATAATAACATTATGTCTCTGGCCTATTGATACGTTCACGATCATTACGAAATTACAAGCAGCTAAAATATTACGTCTACTACAGATACGTCCACGATCATTACGACATTACAAGCGGGTAAAATATTACGCCTAGTACAGGTACGTTCATAATCTTGGATCAATGAATCTGGGACTGCAAAGTATTTTTCTAAACTTTTTCTTATATGTAACTGACCTCCATCATTCTCTGCAGCAATCCTTCCTTTGAAACATCCTAACTCACAAGTTGCTGTATTGGACGGGTCAATGTTGGTTTGTTGGCCACAATCAGAATGTTCACACACGTAACATATGCTGCAGTCTCCTAAAAGTACATCTAGACTTTTATGGGCAAGTAGAAAATGGGAATTTAGAGCATATCTCAAGTCGTAATTGTATTGTGTTGTATTGTATTGCATTGTATTTTATTCCATAATACTACTGTTTTCCCTGGGAAATAAAATCATATTATCCTTCTTAAAATCATATATACTCGAAAAATCATATTGTCCCTGGAAAAATAAATTGGTTTTCTACTGTGACGTGTAGACATGACTTCAAAATCACCAAAGAGTCTCGTGACATTCTACATTTCCCTCATCCCCAAGCTTAGATCGTGATCTGTGAAGGTGTGACACTGTATTCCCTGAAGTTTGAACTGCATTTTTTACTTCAATACTCACCGATTGCTAAACTTGAAAATAGGATACCTAATGCCATAAGGAGTGTGAGCAGCGTCATATTGTACTAGGCTACACCTTTTTGTTTCCAAAGCACGTAAACTGTTTTACCACTCCAAGGGGTTTGTCATTCGAATAAGTGACTGTTTTGGGAACTCTTGGCTACAATAACTATGGTAACCTGTATGAGCAATCCATTGTTTTAGTTATTGGTTGTTTCGTCATAAGGAAAGCTTTGATTGAGACTAATTTTAGGATATTAAGTCTTAGACGTAGACGAGTAGGAGCTGGGAATATTTTCACAATTAAACTGTATTAAAGGGTAATTTTAATCTAAATTCCTGATATTAATAAATCTATCCGTGTTGGGTATTCAATAAAATTATATTTATTAAGTCTACGTGTATATGCCTAAAAAATGTCTTACCATTCCATACAGTTCGGTAATTTTTTAACAATATTTGTTCTTGGAATAAAATCATGGTTTAGTATTCCCAGATTTGTTCAAGACTATTCAAATAAAGAAAATCAATTTTTTAAACTTTTGATACTTTACATTACTTTACAGTAGAGTGCGTATCTATGAACCCAAACTGAGAGATTGTTGGCTTGCAAAAAGGCTGAAATGATTCATATTGAATAAGAAAATGAAACTAAATTATCATCTGAGTCTCAGAAACTTTAAACTTTCCTCGAATTGAGTGTTTATTTTCGGAGTAAAAAATATTTGAAGAGAGGAGGAAGTCATAAGAAAACTATTTATGTAATTGGGTTGATGGTTTCATTTTCTATTGATGAAACTTTAAATTTTAATTCATGCTGATGACAAAATTGCCATATAGAAACATCAGTAGTCAATACAAAAACTCAATTATTCAGTTTAGCTTTTTTAGGTTCCTATAAGCCATTATTGGTCTTATAAGTTACACTTAACATTAATTTGCATTTAAGATGACCCTCTTGTTTAATGAACGAAGACTTATTGAGTATCGTGTAGTGGCATATTATTATTTTAAATGATTTCTATTGAGATCGTGTAGTGACATATTATTATTTTAAATGATTTCTATTGAGATCGTGTAGTGACATATTACTATTTTAAATGATTTTTATTGTTGTGCAAAGAAAATCTGCAAATATCTTAAATACGAGACCTTTGGCAGTGTTATTAAATGAACTGTCAACAGACAAAAGTTATCTCACTTTCGCTCTAAAGAGCATCTCGGGAAAAAAGAACACAAGTTCCATCATTCCTTATTCGACGTGTAAGTGTAAACTTCAAACCCCATAAAAAGTTAAAAACACTTTGGCTTATATTGTAGTCTTACCCAATTTTATCAAAATGTGACATGGGATTTTTTTTAATTTCAAAAAGTGATTTTTGAAAGACTTTTTGTTCAAAGGATCGTGAATTTATTGAAAACTAACTTTTAGAGGCCACACATATATGCGCAGGGCGAGGCGCAAATGTTTTCTGTACCCGACACAACTGGTTCAACCAGTGTTGAAGAACAAAATACTCATCGGCCAGGCGCCGGTGTTGAAGATCGGATCGAAGCAAATGTGACCGTGGTATTAACCGCCATACCGGAGAGATGGCCTAGTAAACAGAGTACCCGGGACCGAGGACCAGTCTATATATAGGCTATTGATATAAAAACGTGTCGCCAGGTCTTCAAAACAGTGTAAAATAGATAACTTTTGGCAGAAAATAGAACAAATTACGGTATGTATTTCAAGAAACATAAAATCAGCAGAAAGCAAAACTACTAGTATACGCTTTTCAATTTTCGAAATTCATTGCATGTCATTTTACATGGGGTACTTGAGATCAAGCACACCGAGAGAGAGAGTTTTGCTGGGAAATGTCAATTCAAAATTAAGACAAACAAATGGATCAAACATTTTTTAACATTTAATGTAATTAATCAACGCGCTTTTAAAACATATAAAAGTTTAATAAGACAATATATTTATTGAGATGAATACTACTTATATAAGTAATAAAACATAAAATTGAACAATGAAAAATATATTTAGGCCTATTTAAAAAATACACATTGGTCGAAGGTAGTTAAAATGAACCAACAATAAAAACGTGTATGCATAAAGTGTTAGTAATCAATTGCACTTTTAAGACAATACGTATTTACAACATAACAATATTTGTGATTATTATTTCCATGCCGTGATACCCGTTCTCTCATTTGTCAATTAGATATCATGTGACTAAAAATATATAAAGCTATTCCATGTCTCCCTGCTTAGAAAACGTGTGAAGAGTGTATTCACCGGCAGTGACGTCCTTTTTAGTGAATACCCGTCCCATTCTGATACTCATAGCATCCTTCTGTTTCACCTGAAACATGCTCTGATATTATGTGGCATATTCTGTGATCTGAGTACATCAGATTGGAAGAGTTGTAACTGTCAATAAGTGTGATAGTTAATATCATGTAATCATATACCTTAATGTCAATACATTATATAATAGACATTGTATTTAACAGCAGATATTAGGTACACAAGTTTAATGACCCCAATTAAATGAAATATGAGCTGGGATGAAAAAGATCTCAAAAATCCTCAATTTTGGGCTCTCCTGGATCGCCAAATCAAGCTCATTATATCATAGCATCTCAGGGCTGAGAAGAAATGAAATGTCATGGTTTATCATGATGGTGAATACCACTATAAATTCAATTAAAATGACGTCACATCACCTAATTCCCTGGAATTTAGTAAAAAGTATTTTCATCCGATATCGATGAAGTTGTATCAGGAAGTCCTCCCAAGAAAAGGTTCACAACTGTACAACAAACAAGGGATCCGGATATTTAAGAATTAACAAATATATTCAAAAAGTCAACTAATCAAAGCACGAAGACTATGGACTTTAACATGGAAGTTCGGAATCTAATTTTTATCCATGGTGTGACTGAGATCGTGAATTATAACAGAATATATATTGGCAAACGTTTGGAAATACGTTGAAACTAAACGCCATATCATAACAATATTGTGTACTTCTAACTTTAATATTGTGTACTACTTTAATGGGGAAATAATAAAACAAATATTGAATTCTGTGATCGTTTAATATCTATATATTTCTGAGGGATGTATTCACCTCGCCCTTCGGGCAACTCCACAGAATTCAATATTTGTATAGTATGCACATGAATTAAGTAATACCATTATATAAGGGTGTCCTTAATTTTCACCAAACACTACGTTTTAAAATGCCTACGCTTTTTGCCATTTGTGAGTTGAACCACGTGACACATACTTTTGAGACATTGGTATCGGTCTGCCTATTGTGGTCCCATACTTTCGAGACACTCTATATATTCCTGAATGATTATATGAGCTTTAGGTTAACCCGAGCGTCTTCAAGCTGCTTGGAATCTTGACAATATGTCTCCTTCGTGTTAGTTGTCCAAGCATCTGAATCTGGATGATACATGAAAGTGTTGGAATCCTTGTTTGAAACACAATCAATACATATCGTTCGATTTTCTACTCCACTTTTAGTTTCGTCGTCAACAGTGTTGACAATAAGTTGCTCTGTCACCTTATTCGTTTCGAGTTCATGTTGACCAAACTCATCTTGGCTCTTTGTGAATACATTGTCCTGTAGTTTGCGTTTATGATTACGTTTAACGAACACGACCACTATGATAATCGAGATAAAAGCCACTATTGATGCTGATGTGCCTACCAATAGCCAAACGTGTCCAATGATACCGTCAACATACTGATCATCAGCTTTACCTACAAAAAGCAACCGTAGACGTTCTTATGGACATAGACATAAACTAACAACATACATCGTAAAACAGTAACAAAAGTGAAAGCGTTTTTGTCTTTTGTGTTGTCTTGTCTTTTGTGTTGTGTTGTGTTGTCTTTTGTGTTGTCTTGTGTTGTCTTGTCTTTCTTGTCTCGTCTCGTATTGTATTGTACAATATTTACAATACAATACATAGCTGTCCTCAAGACACTTAATTTGTTTTTACATCTCATCGCATTGATTTACATCCCTCATTTTAGGCTAAATGTATTACCTGCTAGGATTAACGTCGTGGATTTATCATTCATCTTTGTTGTTGTTGTTATTATCCCAGCTTCATGTGATTCTGACGTAAATTGGCTCAAACGAAATGCCGATTTATGTTCATTTGTCAGTGGCAGACATTCCTCGAGCATTGAGTCCCATGTATAGCCTATTTATGAATAATAACATTGTCATGATTTTTGAGAAAAGTTTGAACTATTAAATATCCCAATAACCAATCTAAAGTATCTTTGTGATGTATATGGGTTATATCAATTTACATGACAGAAAAAATGTTGTTGATAGAAAACACAAATTAATCGGGTTTAACGAATTATACACTATTAAAACGACTCTACCTTCTAGACAGTCTCCACAACGGGTATCAGAGTGTTTCGTACAATTTTTGAGAACGGCTCTCCTTCCTTCACAACCACTGCAAACTGTACAGACGTGTCTTTCGATGTACTCATTTTGACGAGGCTTTCTACATGCAGTGTCCGTTTCTTCGAAACAGTGGTTGACAAAACACTGTCCACGTGGGCATTTTGAGCAGGGAACACATGCCTCCGTTCCATCAGGCAAGACCTTCTTATACTCACGGAGTTCACGGCATGTTAGATCTTGTGAAGGTGCACATTCGATGAATCTCTATAAATGGAGGTAGAATTTTATGTTAATTATGTCAACACCTGGAAATTCATTAATTCTTTTGAACAGAACACTGTACATTGTCGACTATTATTTGTCCATGATATGACTCCGAAATATGAGGAATCCGTTACACGATATAGCGCAGCAACATTTGAACCAATATTTATGGAGGTCCATATGTCATGATTCTTTTAAAATGCCGTTTGCTGAAAAAACGTCGGGCTTTTCGGTCGAAATATGTCTCTCATCACAAGGTAAAACTTTTACACACTTGTCAGTTGATAATTAGTGTGTTTTTCGTCAAAATCAGAACTATTTTTGTCAAAGCTTCATGAATTCGACCAGTTCTTGGTGGTTGTTTTATAAACAACTGAGCAATATCTAACTAGGGGCAAAATAACTTTAGCCGGAGCCACAGTTAGTCAAGGAAGTGCAATAAGGTCTCCTTTATTGATATTTGACCCCTGACGATGGCAGTCTATATCTCAAAATTTATTAAGACCTATTTTTCAAAAACAATATGTCATTCTTATATAAAAACGATTTAATGATACTACGTTGATTCATTTACATCACCAATATTGAAGAAATAATTCAAAATGTCGATTTGGTGATAACGTAATCTGTTTGTAGTTTTAAGAAAAATAACGTTAAAATGAATAGCTGAGAAACCTTAAACATTTTGAATAATTTTCTATCGCATTGTGTGCTCCAAATTTTAAAAAGGTGATTTAGTTTTTACTATTTTTTTCAAATCACCTGTTTATAATATGATGAATATATGGAATAAAATTCCAAGAGAGCTAAAATCATTACCAAGTATAGCATCATTCAAGTACAACTTGAAAAAATTACTCTTCCAAGGCACAATCTCAACAATTACCTTAATGACCCAGATGGACAAAATAAATCTTTACTTATTTGCTCACCCTTCACTTACTCAGGAACAAATTGACAATCTTTTATCAGTGGTGAGCTTATATCTTATTGAGCACGCATAGATACATGTATTTGGAAGCTCGTCTACTTTTGTTCTCAGCCCTACCACTCCTTATCTCTACTGCTTTTCTCCCCTTGTTTCATTCTCTTACATTATACTGTAGCACCATGAAGTCTTCTTTGTGCCACATAGAAAGTACAGATCAGCCATTTAGCCATGGGAGACTATGTCGTGAACCTCTTTTCCCTACTCATACTACTATATCTTTGTTTCCAGGACCCTATAGGCAGAGGCAGCAGCCCCCCACACTCCAATTAAAATGCAGATGCTTTCTTTTCTATTTTTCTTCTAATATATAATTGTGTATAAACCATGTTTACAAATTATAATTATTACATTGAGGGACACCTATAATGCCACTGGCGATTGAGTCCCTCATGTATGATATGTACTTTTAATGATTAATGGCAATAAAATCTCTTGATGAAAAAACAACAACTATTTTTTGACCCCTGCCAATAACACGCATAATTCAGCCGAAAAGCCCGAATATTGAACGTCTATAATAATTTAAAAACAATACTGGACATGTATAGGTATGTAAATATAAGGCCAAATCCTTCATAAGGCGTCCTAGGAATTTCAAGCATGGCCTGTATATCATACTTACCATACTGCAAACTGCAATCGAAAGGAAAAACCCTATGTTTATATCTGCCATATTTCAAAGTCAATGTAACAGGCCTCCTCCGATGTTCCCTCAATTTCCATGTGTATCATTAGGATTGATCGCTGATGACTTATGCCATTAAATGGTCTTGTAGTTTCATTTCTCTATGCGTTTGTTGTAACGTTTTCCTGCGCCCTAATTCTTGCATTTCTCGGAAGTCTATTTAATCAATAAATCCCGGAAGTCACAAGAGTTCTGCGAACGAGGTATATTTGCTTTGTCGTTAGCAACCTAATGGCACATAATGCCACGCGCCATTTCTCAACAACCTTTCAACTGTTCAACTGATTTTTTGAAAAATCAATAAAATAACAAAAACCTAAATTCGAAGAAAGTGACATTGAACTCAGGTTTTTATTTATAGCAATCTATGAAAAGAACCATATGTCAAGCTGTTCATAGATTATCAATGAACAAATGCTCACTGAAAAAGAAATAGGTATAGAATGAATATCTCAATACCCGATTCAACTGAGGAGTTTGCTGCATTTTCTTATTTTAATGTCAATGAGAATAGTACGGTGGAAATTCGCCGAAGTGGTAAACATTTAAGTGTTTGTAATATCAATTTTTCACCAATTACTATCAATAAGAAAGGTCAACAGTCACAATGTTGATTAAAAGTTGTTTTATTTTGAAATTTTATACATGTATAAAGTTATATGTATAAGCTTAATAAGTTGTCTTTCATTACGATTAAATTCCGAAAAGTCTGTCCAGATGCTCACAATGTACTTCATTTAAATTGAATATAGTTGTAGAACTATTCTATTATATGTACAAGCAACCAATGGAAGGGTTATGATATTCTAACTCACTTTCATTATGTATGCTCTAAGCGATGAGAAAACATTTTTATTTAAAATTCATTATGTAGAGAGGAGGAAATAAACCTGAGCTCATAGTTTGTGTTGTATTTAGTTTCTCCCAGCATCACTTTCGGTTCGCGCAAGTTTTCCTCAATGATCATTATTTATTTGAATAAAAATACTCAAATCAACAAAAATGTTTGGAGACGAAATGTATTCTGAAACATAAGCTACTTGACATAGAAAGACCTTTGATGGCAATAGTTCCGATACTCCAGATAATTCAAAGTTAAGCACTTCGAAGAACTCGGTTACTATTCGATTCGAGAATTTATAAAGGAAAAATAAAAACACGTTTCAAAGAAATTTCAAAACACGTGACGATGTATACATGGCTCAAGGGAAAGTACTGGCTGGATTTCGATCGTTTACGAGATAGATAAGATACACCTGACAGTTGGTTGACATGGACAAATTTTTTTTAAATCACACATCAACTAAATATAGTAATGAAGCTCGTAGTTGGTTTTCTAGTAGGCCTACTTTTAACGCCATTTGATTCTGTCCAAAGTAGGTCTTTGAAGAGTGGTGTAGAAAACAAGGACACACGAATAAAATATAAACAAAATGCAATTGGAAATCACCACGCAACCGATTCCGCAAGTGCTGCAAATAAGTACTTATTACCCAAAGCACCAATAGCAAGCAGGATCCGTATCGAGCGCCGAGAGGAGAGGACGGGGATTCCCAATACTTATGATTCTAATGATGGTTTCGATCGGTCATATGAATCAGAGTCGAATGGAGCTACGAGTGATACGCCAAAGAGTCCATCTGCAAGACGAGTAAATGGTGTTTCAATGAGTGTAAATGGTAAAAAGAAAGATGATACTCACAATACTGCAACCAATGGAAGTCCAAGACTTTTTGAGGTATACAAACGGCTAACGAGAAAAAGAAGAAGACGTACCATACAAACGAACCAAGGATACTTTAACTACAAACTCAAGTATTCAGAAGTACGTATATCTAAATAAAACTAGTGTGCAAAATGATATATACATTCTAAATTTCTTTTTTCGTCTTATCTTTTAATACACTTTGTATTAATGTGTATTTTAGAAAGCTTCGATCCACGTGGTGCCTAAGCTGAACTCAATGCATCACTCCAGAGCATTTGATCGCCACGGTGAGTTTATACTTTTATATACATGTAGACTTATATGATAACACTGAAAGATTAAGGTAAATTATGGGTAAATATCCCTACGGTCAGAATGAATCATTTTAGGTGTAACATGAAGAATAAATATCACCCTGCACTTTAGAAAATATTTAAGGGCTTTGACCCGCATGCGCTGAGGTTGAGATCATTAGTTCGGCAAAGGTGTATCGACTTGACATTGGATGTGCTTCATTGACTTAACGAGAATATCACCAATCCCAATAGAAGCCATTGATTTCCATTGATTATCACACATATACACCAAAAGTACACCATGACCTGAATTAGTTATATGCGATCGTCTCGCTGTTTCCTCTCTGTGCCTCAAAAGCACAACAAAGTCGGGTAACTTTATGGACCTTCCCAAGCTTTGGTTACCGTACTTCTTTTGATGCTGTACGTTGACACGATGGTCAGGCGTGTAACATACATTTGCTATTTTGCAGGAAACATCAATGGTTCATGGGAAGCAGTCTCGAGAACTAATATGAAATTAATTATCAACCAACCAAGAAATGCCTCGGATTTCAACGAAGCAGTTATAGTTGTAAGGTCAACAGGAAACTATTTCATATATGGACAAATATTGTTTCATGGTAAAAATCATGAGATGGGTCACTGTTTGTATGCAAGTGATTCATACAAGCCGTGTTGGAAGGCTACATGTGAAGACCGCAAAGTGATGTGTTCTCGATCTGCTCCTGGGCATCCAACGAGCATTAAAGGTCTCCCAGAAAATATCAATACAAACTATATAGGTGGCATTGTATATTTAAAACAAGGCTCTGCCATCCGACTTGGGGTCGTAGCTAACCAACACGTAATGATAAAGGAACCCATACAATTTGACAAAACGATGTGTTATTTTGGGGCATTTTCAGTCTAGCAAAATGATTATTGGATACTTGGTGAAGTAATGATTATTATCAGATAGGAACGAAACCAGGATCTGAAAATCTAAAAGGACAGGTATCGATATGGTGAACGGAATTCAAAAATGTGTTTCTCTTAAACCAATTCTTGAAAACATTTTGTAAAAAAACAAGGTCGTTTATATAATGTTGACTGATTGGCAACAATTTAATGCAATTATTTTATATATGTTTTATATAACTGTTTTTGTTAACATTTTTTGTTTTTTAGTGCAATTGTTTTTTCGTTCCTTTCTACCAATTGAGAATGAAATAAAATGTCTTTCCGAACCTTGTTGGAACAAAACAGCATTTACAACATTTTCTTAGACCTCTCAATATTATAGTTATACAAAGGAACTTTTGGTTGATTTAACAAAAAGTATGCAAAAACTTAAAACAAAACCCCCGAAAATAGATAAAAAATTAAGGTAAACCTTTTATTTCATTAACAAGAAATTTTTTTTAAAATCAACCAAACTTTCCTTTGTACAATTACAATATTGAGAGGCTTAAATACGTTGTGTTAATGTCGTTTTGTTCCAACGAGGTTCGGATAGATGTTTCATTTCATTCCGAACATATGACACCAATAACAAAAGAAGTGTCTGATGTGTTTTCTAAAACGATATAGAAAAAAGTATTTATATTCATTTCAAATTATAATGTTACCATCCAAAAGATGACCATTAAATTGACGATGTGTAGAATTTTCAGAATGTTTTGATGACTGGTTTAAGAGAAATGCGTGTCCAAAAAGTTCTATACCACTCCTTTACAAAGGCGAGAAAACCTAAGATGATATTGATATAATTCTTCTATTTGACATCATTTGTACAAAAATTAAGTGATCTGGATTTTATTTTTGCATTTCTGGTTATCTATCTAGAGGTGATCTATTTTTTTATTGAGATATTTAATTTGCAGCGAAGAACTTAGTACTGTGATGGTATATTTGGTTGACATGCAAACTTGTCTCAATTATCGCCCGCTTTTTTCACATATGTTCTTCACAAACTTCATGACGATCATTAGTTCAACGTCGTTAAACTCAATAACGGCGTTCTTTACTATTAGGAATTTTCTTGGGGCCGTTATTGAGTTTAACCTCTTTACTATTCTTTCCTTTGATGCAAGTTCTGGATCCATCGAAACCATTTTGCCGCGATAACATGCAATTGATACTTGACAATAATATAAAAACACATAACATCAAGCGATTTAACACAATATTATTGTGTTAAATGTTCATTTATACTCGTAAAATGAGGCTACACTTACCGATCTCTAAAATGACATTTCCGCATGTCCGTCATTGTGTCTGTTCGTCCGAGGGTCCCGGATCGTAAAATTAAACTACTAGCGAAACGAAATTGTTGTCAAATAGATTGATAATTATTATCGCGATTACTCGCATTAAAAGATAAATTTTGAGGATTACAGGTATCTTTGATTGATTTATATAGAGCGTGTATTCACGCAAAATAGTTATTAATTGCAAACCTACTGTTTGTAAAAGCAGTGCCGCAATGACGGTTAATTTCAGATACGATTTGCAATTTCGATGTTCCCGAAATTGACCGACATTTCGTTATATTCCAAACCTGTCTCCAATATTTTCGTAATTATGCATCAATAGGGTCTAAGGGGGATACGGGATGGTGTGTATGTATTCATAAGGTATGTATGCATGCTTGAATCACATTCTTTGTGTAATATTACCATGTTTTCAGGGTTTAATTCGTTCCGCTTGTCGAAACCTGCTGAACGATTAAATTAACGCATCAAGGGCAAAATGATCATGGAGGTTAGACCTAGCCGGGGCCATAAGACATGTCAGATAAGAAACGAGGCCCAGGCTAGGTCTAATGTTGTTGGACTAGACGATCATATGCCATGCACATTCTTATTCGATATGGACCACCTTAATCTGCAATGACACCAAGATCAAGAAACCTGCAACATGTAGATAAGATGTATCTGAAGATTATTCAGCTTGGTGGCAAAGCCTACCACAAAACCAACTGGAACCTATATCGATGTATAAGATGACATATGATTCAAAGAGAAAATATACGACCATATAGTTGCTTCATATATTGCTTCATGTACATTTGTATGTAGGTATGGCCACGAAACTATCAGGGTATTTTTACCAATTTGACGAGAAAGAGTCAAAGCATGAGGGCGCAGCTTATGCCAAGGAGTGCTTCTTAATTTAACAGCCTTTTAACGGAAGTCACAATGCTCCAATGGACGTTCTACAAAAACATAATTTTGTACTAAATCTTGTACTAACTAAATGAAAACTATGTTTATTAATTGATTGAAGGATTAACAATTTATTTTCCATAACATATTCAACTGAAAAGTGATGAAATCATGTTTTGTCCCAGGCTTTGGTTCTAGATATAAAGGTTCTTATATGGGTACCTTTGCAAGATGGTCCATTCTTAATGAGTCTCTTAGCTTTGAAGATTCTTCTTTAACGTACGTAAAGGGAAGTTTGTATCATGACTGTGTGTAATATATTTTCGACCTGTATCACTATGAACAGTAAGTCATACTGAGTCTAGTAGAGCTTCGTTGGACATACGTCCATCTGTCTGGTTTGCTTGTGCAAAGGATGTGTAAGCCGTTCTTCTATATAACTGTAGGACTCCACACAGCGTCATTACGATGACACATAGTAAGAGTACCATAGGAACCACTACATATTGTTTTCCCATACCTACAAACAGAATGATTTTCAAAATTTCTCACAATTTTGGTTCTAAACTTTACCGCCTGTACAGTTTTGTATTCATAAATCTATTCAATATACATGTACCCCGGTATACTTTTGTGTCACCTCATAATGAGTCGAGACTTATTTGAATATGCACTTCGGTACACGCCTTAGTTGAATAAAAGTATATGCATTTATTTCTAAATCATGCCATTTAGTATTTGCAAAGACGCATGTACCAAATAGCAATTAACTCAAGACAGGTATTAGTTTTAAGACTACATACGAACGGATTGACACAGAAAACATTACCCGAATCCGCCGTTGCGGTGACGTTAGTTGTTTGATTCATTTTATTCCTTATTACTGCTGAAACTGTTGGTCTTGATTGATCAATAACTGATACAGTTGTTTCAAATCTATTGTCTTTAGCCTTTATTACTGGACGTTGTCGAACACAGTCTAGTATCAAAGAGTCCCATAGAAACCCTATAACAAAATTAAAAACGTAAAATAATATAAAATATATTATGATTAATATAATGTAGATATTATAAAATCTGAAGCTATATTTAATGCTGATTAAACTGAATTAAACTAAAAATCAACAAAAAATAAAATGGTCTGGATTACCAGCAATACATCCACCACAACTAGTATCCGAGAATTGCGTACAATTACGTAATATTATTCTCTTTGTTCCACAATCACTGCATATTCTACAGGTGTGGCCAAGTATGAATTCATTTTTATTAGGCATTCTACAAATGCTGTCTTTGAATCCAAAGCAATGACTGGCAATGCATTGTTCTTCTTTGCATCTAGTACAGGGTGTACATTTGATTGAACCGTCTTGTAATTTCATCGCATATTGTGAGATGTCTTCACAAGGGGTACTTTGCACCAAGCTCTACAAAATGAGGTTCATACAAGAGATCATACAAGAACCCAAGTCAAAAAATAATATGTTAAATATAGAATATATTGCTAGTGGTAGCTTTTAAAGAACAATGTAGTGGCCTTAGAAACGACATTGTCAAATGTTAATGTGATCCCTATGGGACCCCTTTAATAATTACTCACCATATAGTTAAACGTAATGGCTGTGGCGATTTTGTGTTGCAATCTGCTACGATTCACAATCGTTACTAAAATTAGTACAATCCATGATTCAAATTTTGCTATGAATGTTAACATATTGTTCAACAATCTCAAGTTTTTAGGACGAGTGTCTTGCCTGAATATTAATCTATTATGGGAATCAAAATAAGGTAATGTTAAGAGTCATTCTGAGAATTGAGACTTCCGTCTATTTGGATAAATATAGTTATCGTACGATATTTGTGAATACACATTGATATATCGATGTATATGATTAACAAGTTGATGTCAAAGCACGCTTAATGATATAACAAATGCTTACATGTTAGTTGGAGTTCTCAAGGAGCGTCCTTGTCGATTCCAAGAAGTCCTTATCATTATATACGAGCTAAAAAACCGGTCAAATGTCACCTTCAGCTACATGAAAAGATACATGATAACCCGTTTGAATTTTCTGGAAGACGTTACAAGTGGACTTCTCGCGCTTGGTCAAACTAAGTGGCCACTCTTTTTGCGGCCAATCGAACTTACTATGAGGAACCTAGACTTCAACATAGTTTTTTGGTCGGCTTTAGTTGTTGCAATACTCGTTTCGTTGAAATGTTTTGCAACTCGTCTGAAGAAACCATCTGAAATCCATAGCCCGATTGCAGTTCAAGAGAAGGAGAAGGAAACCAACAGGGACCCAAGTATGAGTCGGATTATACACGTTCCAGGACGATTACATGGGCTCAATGCGTGGAGCAATGGCGGTGCGAGAAAAAAACGTGCAATAGAAAACCGAATTAGAAAAACAAGACGAAAGAAAACGAAAAAAGCAAAGATACGTTATTTAAAACTGTATTATAACATTCTAGCTCTCTCTCTCTAGTATGTAAACGCTGTTCTGGATTTCTCCATTTCGTAGTTAAAAATAGTATATAACATTTCAGAAAGCTTCAATTCATGTGATACCAAAGATACAGAATAATGAACGTCCAATTCCAGCGTCATTTGACAAACAAGGTAGGCCACGTTTAATTGGCTCATTGATCTTTAATTAATTTTATGTACTTTTATATATCTTGACACATGGTGTATATTCTTGAAGAAAGTGTTACCGATAGCAATGTCGCAAAACCTCATAAAACACATACATGTAGCTCATTTACAAACTCCTAAAGGACCATTGTATGTATATATGATAATACCAGTGTGGCAACTCGAACTGGAAGTCCTTTTTAGGATCACTTGATCAATGCCTGTCTATGTTCGGTCATTTGAAAATATTTATCAAATTTGTCATAAAATAAATTCCAAACTATTGTTATTGACAGTCAGATTTGCTATCCAATAATAACGATTCTGGATGCAACATTTATGGAGGGGAGTGTATGTTTACAGGAAATATAAACAGTGCATGGGAGGTGAAATCCAGCTTCAACATGAGATTCATCATCGACTCGCGTCCTCGAAACGAATCTATCTGCTTCAACGAGGCTTACATTGTGATCAAATACACTGGGAGTTATTTCATATACGGTCAAATCTTTTTCCATGGTCAAAATCATGAGATGGGCCATTGTTTGTACGTCGCTGATAGATATCGACCATGTGGGTGTTCTAGAGCGTCATGTGAAGACCGTAAGGTTATGTGTTCACGCTCGACACCAGGGCATCCATTGAGCTACAAAATAGTCCAGAATATCAACACTAACTATATAGGTGGCATTGTATATTTGAAGAAGGGTTCTACGATACGCCTTGGAGTTGATGCAAACGAAGATATTAGCATGAAAAAGTCCATCGAACTGGACACTTCGATGTGCTACTTTGGAGCATTTGCAGTTTAACTATGTGTTGATTTGACAATAGTGGCAACTAAAGGGCATTCATTCAAAAAGGTGGACTCTAATCTATCGTACTTACAAGATTTCTTTCATTAAAATACACAACTTCTTGCTTTGCATGCTTTGGCGGCATGGGTAAAAGGTGAGAGTTGGCGAGATGTCTAAACTACATCCGCTTTCAATCAGGGCAAAACAGATCTAATCCGCCAGTTATTTACACAGGTAAAGATAAACTAATTTTTCTTGAAAATCATTTAACGAAACGTTTTGGATACACATTCACAAAACTACCTTGCACGGCATGAATTACATGACACATGGATCATATCTACTCTTTAGAATAAATAATGTACTTAGAAACTAACAATTGATTGACACTAGAGTACATCGCTGGCTTAAAATAGATTTCAAAGAATAAAGTTGTAGGACGAAAAAGGAATATTCGAGGTCACCGCAACAAGGAAGAAGGAAATGAAAAACCTATGTATTGAATCGTGAAAATGGGGTTAATTGTATTTTTTTTTAAATAAAATGTTATTTACATTTCCTGTTAATTTGTGAGTTATCTCCGCTTATGATTTGTATGAAGTCACCCCACCCTTACCGATAAATCGGTATTGATATACTATGATATATCAATATATATATAGGATTGAAATAAGTCAACACAGGCGTTGATGGGATGGTGGGAATAGAAGAACATGGATCGGAACAACACTGAATTTTATTTTAATTCTACATTCTAATTGTTTGTCTGATGTCCCTCTTAATCCTGTTCTATTATTGTCCATTTTGGAAGAAACTGATCAAATCGAATCATTTGAATGTGAAATTCGGTGAAGATTCACTGTATACAAATTTTGGCGGAGGTCATAGGCTGAACCCTCAAATATCAATATGTTCCCATACCAATCTGTCAAATTTCAATGTGTTTCCATACCAACGAAAATAACTCCCAAATGCCATACCAAATGTCCAAATATAAGACCAATGCCATACATAATGTCCAAATATAGGACCAATACCATTCCAAATATCCAGATATAAGACCAAGGGCATTAAAAATGCCTAAAGCCCCGGGGACAAGCAGATCTTTGAGGATAACCATCAATAACAACCACAAATTAAGGATATATGTAACTACTAGACCTATGCCATACCACAAGTGAGAGGTAACGTATTTTCTACGATCATTCTCATACCAGAAAGTGTAAAAATCCGACCAATGCCATACCTCAAAAGTCATAATTTGCGGGCATATTCTCATACCAGATTCTAAAATTTGGGTCCATTACCATACCAAATGTCGAAAGGTACCCTATGTGCGCCGAGGATCTCCGTCAAGGTTTATATAAAGAGAACCCCCCGGGAGATTCTCACTCTGATGTCCTTGTATCCTGCTCTGATGTTGTCCATTTCGGGAGAAACGGAGTGTTGCTCTCAGTTTGAGTTTGTATTTTCCTTTTCTGAATCTGTAGGTATGCCATGGCAGCAAATAAAATAACCAACACCGCAACGCCGACAGAAACGCCTACAACAGAAATCATTGACACTGTAACCATTGAGGCTCCTCCCCATCTTTAGACTATGAATGAAACTACTGAGTCATTTCAATATCTTATTGTTGGTTGGTTTCGTCACTTTCGAGTTATTGTACTGGAATTCCACCATATCTCTTACCAGCTGATATTCCAGCAACATCAGCGAGAGCAGTAGCATTTGATACAGACATCAATGTTGTCAGCTGCTCGATTGCATTAGTTGGGTTGGTTACTTTCGTTGGGGCTGTACTTGTGGACGTATCTGACATGCCTTTATTCTTGGAGGGCACACAGTCCTCGATCATTGAGTTCCATATGTAATCTAAACACAAATAAAAGAGATGCAGTGTATGTATGGAATAAGTTATGAGTACATGTACATGAAAATAACATGGGACTCCTCTTTTGTAAACATGCCAATATATCTAATAAATTTATTCAACTCAGAATAAAGATTATGTTTATCTCAAATTAACACAATGATTTCGGTGTGTACATAGAAAAAATAAATTGAATAATGGATGATTTTAGAAATTATTTTCAAAATAGTTCTCGACGACTACATTTGATTATAACAGATTATGAGAAAGTAGTGATAAAAATCAACCACTTTTCACAAAGGTCAATTTAACACTTGGCCATAATCCAGGTGGCTGTTTCAAAAGTGTGTTTGGGTGGTCACGTAAAAAATTGGGCCCAAAAATTTTGTAGGGCCTCAAGAAATGGGCCTTTTTGGGCCTTGTTGGACAAAATTTGGGCCTTTAGGATTATTAAGCCAAATTTTCAAAAATGGGCCTTAAAGTTTCAAACTTTCGGCCCAGTTTTTGGTATAGGGGCCCAAAAATCTTTTCCCCGCTTTTTTTCAAACTTGAAATGTGGGCCCCGTGCTAGCTTCTGGATCTGCCCGTGACAACTGTGCTAAACTGTGTTCTCATTGACCGTGAAGTCATCGTAAATAATGAACAGCTAAACTGTGTTCCCATTGACCGTGAAGTCATCGTAAATAATGAACAGCTAAACTGTGTTCCCATTGACCGTGAAGTCATCGTAAATAATGCACAGCTATACTGTGTTCTGATTGGCCAGGAAGCCATATAGAATATCTACAAGTAGCTATGGGTGAAATACCAGTTTTGCAGTCTCCACAAACCGTATCAGAATGTTTTGTACAGTTGCGCTTCACTGTCCTTGTATCACCACAATTGCTGCAAACTGTGCAGACATGCGTCGCAATGTATTCATTTGAACGAGGCGATCTACATACAGTGTTTGTATATTCAAAGCAATGTGCGGCAACACACTGTCCCCCGGGGCATTTCGTACAAGGAACACAGTTAGTCGTGCCATCCGGGTATTTCACCATATATTCTTTCAGTTCATGGCATGTTGTACCTTGTGAAGAAGGTGCACACTCTATTGATGCCTGGGGAGAAAATAATTGGAAAAATATAATTATGCAATAAAATATGCATAATTGGACCACAATTCTCATAAATCACATTGTATATAACATACTGTCCTCGTAGGCATCATTTAACAATGTGAAAAAATACAAATTCATTGCATAATATTTGCATCACGTCACACTACTGTGACTTAATTCCAAAGCTGCATGATACCATGTTTACTCACCATACAGTTAAGAGCCATTGAAGCTGGAAGAAACCAGATCTCTTGGTATTCCCCGCGATTCGGATTCACCGTGACCATTATAACAACAATCCACAGTTTTGTTTTTGCCCACATGTTTTGATCATGTCAAAAATCACTACATCTATCTCAGAATTTGAAAATCAAGTTGTTTTTATTGATAGTTGTATTTGTACTTTTATGTGATCAATGAGGTCAAAGTGATAAAAAGTTTGATCAAAATATTTGTTTAGTGGCAATTTCTTTTTATCTCTTAAAGTTGTACAGCTTGGTGTCAAGTTTAAATGATATTCCACAGTTCAAATACCAGACTTAAAACCCCTGGATTTATGACAAAATAAATGACCATGATAACAAAACATTTCTAAAAATGTATACTGAAATATTAAACAAATAGGACGACAATGAAATAACTGAACCAAAAACCATATGAAATATTCAGCCGTAATTTGATATAGCATATGGACTAGCCAACTAGCCGATGACACTTACATTTGTGTCTCTATATATTTATATTTGTAGTTATAAAACTGCTGCGTAGATTCAATAAACAAAAAAACGAAACTGAATATAGAGTTAAAGATGAAATCATTAGCTACTGCTGCGCTATTATTTCTGGTCTTCGACCCAGTGCAGAATTTACTGACGATTCGTCTGTCGGGTCATATGAAAACTGGGAAAGTAAGCGATGAAGAACCAAAAAGAACAAACAATGAGGAGAATGATTTTGAACACAACATATTATCAAGCAAAATTAACAAAACAAATGTGGAATATCAGGTGAAATTTGAAAATATTCTCAATGCTTCTTACCCAAATGATATTAAACTGCGTCCAAATGAGGAAACTCCACAGACATTCGAGTCAAGGATGAATCGTCTACTAGTTGATGAACCAATTAGAGCCAGACGAACAAGGAGAACCTTGCATAAAAAGAAGTCCGTAAAAAGAAAATCCAAAAAATCGAGGGTAAGTGCTTAAAATACGTTTACCTGTCTAAAGATAATGTTGCTAAGAAAAAAATCATACGATATTTTGGTGATATGATATAAAAAATGCACAATTGCTCCCAAATGGAATGAATATTTCAATTTAAAGACGATGCGTAATTTATGACCGTTTACTATGTGCAATAAGATATTATATAAAACATGATCACATCAAACAAATCTTATTCAGAGAAGTGCCTCGTAAACAGTTTTTCTGAAGAAGATTTTCAATTCGGGTAAAGGAACGTTGGTTTGTTTAGCCCCATTAATACATCTGTAAATTACAGCACAGTGTGTTAATGGTAGTACTTTTGGTAATTTTATTCGTCACACTGATCGGAGATGATATCCAATCTTATCACACACAATAGTTTATCTCTAGGCTTGAACTTATGACACCCAATAGTTTCTAAAAATTAGTAAAGCACGTGATCCAGTAAAGGCTGTATCTTCAGCTCTAGCTCAAGTTTATTCGTGAACATGCCATATCCACTATTATTCCATAGTTAGCATGATATTCATAGGATAACATGTGAAAATAAAAACGGTATTTTTGTAATCAGTGGTAAAATATGATATTTTTGACAAATTTTCACTGAACCATAACATACGGTTTTTTAGCCATGACATACGACGTCGTATGCGATGGTTTATGGATTTTTGCTACTTCAGACTCAAAACGAGGCTTAGTGTCAACATCGCCGGATCGTTTGGAAAATTCGAATTAAATTACTTAATTTCCGACGATTCTGATGATAACTTTAACTATGGAATAAAAAGAACATCCTATGATTTACTCGTGATATGATTTTAATCCACTCATGGTTATTGATATCTGCACTCTCTCGCTACGCTCGCTCGTGCTGATATCATATCCATTCGTGGATAAAAATCATATCACTCACAAATCATAGGATATCCTCTATTTACCCATCTTATATCCTGTTTGTTCATTAATTGTGAGTATGTACTTCCAGAGAGGGTCCATTCATGTGATACCTAAAATAAAGTCAAAGTACCCACTTGCCACATCCTTTGACAAACACGGTAAGAAATATTTCTGTTTTGCATTGTTTTTTAAACGTGCGTGATAGTGTGACGTTGTTCATGCATGTACTCATTTTATACGGCCTACATTTTACAAGCATACGGATGAGTATCTAATGATTCCCAAATTGTCCAACGTATACTAATTTGGAATACTGCAAAATAAAAGCCTTGTATGATACCGTTCCCAGTTTCAAGCTGACACTGGAGTTGTAGATCTTGTTCTTCCTATTTCAGGAAACATCAATAGCAACTGGGAAGCAGTATCGACAACGAGATCAAATTTGAAACTGCGTATCGACTCACCACGAAACGCGTCGCTGTACAACGCGGCATACATTATGGTAAAATACACCGGAAACTATTTCGTATATGGGCAAGTTTTTTTCCATGGTCAAAAACACGAAATGGGACATTGTTTACACGTAGCTGATACATACAAGCCGTGTTCAGAGACAACGTGTGACGACAAAGAAGTCATGTGTTCTCGAACAGCTGCGGGGCATCCAGAGAATGACAACATTGTCTATAACATCAATACAAACTATGTAGGCGGTGTTGTGTATTTGAAACGATATTCAACCATTCGACTCGCCATTGATGTTAAACAGAACATAAACAAGGCAAAATCCATTGAACTGGACACATCGTTATGTTACTTTGGTGCATTTTCAGTTTAAATGTGCAAGGGAGGATAACTTATACGTTTGAATAGATCTAAGTACGGGAACGTGTTAAATTGTAGTTATCTAGGTATTACATCTTCCTTTGGAAGTCATTACTTGCCAAATTGAATAATTGTAATTGTTAGTACCTCAGTTGAAATACTCGATTTTGATTGGTCAACGAGCGGTGAATAATTTTAACTGTACACCGCGCAATGCATTGCCGGTGAATAATATTCCCAGCATTCCACTAAAATGACGTCATTATCAGACGATAAAATGTCCGCCGCTAGCACTAGCCGTTTCAAAAATGTTGAAGATGAGGATATTATTAGTCTCTTAGAGAGTAAAGACAGTCAAAATACGAAGAAAAATCTAAATCTTTGTACAAAGCTTTTAGTGAACTTCGCCCAGGAGAGTAATTTGACTCCATTGAGTGAACTTACTGCCGATATACTGAAATACAACATGAACGTCTCGAGGGTCTGGATCCAACTTCAAGTCAACTTCAAGGGTCAGAAAAATCTAAGATATTCTTCGGACTAACAAAACAATTATAGACCTCTCCATTCGGTTTACTGTCAAAATTATATCCCTCGACTGTAAACCTCGACCTACGGTCTCGGTTTGCAGTCTCGGGATATAATTTTGACAGTAAACCTCTGGAGAGGTCAATAATTGTATATTGTTTTTTATTAACAACACTAATAGCCACGTTCAATACAAATTTAAGGAAATACCTTGTATATGTCTAAAGAATGTCTAAATAATAGGTCTTTACCTGAAATTTTTAGAAAACATTCAGTGGATTCTTAATGAGTATTTCCTACCTTCCTTTATCATTTGCATCTGCTATATGAAAGCGGGGCTGGGCAAGGTGTTCCTGCCCCTCAGACCGCCAATTTTAATGGCCTATGAAGATAAAGCAGTTCCTTTTATTATAAGCTAAGTTTATTTAAAAAGAGACACACTCTGGATTGCAATTTATTTACAATTACTTTCAAATTAATTCCTGACAAGCAAAAAGTGGGGTTTACACAATCATTGTGCAGAAGAAGGGTCCCTGTAAGGCAAGAAACAACTTTGCATCGTATGTTTACCACTAAATACAGCAAACCACTGTTACACTTCTTGCCCTACGACCCTTCTTACTTCGCTCTCCCTTAATCTATTTTACATATCTATGCTTCTGTACTATGTAAATAATATTTAACACTTCGTATCTGATGTGTTTGTCTTTTTAGACATTGACCTTGCAAAGAAGATGGAAAGGTAAATAGAGTATAAACGGTTACTTTGATTTAGAAATTTTGTGAATATTGTACGGTGGATGATTATAAAGTTATCATAGTATCTATCTATTTTTATGATCACCCCTCGTATCTTATCAGATCATTATTCTTTCGTTTCCCTTTTTCTTACTATGAGACGTGTTTGCATTCTCCATTCTACTTTGATATTGTTTGAATTAATTTAAATGAATACATTATCTCAATACATTTAGGCGTTAAGTAGATCTTTATTACTCTCTTATATCTACTTACTTATTTTACTATATTGGCCAGTCCTGAATTCTCCAAAATACCACGTTGAAAAATGCTTCAAACTCATGAAGTTGTAGATTTATACCAAGTCGATCAAGTTTATAGCATTTGTAGCCTTGGCTACTTATTCTAAATCAAATACAGATATAAGTTTATTGAAACATTTTCAGTAAACTCAGAAGAAGTGAGTAGTTCCCAGAATTCCCCTGCCGGGCCCCTGCCCCCCCCCCCAGATCCGCCAGTGGCAGTTCACGATAATAAAATTCACGACGGCTTTATCAATTAACTTACAAGTGACTCGTGTTGTATGTACATAGGTCCAGCTTTTGACTCCGAAATATGGTATAAAACGGTTTTATCACCAAATCCATTATGAGATTTATTAAAATCAGAATAACCTCTGGGAATATCCAGACTTTGTAGAATATGTATAATTTTTCCCCCAATTAATTCGCTTCTTGTCAGTAGTACTATCCGCTGCACGCAGTCCAGAACAGTGATTGTGGTGGGTTTTTAAAATTGAACATGGGTTCAATACAGTCTTGTTTAATCTTTTAGCGACAACATGCATAAACAAATTTTCGGCCCCTAGTCTGTTTATAGGGTACGTCAAAAAATGTAAGCTCCATTTGTCGAAAGGTGTGTCCATGTAGAAAATATGGACATCATGGGATCCCGTATACTTCTGCCTGCAAAAGTTTGGGTTTGATGGACATTTGGTGAATAAGGACGAGTGTCTCGTTAAAGAATATGCGACCCGGCGTTCGACTAAGAATCTATCTTTAATCCTGTTAAATCCATCCCCGAGTGATATATCAGCGTTCATTATAGCTATATTCTTAAACATCAGATTTTCGTTTACGTACTGAGCATAATCCCTATAGGTGGGGAAATTTGACAGTTTGTAAAAACGAACCATGGTATCAACGTCCGATACGAGGAAATGCTTTGTATCCAATGTTTTAATGTATTCTTCAACGTCCACGTTTTCAACGAGTAGATGGATCCTTTCCACACATGGATGTTTTATATTTGAGGAGAGAGTTTGGACGAATTCCATTTGGCGATCTTGAAAATGTTTTAAAGAAATGTTACCAAATCCATGAGATTTTATTTCGCGCAGAGATTGCAATACGGGGAATGTTGTAATAATGTTCAGCATGACTTCACAAGTCTCATCTCGAACCATCCTTTTAGCTTTAATTATTGCCGAGATGTCCTTACTCTGCTGTGTTACATCTTTAATCCCTGTGCTCTTTAGCGATTGCCAAAGAAATACAAGGTTAACAGACGCGATCACTATTAAAACCAAAATACATTGATTTGGTCTCATTGTCCGCATTTCGATTATTTTCAAATTCAAATTATGTGTATTTTTATTTCACTTATTATAAATATAACTGTAACTAATAGGAACATCCGTCTTATTCGTAGTTTGCTGACTCCTCAAATGTCACCATCGGTTTATTGGGGCATTAACTACAGTATTCAATTAAAGGGTGACAATGGTGAAGGTGATTTCAAGTGAAGCAATACTTCGCATGTTAACAAATTACCTAAAACAAGGATGAATACGGTTTTATTAATAGTTTCACTAATTCTCGTAATAATACTCGTAGCATAGAATTTATGAACCTCTTTTTACTTAAGAAGTTGGGAGAAAACCAAAACCACCTAATATAAGTGATGTGAGAGTTACCCCTTTAGGGACCCCTCAAAATATTTTATTCATTGTTTTTGTATTACTTAGCAAACGTACTTATACGATACTTAAGTCACATTTTTATGATTAGTGAGGTTGCGATATTATTTTGGAATACGTATACGCAACCTGTACTTGTACACGTCAGATATAGCACTGGGGAGGAACTCAAACGAGGATTTTTTTCTAATGAAATGCACTTTCCTGGTTTCTTTGAGAAACCTTCCTCCCTCATGGTGTTTACGTCATTTAAAAGTTAAAGTTGCAGTTTAAGTTCAACTGAAAATTTATACCGAAAACTCTCTATGATCAATGAGACAACTATGTAGTTCAAATTGTCGAAGAGAATTAAGTTAGTTAGGTTATTTAAAAGTAACTGCTCACCTCAAAAATGAGAATGATAAAATTAACGATTTAGTATGGGAGCAAATGTAATTCCGTGTCCTTTTTAGAGGCGAGCTAAGCGACATATATTTTTTATGAACTATATGTGATACTTAGCAAGAAAAATGATGTTGGCAATTCTGAATCCGCGACGGCGTTGCTATGGTAACCAAGTAAATGAGCCACGCCCACTTTTAAGGGGTCTTTTCAGTGTTTGGGCCTTATCTCCTTCATTATTGCTTAGATTTCGATGAAATTCACACCAAATGGAAGGTAATAGATAACGAACTCAAAATATATTAAGTTGCGATTCTTAATCCGCGGCAGCGTCACTATGGTAACAAAGTAAATATGCCACACCCACTTTTAGGGGCTCTTTTCGATGTTTGGCCCATATCTTCGTCATTATTGCTCAGATTTCAATGAAATTTGCACAAAATCAAAGGTGATAGATGAAGCAATCATACAGTTCATAAAATATGCAAATAGGGTGATTTGCATTTTAATTATGACGTCATAACTGTTTGTTTTTGTGTATTTTGTTTTAATCATGATGTATAAATCTGCGAAATTATTATTTTTAATATGGTCAGTAATGCTTTTAACTATTTAATTAGTTTATTTCTTTTAGTTGAGTTTATTAGTTTATTACATCCATACATGTATGGTCGGTCATAAGTCATTGAATAAATGTAATGAAAGTGTCCAATTCACGCTGTTGCTATGGTAACAGCAAGTAGCTGTAAACAAGAGAATTCTTTAGGAAATGTTACATTTTGACCATTAAAATGACATGTATTGTATATAAAATTTGGTGACAGAAAATAACCAAATAACTATAGAAAATTATTTAATTTGGATTGTGTTATTTTATGATGTCATAAGGACAATTGTTAATCAGGGGCGCAGCAAGCTCTCAGTCGGGGGGGGGGGGGTGCTTCGACACAAATTTTTTTAAAGATTTTTAAAGTTTAATTTGACAAAAATTGATGCAACTTCCTTCAAAACTGAGCTAGAAGCTTCAAGTCAAATGCATTTTAAAACTCTTCTTCTATCTAATGGTTCTATTTTTATTGGTTACAGGGGGGGGGTGTACTCATTACACCCCCTGGCTATGCCTATGTTAGCTATGGTAACCAGGTGAATATGCCGTCCCCATTTTTCAAGACTTTTCCAAAGTTTTGCTTCTATCTTTGTCATCATGATAGCTCTGGTGTATATGAAATTTTCCTCACCTGGCATATTCACCTGGTTACCATAGCAACATCATATTGGATTAACATAACCCCCTCCCATAAACAATAAGATAGAACCATTAGATAGAAGAAGAGCTTTAACCCATTAGTGTCTATGTCCCGAATATGGCACGTTTTTTGAGTATATTGGAAGATGTCAGCACTGTGTCATTAGTACTTTATATTTCTTACAAAAGAAGATACCAGAATAGTAGATTTCTCCAAAGTTCAAGGTCATTTTGTTTTTTGCAGACATCTTTTGATATATCAGTCCATAGGCCATAGGGGGCCACTACCATGCTATTGAGGGCCACTTGCATGTTTTTGATGCCATCGGGGCCACTTAAATTTGTTTTGGGACCACAGGGGTCTACTAGGATGCATTTGGGGGCCACGGGGGTCCACTGGAATTCATATGGGGCTTGAGGGCTACAGGGATGCTTTAAGGGGTCACAGGGGCCACCAGGGTGCTTTTTATGGCCATGGGATGCCATTTGCATGCTTCTGGTGGCCTCAGGGGGCCACTAGCATGGTTTTGGGGGCCACTGGGGGCTAATAGGATGCTTTCAAGGGCTACTTGGATGCTTTTTGGGGCCACTTAAATGATTTTGGGGTCCACAGGGGCCCATTGGAGTGCTTTTAGAGGCCACCTGGGGCCACTGAGATGCTTTTTGGGGTCACAGGGGGCCAATAGGATGCTTTCGGGGGCCACTAGTATGCTTTTAGGGGGTATAATGGGGCCACTTGGATGCTTTTTGGACCACTGGGTGTCACTAGTATGCTTTTTGGGGGCCACTGGGGCGGCAAATGGGAAGGTTTTTGGGTCACTGGGGGCCACTAGAATGATTTTAGGGCCCATTAAAGTGCTTTTAGAGGCCACCTGGGGCCACTGAGATGCTTTTTAGGATCACAAGGGGCCAATTGGATGCTTTGGGGGGCCACTAGGATGCTTTTAGGGGGCATAGTTGAGCTACTTGGATGCTTTTTGGGCCACTGGGTGTCACTAGTATGCTTTTTGGGGGCCACTGGCGGGGGAAATGGGAAGATTTTGGGGGCATTGGGGGCAAGTAGAACGACTTTAGGCCCCATTGAAGTGCTTTTAGAGGCCACTGGGATGCTTTTTTGGGGCCACAAGGGTCAATAGGATGCTTTGGTGGGCCACTAGGATGCTTTTAGGGGGCAAAATGGGGCCACTTGGATGCTTTTTTGGGCCACTGGGTGTCATTAGTATGCTTTTTGGGGGCCACTGGGGGGCAAATGGGAAGCTTTTGGGGCCTCTAGAATGAGTTTGGGGCCTTTGGAGTGCTTTTCGAGGCCACTTAGGGCCACTGAGATGCTTTTCGGGGCAACGTTTTGGGACCACAGGTGGCCACTGGGTTGATGTCATGGGTCACAGAGGGGTACTAGGATACTTTTGAGGGCCTCATAGCAGCACTAATTTTTTGTTTTTGAAGGCCACTGGGGACAACTAGGATGCTTTTGAGGACCACATGGGGCCACTATGATGCTTTTTGGGGGCATCATGGGGCTATTGGGATGCTTTTTGGGGCATCTGGGGGCCACTAGGATGATTGTGGGAGTCATAGGAGCCGCAAGTATGCTTAGGGGGCCACAGGGGCCACTAGAACGCTTTTGGGGGCCACTTTGGGGCACTGGGATGCTTTTTCGGATCATGTGGGACCACTGCCGTGCTTTTGAATGTCTCTGGGGCCTATTTAGTAGTGGTGTCAATTAACCGCTTGAGCATTAACCGGTTAACCGGGGGTTTTTACCGGTTAAAGTCGGTTAACCGGCGGGAAATTTGAACTGATAATTTCAAATGAAATCTTCATCTTCGATCTTGAAAGTTGAAAAAATGGAAAAATGATATATCGGCGTTTATTTTTTACGTTCGTCAAGCTTTACGCTATTCTATGTAAGTAAGCGCGGGAAAGCAATGTGGCAGGGATTAAAGTTGCTGATTGGATGTTTGTAAGGAATTATCGGACCTATCACATGTATGAGTAGCTCACATGAAACTGACGCTTGAAAAACAAACAGATTAAAATGCAAAGTAAGCGCGGGAAAAAGAGGAGGGAAAGCCCCAGAGTTTCAAGATGACAGACATAATTACCTCTCTTGCTTACCACCTTCGTTCGTTCGAATTTTCATCGGCTAGTTATCAAATACTACACTTTGATGGGATGTTATAATTGATATAGGCATATTCCGTACACCTTTCTTTATCTTGATGTGAAATGGGAAGCTATGATATTGGTTAACACGCCAGAAATGAACATAATATTATTCGAAGTGTATTTCGAAAATTTTGAAACCGCCATTGATGACGTCATTTGTTTGTCGACTTTTGACCAATCAGCGACCGTGTCATCTCAATAAAGATTTACATTATAAGCGTATGTCATCTTTGAACCCTGGTGTTTCTCCCCCTCTGCGCGGGAAAGCAATGTGGCAGGGATTAAAGTTGCTGATTGGATGTTTGTAAGGAGTTATGGGACTTATGACATGTATGAGTAGCTTACGTGAAACTGACACCATAAAACCAAACGGATTAGCATGCAAAATAAGTGCGGGAAATAACAGAATTATACACGGTCAACTAACCGCCCATAAAAACTCAGACCGGTCAAGGCATTATCGGCGGTTAACCGGTTAACCGGTTAATACTTGACACCTCTACTATTTAGTATTGAATTATAACAAACAGAGAAGTTAATGACAGTGTAAAATTACATGTTTGTTAATGTTATGATATTATAAATAGGTTTTACAATCACGAAATCATTACCTCTTAACCCAAAATTTTATCATGGGCACTTGTGTCTATGTCCCGTATTTGGGATGCCTCTAGAACAAAAACAAATTTTTTCTTAGTTATGCTACCCAGGTTAGAAAAACATAAAAATTATTTAAAAAATAATAATGCATTCAATCAGTTGTCATTATTGGGTTAAAATGCTTTTGACTTGAAGCTTCTAGCTCAATTTTGAAGGAAGTTGCATAAATTTTTGTATAGTTCATCTTAAAACATTTTTGGGACGCTTATGCCACCCGACTGAAAGCTGGCTGCACCCCTGATTAATAATTGCCCTAATGACATAATAATACAACACACTCCAAATTAAATAATTTTCTATAGTTATTAGATTATTTTGTCATCAAATTTTAAAAAGAATACATGTCAGTCAAATGGTCAAAATGTAACATTTCCTAAATAATTCTTGTTTACAGCGGACAGTTTTGCTACATGATGTTACCATAGCAACAGTGTGAATTGAACATTTTTTATTTGACTTAGACATCTTTCATTACATTTATTCAATTTTTCTATGACCATAAATGTATGAATGTAATAAACTTATAAACTCAACTAAAAGAAATAAACTAGTTGAAAGCATTACTAACCATTTTAAAGACAGTAATTTCACTGAGTTATACATCATGATTAAGAAAAATATGCAAGAACAAACAGTTATGACATCATAATTAAGATGCAAATCACCCTAATTGCATTTTTTGTAAAATATATGATTGCTTTATCTATTACCTTTCATTTGGTGCAAATTTCATCTAAATCTGAGCAATAATGACAAAGATATGGGCCAAACAATGAAAAGAGCCCCTAAAAGTGGGTGTGGCATATTTACTTTGTTACCATAGTGACGCTGCTGCGGATTCAGAGTTGCCAACTTAATATATTTTGATTGCATTATCTATTACCTTCCATTTGGTGTGAATTTCATCGAAATCTGAGCAATAATGAAGGAGATAGGGGCCATACACTGAAAAGAGCCCCTAAAAGTGGGTGTGGCTTAATCACTTGGTTACCATAGCAACGCCGTCGCGGATCCAGAATTGCCAACATCATTTTTCTTGGTAAGTATCACATATAGTTCATTAAAATGTATGTCGCATAGCTCGCCTCTAAAAAGGACACGGAACCTCTTATTTGGACTTTTGCTCCCAGACTAATTCCTTTAGATAGTAAATTAACTCAGAATCACCCCTGGTTATCGAAAAAATGAAGAGGGGGAGGGAGGAGGGTAGCCGATTTCTGCTAGAAAATTCAACAAATCTACAAGATTCATTCGAAAAAGTTTACAAATAAATCGCTAGCTAAATAGGTTCAGGGTTTTAAGAAATCTATAAGGGTTTCTCTGATTTCTTCTTAATTGATACGTTTTTAGGGTGTCAGAGATCTACGAGGGGGGATTCATAAGTAGTGGGACAAATGCTATAACTTCACTTATATCAACCAGTTTTTATTCAAACTTGCAACACAGAACCACAAACATGTAATAATCATTGTGTGAAAATTTCAAAAAGTTACACCCAACTTCAGTAAAGTGAGAGTTCCAATCATGACGTCACAACGGGGTCCACGGAGCACATTGTTTGTCACTAATTGCTAGTTAAATATACAAGTCCCAACTGATATTCAGGACGTGATCTAATCCGTGACTTCTAGCGAGTCCTTTTGTGGAGCACATCAATTCTGTGCAAGACTATTGATTCCTTATCCTTCTGGGGCAATCTCACTCTTTCTCAAAGTATTCACCATGACAATCAATGCATTTTTGGCATCTCCTCAACCATTCTAGGTATGCACCCTCAAAACAATATTTTCCAAGATTGGTAATCTCGGCTCTCACAGCATATTCAGAATACATATACAGAATACCACCTATAAACTGTAGATGTTTTTACTTCTTCTTTCCTATTGTCTTCCAACAAACCTCTAAAGGTCTCTAATACTGAAAACCTCTTCAAAGCATTAAATTTAATCACAGCACTGATGTTTATACACGATTTTTGCTTTTTCATTGCTATTTTAATCAAATTTTGCTCCATTCAAGAAGGACTGAAAATGGCAGTGTCCTGGTGTCACTGCTTTGTGTGACATCACAATAGCATGATGATGTAATATATGTTACAGTTGTCACGACTACAAGGCTTGAGACAATTTGAAACCACATATTTGAAAATAAGTGTCATTTTGAGATATTTATGAGCATATTTATGTTGATCAAGCCCTTCATTTTTAAATGCTCCGTTAAACCCTACTTTTGGTTACCATAGCAACCATTGTTGCTAGGGAACAAAATGAATTAAATTGAAATTTCATCAAACAATGCCTTATATCCTAGTCCGTTCATGTGCCAAATTTGGTTGAGATATGTACACAGGGACTTGCTGCCTCAGAAAAGTCCCACTACTTATGAATCCCCCCTCGTATATAAAAAGGCGCAACGTCCCAAGCGTACAAAAGTCAATGTTTTTGTTATAAATCCGAAGGAGAGGCTGTGTAGACGGCACTTTGGCCAATCTAAATACATAGGTTGATGTGGGAAACAAAGTACGTTTTTTATTATCAGAGTTATTAAGTTCATTCATTCATATATAATGGATAAATCATGAATTAATAACATGATAATATAACAAGCCAAATACACAAAAGAAGCATATTAAAATCTATTGAAAAATATTCATCTGATGATTTAGAAATCACACATGTATTTTAACGTCATCATGCAATGCACGAATACAAACTTCGGCTCAACGAAAATGCCAAAGTCATAAAACTATCAATGAATGACTTTCAAACAATCATGCATTATAGCACAGATATGAGTCTGTATCGTCCCTACCTCACAGTAGGCACAATATCTTCTCAGAGCCATCGGACACATTCTCATATCAGAAAGCGGAAAAGTGACAATTGCCATACTTCAAAAGTCATAATGTGGGGGGGGGGATTCCCATACCAGATCCTAAAATTTGGGTCCATTGCCATATCAAATGTAAAATAAGTACCCCACATGAGCCGAGGATCCCCGTCAAGGTTTGTATACAGTGAACCCCCCCCCCCCGGTACAAAGTTGCCTTTTGGAAAATGTTTGTTCAGTTCATGCCTGGAGTTTATCGTATTGTCCTATGTTCAACCAGAGCCATGCCTTGTTTTAATTACCACTTGGAAATGTCAACTGAGTATTCCCGTAAAGGTCAGTCATGGTTTACGTACTTGAATTAATAAAAAGTCATTGTCTTTGTGAGAATGGGACACTGGATGTTAAACAGGTGGATTGATTTATTATTCTGAAATCTAATTGTTTCTTTTTTTGTCCACTTTTAATGTCATGGAGCTTCCCGATGGTATGTTTGTATATATAAAGTAGATTTTCAAATAGTATTTCATCTTTGCTGGAATATGGGTAAGTAGATAAGTTGACTCGTTCATGATCTAGAATTATTTAAACGTTGTATCAACTTCATTGACTTCCTTTTATTTACGAGACAATAATAATTCGAGTATATTTGATATTTTTTTAAATATTGATATCAACTCGTGGATAAAAATGATATCCCTCAAAATCATAGGATATCCTACATTTATTCGATGAGTTCTGTATAATATATTGACGGTGGGTATTTTGCATTTTAGATTTATTTATCTTGCGTTTTGTCGTTGTGGCCCTAGTCTACAAAAATGTGGGAGGTCAATCAGTGGCCATATGCAATGGAATTCAAGATATAATTCACTTAACGAGCTCCTACAAAACTAAAACAATGGCTGACTTAGTTAAAAACTTAAATGATATTTATAAAGACATACTCGGAGAGAGTAAAACTGACGACACGTTGACCTCTGTAGAAAAGAGGTCACTTAAAGCAATTCTTAAAAGTCTAAAGCCTATGCCAAAGCAGATAAAACTTATCCAAAAGGGAATAGCGGCAACGAGTTCAGGCTCACCCCGCATCAAATCAAAGTACATAGAATTGGACCAAAATAATTACATCAGAATATTAGGAGACAATCTAATGAGACAAGCCGATGACTATTTGGTCTCGTTTGATTCACTAACATGGGAACAAAAAAGATCGCAAATTGATACTTTGTCCTCACTTGGTAAAAGATGGGGTAAAGATATAGCCAGTGCACTAAAAAAACGTGTTGATGGTTCGGAAAAGACGACATTGACCTCTCTAAATAAGATTTTTAAGCCTTTTAATAAACAACTGCTTAAAGTGTCTAAGGTATTTTCTAAAATAGAATCGATGTTAAAGTCACTTCTGAAGAAAGCAAATGATTTCAAAGACGGTTATGAATGTGAAAACGCAGTCATAGATACCACTACTGTACAACCAACCACTCGTCGAACTACTAGAAGACCAACGACGCGAAGACCTACCACACCAAGACGGGCAACACCGAGACCAACGACGACGAGGCGGACAACACCAAGACGAACAACACCGAGACCAACGACGACGAGGCGAACGACACTGCCACCAACAGCAACAACAAAACAAGGACCACTAGAATGTCCAACTAATTTTGATCCAGTTTGTAGTGAAACTGCAAATGGCGTTCAGTGCTCCTGCCGTTGCGCATCATGTGAACTCGAAGGTAATTAACGAGAATTAATTCTTTGTTGTTTGCAAATATGTTTAATTTGCTAATATTGGCATGCAGCCTATAGGATTCCTTATTTCCTCAATACATAAAATCTTCATGATAATTTTGATTGAATTGAACAAGATGCATGACTCATAATCATGATAACATGGACAAACATGCAAGTAGAAATATTGTCTATAGTAATGAAGAGGTGGTTCATGTTTATTTGTTCGACAAGGGTGATACACTTATCACTTTAGATGAGCTAATGTATATTGGAGTACCAATTGCCCCAATTATGGCCTGATGGTTTTAGAATTAAGGCAAAAACACATTCTGCATGTAAATATACATCTGCTTATTATAGATTCTGCAGAATGCCGAGTATGGGGTGCTTCTCACTATATAACATTCGATGGCCACATTTACGATGTCCAGACTGGCTGCTACCAACGTTTAGCTTATTTTTACTTTAATGACCAAATCAATTCCATCTTCGAAGTCATTGCTCACATTTCAACAGGGGACGATGAGTTGGCAGGAGAGCCGGAATGGCCTGGTTATGTTTCCTATATACAAAGGGTGGAATTTCAATTGGGTGAATATGAGTACGAGATAGAAAGAGACAGAAGAGTCTCTGATTCGGTAGGAATTTAAATCAGATATTTAGATGACGCTTGAAATGTCTGAATTAATTGATTGTCTGCAGCGTTTTTCGCTTTCTGTGTCTGTTTTCAAAAGGACGTATAGTATGGCTTTGGACAGTTTTGATATAGGTCCAACATTTAAAAATGTTGACATGGGGTCCCCATTCATAATTTTTCGAATTGCTCGATTGATATTTTTTATTATCCTTGAGAACTTACTTGAAAGATAACATATAGTGTTAATGGGTTTTGTCATATTTAAATTGAGAAAGAACTTATCACTAACCATACTATACCTAGTCCTTTATATCTATAAAACGTTAAAGCTCATACACGGCGCGGTGCCAAAACTGCGTGCATACTAGGCATCAATAATAGGTACGCGGTTTCGAAGAGTAGGCACGCATGATGTTCGAGCGAACCCTCTCCCCACCTGGCCAAAAATTCTTTCAAAACCATGCATTTTTTACCATTCTGAGGGCTTTTCAAGTGATTTTGGCCAATTTGGGGGCAAAGGTGTCAAAAGTGAGCCACCCTTTTAAAAATGATTCAGTAGCATTGAATTTGTCATGGTATTGGTTTGATAATTGATATGCTGTTTCAGTCCGGAGAATATTTAACACTTCCTTACTACGAAGAGAATGAATTTGTTCCTGGTGAAGGACCTTGGACGATAAGCTTTGAAGAAAAGGATGAAACAGTCATAATAACCGTATTGCCCGTTGGCCTTCAACTGTCGTTTAACGGAAGGGGTACAGGTAGAGTTCATATTAAGATTCCTCGGAGCTTCAAAAGCTCGAAAGATGTGGATGGAATGTGCGGAAACTTTAACGGTGATCCCGACGATGACTTCTGGGAAGATATAAGGGATTATGTTAACCCAGGAAGAATATTTGCAATGATCCATGGTGGTTGTGGTGTTTTGTTAGCTGATAAAGAGGAAGATTGGAAGTAAGTGAATTATTTTTTATTTTAAACGAGATTTCGCCTCCAAATTAAACACAATAAGAAGTTTCAATTTTGAGTGACATTTGGTGCCAATTCTCAAGTCTCAGAAGTTATTTTTATGTATACGTTAATTAATTTTCACAACAGACGGTTAGGTGGAAACAAGACATGTGGAAACTTCTCTCTTATAATGTAGTTCCAATCTATTAGTTGGTCATGTACATTTTTCGAATTGTGTCAGGAAATTCTTCAAAAAGCAGTAGCATTCAATCAATCCCGAAATTCCAGTTTTTTAAAATGTGATAACTGTTTGAACAAGACGCTTTGGTATTTAATGATCTATCTGGATATCAGAGTTTCCTAATGTTCTAAGGGCACTAGTATTTCTATATGTAGTTTGGTTCAAATCCAATGGGTGATCATGAACATTTTTTCTGCAATTAAAACCTTAAATAAATGTGCCATTGTGTATCGAAAAAGGATTCACAAATTGTCCAAATCTATGGAATAGTTCAACTCTTTACTAAAAACGTAAACATGTGTCTTGCTCTAAATGATCCATGGTCTTATTGTTCTGTCTTAGCGATGACTGCGACTGTCCGGGAACAGACAATTGGGATATCCCTTGGAATAATCCAGATCATAAATTCGACGCTGGTGCTTTTATGACAGCGCGGATGGCATGTAACCTGTACGACCTATGCTTTGGTAAAAGAATCGACCACAAACAATTCAAAACAAGAAGTTGTGTTATGGATATATACAGTGCACCGACGGTAGATACAAAATGCGAAGCAAGGGCTGATGTTGCAAAGGCGTGTGGAAAAACAATGAAGCATTGTCATATAGAAGGTATGTGTTAGAGGAGGGAAAACCCCATGATTCAATTGATGACATACGATTTCCTCCTTCGCGCACCTCCTTTCCCGGAAGTACAGGGTGATCATTAAGTTCTGGGAATTGGTCTGCCATTTCAAGATTTCTCAACCATTTGAGTTGAAATTTTCAGCAGGTGGTCATTGTATAATTCTGAATTGACAAGCAATGTTTCATATACATATCACATCTACAATTTATTTTATTGTAATTATAAAAAAAGTAAAAGTGGTTTGCGGGTCAGCAAATTTTGACTGATGTTAATTTGAAAATTTCCTGCCAAAACATATTCATCTTGCTTAGATAGTTGCTTCAAACTACCTGTACTAGAGGCAGAACAGTACTCTTGAAGTCATTTATTCAGAAGTATTCTTCATTGCTGAGAGGATCATTTCATTTATGATTGTTTCCATTAGCCTTGGACGCACATCCGTTGTTGACAAACTTAGTCCATAAAGATATGTTCCAGTCCTCCCTTTGGTATCCCTTGAAGATTTGCTCAAGCCGTTGAAATCAGTCCCTTATTGGAATCAAACTTATGACCTCTCATATAATGCTTTAGCACCCAAAATGTAGTGAAGCCTAATGGTGCTTTATCCAGTGAATATTGTCTGGTGAATATGGGGCAGTAATAACTTGAGTGAACCCTAATTCTTCAAGAGTAGTATGGGCAGCTTTAGTAATCGGAAGGAGCACAGTCATAATGGAAGATAACTCCCCGCTATTTTTAGTCATGATTGTTACTTTGAGATGCTGATGAATGATGAATGATACAAAAATAGAGCAAAGTACACTCTTATATAACAATAAAGATGTTACTTTAGAAACTTAAGTTAGAAGTATTTAAAATATAAAAAATCACAGAAATATGTCCACCAAATAGATATTTATTAACCATACTTTTAGATCAAGCAAAATTTGAATTCATTTTTATTTTACTTGACCCGCTACGCCACTTGTCATGTTGCTATAGTAACAACAATTATCTATTGTGACATCAGATGACAATGAGACTGTTTTATCCAACCCAAAATTACATTTCCCATTTACCTTGAAAATTTCAAGTAAATTGGTTAAAAAATAATGAAATGACAGATGAATTCCCAGAACTTAGTGATCACCCTGTACAGTACGTATATTTGTTTACCCTCCATCTTGGCTTTCAAAGTTTTCAAATTGACCTAGTTTTAAGCCAATCAACGACCGACTCGCTAAACCAATCAGCGACGATGTCATCTCAATACAGATTTACATTATAAGCGTATGTCATCTTTGAACCCTGGGGTTTCTCTCCCTCTTGTATGTATGTACAATCCTTCAGAGATTTTTAGAATAACGGAAATATATTTTTAGGGATGGTTGACGTAGTATACAAAACTTATGAAGCATTCACGAGTTCTACTAACGGCTGATGGTTTAACCGCTATTTCTATAGCCCACTCATTTAAATATGAAGTATCTACTACTATACGCACATATTCATATTCATATTTCAATGAGTTTCCCCATAAAACGCGGTTAATCTGTCTACCGACAGCCGGTGGTTGCATTCGCTAATGCTAGCATATAATTCAAAAATAATGATTTGATGCTATAATGCTGTATCTTATTCAGGAAGCTGTATCGGTAGCATATGTTATAATGGAGGCTGGCACAAAAGATATTACAATGGCAAGAAAACAGTATGCGGATGCAGTTGTGCGCCTGGATATACTGGAAGCGATTGTTCCAGAAAGAAGGGTGAGAACGAAGGTACGCTGTATACTGAATACGTGATACATACACATTTTATTACTCACTCTATTAATCTTATGTTTTCATAAATGGTCTTGGATGTTTTCGAGAGTTTACATATGTGTTATCATGACACAAAAAGGTAACATTTCACTCAGATTTTTGTCAGACTTGGAGACAAAAAAGACCAGGAAAAAATGAAACAACAAAAATGTGGGGTCCTTATAGACCTACATAGTACACCGGGGATTCTCGATATTGAGTCTATCCATTGATTATGCCAGTTTAAATTCTCCCAACCTTCTTCTGCCATGTTGCTCTATAGCAACAACCGATCGACAGACCAATGAAATCTATCCTTCTCAACGCGATGCATTCTGGGAGATATTTATGTAAATGACCATGTATTTTCTTATCGCAAATAGAACTATTTGTGCTTCATGGGCATAATGTATCTGACTTTTTGAACATGATTTGAACTTCACTTCAATTGAAAACATATCCATCCACTAGATATGGTGATGTGTCGAGGATGGGGAGACGTTCATTATATAACATTCGACAAGAGGAAATACGACATGCAGGGTGACTGTAAATACTATCTCGTAAAGCCCACTACAAAAATGCTGAAAAGTGAGCTAAAATTTAGCATCCAGGCCAAAAACAAAAAATCACACGTTGGTGCGACAGTTTCTACCACCGATTATGTTGAGCTTCACTTGACTAAAGACGTCTTCAGAATCGGCCAGGGTAAAATTGTAACGGTAGGTTTAATGTTGTCACTATATAATAATACATTGTCAAGAAAGCAAAAATATGAGTTTTATTTACCATCATCATAATCTACCTTATGTGTACGTTAGTTGGGTATATGTTCAACATAGTAACGTAAGTAACGCAGAATGACATAATACTTTGTAGTGGAACGGGAAAAGGTTAAACCTGGATAGGCCAATTCAGTTGACAGACTACTACACATATCACTTGGTACGGATTGAGGAAGTGAAGGCGTGTCTTTACGGCGGATGTGATCGACCCTCAGACTTATATAAAGATTTCATTGAGATCAGCGTCCCAACATTGAGACTACGTCTAATTTTTGACGGCGACCAAGAGGTTCAAGTTCATTTAGACAGTGAAGCGTGGGGTGGGGAACTAGAAGGACTGTGTCAGAATCTTAATGCAGATAGACACGATGATCTAACGACATGTGGTTTCAGGAAGAAAGATGTATCTAACCTACCTAATTATGGCACATTGATAGGAAACAGTTGTCAAGTCGCTAATCACAGGTAATAGGGAGTTAAGCTTGCCTATGCATTTAAAATCGAAACGCCAACCTATTCGTATGACCAATCGCCCATACAAATGCATCGCTAAATAACTTACGTTCGCGTTTAGGTTGTGAAAAACAGTGCAAGCTTAAACTCCCTAATGTCTCTTTCCATTGTATAACATAAAGGCAGTGCATGATTTGTCACGGAGATAAAAGTTACAGATGTCGCATCTATTTTTTCTGACCAAAACTCGTTGGAACCATGGACCTATATCCATAGGTCCATGTTGGAACATACCCAGAAGATCACCTCGTGGTATTAATTGTATGGTCATCTTGATACTTTTGTACAATTTTACACGCCCTGGGTGTCCTGTAGACCGCCCGATGTAAGGACGGTACGTCGTTCAGCAATCGTAAGGTACTGTAGCTGCACGAATATCTTCCGGCTATCGAACGACAGCCCGGTCACCGTCATAGCCTTGTGGTATCCTTGCGATAGTCCTGGTCGAGTTCCCAACTGTATCACTCAGACATGTCTTATTTAATCTGATAAACTGTTTGCGGGCGCCGTACTATACAATGCATGGCCATATCTAATGTGACCATAATGTGTCCAGGAAGCCGGCCAAATCCTACTTATCATCCGGCGTCTGACTCAAATGTGTCTGAGGTGCACCAGTACAGATGTATATTTTCAATTAAATTTCTGTGTTCAAGTGAGACCTTTTCATGTAATGAAAAAGAAAAACCATTTTCACCATACTTGCTGCATTATCCATAATTCAACAAGTTAAACCGAGTCTGGGCCTTATTTCTTATCTGACATATCTTGTGGCTCGCCCTAGGTTTAACGTCCGTGCCTGTTCGGCCCTTAATGCAAAAAATTCAATAGTGGCCTATCGCAGCGCATTGAATTCTATGCGCGTTTAAGTTATAACAGTACTGATTGTGTGAATTTTGGTATACCAATGAAAGCATAGCACGGAAGTTAAACCCAATCACGGCAACAAGAACAGTCAGATTAATAAATGAAAGCCGTGGTATTGGGTTTAACTTGTTGAACTATATTATCCAATGCCTTTTTAGATGTAAAGCAGAGACAAATAGTGACACGCCTCCAATACCAGATAACACATTAGTGGCTAAAGCCAGCGATCAGTGTAATGCAGCATGTGACCAAGGTCAAGATCCACCATGTTTTGGAGAAGTTTGCAGTGCAGAAACAGATCAGAGAGACATGATTATAGAGTCATGTATAGTTGACTATTATCACATGATAGATGATAGATGTACAGTTCTTGGCCAGGTGGCGGCCAAATGTGGAGTACCAAAAGCAGCGTTTCAATGCGGTAAGAATGTTGTTTAATCAATGTGGACAATTTGAATATGTTAGTTCAAACTGAGCTGTGCTTTATGTACCAAACTCTTCGTTTGATTGTATTGTAATGGTTTCTTTTATTTCTCTTCAAGACTCGGTGGAAGAGACTTGTCTCAATGGGATATATGACGAACTACCAGATGGTACACGGTATTGTAGATGTAAAACTGGTTTCAATGGAGCCGGATGTTCACTACGTTAGTATACACTTGTTCCAGTGTTTCTTTCCATACACTAAAAAGCTTGAGTTATAACAAATATAAAAATGGAACTTTGGGGAATCAAACAAAAGATGGTGAATGGCTCGACATTTAAATTCAAGCAACAATGAAATACATTAATTGAATGACATCTGTATATCAGTAAGTAATAAATTTTGCAGGGGATGAGTGTGGCTGTGGCGATGGGGGAGTGTGTAATTGTGAAGCAGACACATGTAAATGCGAATGCCATCCATTGTTTACAGGCCAAAATTGTGATACAAGAAAAGAGCTTCCATCCACTCCATATGATACTTCTAGTAAGTTCACAATTGTGTGATTTATTCTTAATTCATAGAAACTTTTCGTATAAAAGAAGAGAAATTCAACTACGAAATCTATTTTAAGGAAATATTGGTGGACGATGGTGCACAATAGTAGGTGACCCGTATTACCAAACATTCGATGGCGCAGAGTTTAATTTTCAAGGTCACTGCCTGTACAGCATGTCAGAGGAAGTTGTTCCCGAAGGATTGGATCCTTTGTTCACTATATCAGTTCGTAATGCGATAAGAGGATTTGGCGGAATTGAAGGAGTTTCATGGCCATCATATTATATATTGTGATACGAATCTTAAACAAGGTCGACATATTTATTGGACAAATGGGCATTGTTACTGTTGATGATTCTATTGATGTTCGGGTAGGTTGAACTTCTAAAGTTTAAACTACAGGTGCAGAACATTCCTCGACTCGTTTAAAATTTTTGGGTAACGTCACCATTATCCAAACGAACATAGACAGATTTGGTTCAAATTGTATAAGCTGATGGCTTATGGGCACAGAACCGCTGCTCTTGAAATTTTTGATCGTTCAATTCGAAATGGCCGTCATTTTATAGTCTTCGATAATTCAAATACCAGACAACGATTTTTATCATATTGTATACATGTATACAGGGTGACCATAACAAAATCAGAACCCCAAACAATCTTTATTAACTTGCGTGATCCTTCAAAGTATACCTTCTGATTTAATTGAATTATAGTTTATTCTATGGACGACACTTGGGAAAGGTTTCATGGAATTTCACTTGACAGTTTAGATTTGGCACCGTTTATAGAATATGCTCCAGATTTTGGAGTTGCCGCTGAATACAGACTTGAATATTTTGGCAATTTTATTGATCACTCAAATGTACTTTTCCCCGGGTATCATTGCGATTTTACTTTTGTTGGTTATCTTTCAATGCTTGTATGGAGTTTAGGTAATTTGAATACACAATAGGGAGTTTAAGCTGACATGTAAAATCACCAATCACCCATACAAATGCATCGCTTACATAACTTACGTTCGCACTTGTAGATAGTTGACATTGTAAACCAAGAAATTACGCGGATAACTCAGATTACAAATTTGCCAAAGACAATATTAATAGGGACCATACAAGGAACGAACACAGCCGTCACTGCTGAAATAGCTCATGAGAATTATCGCAGTGTTACTGTAGAAATAGTTCCGATGGCAATAAAAATACAGTTTAAATCTGCCTTTGAAGCAAGAATATACCTAGATGAATATTGGAAAGGGAAAGTCAAGGGTAAGATCAAAAGTTAATAGTATTTATTTATTTATTCATTCATTCATTTATTTAAGTGTCACCTATCTAAGATAGCCAGCCCTACCTGGGCTTATGAGACACATTTTACATTAGTTACATTTTTTACAATACAAATATAAAATTAGTGCAATTCAGTTCAACATCATTATTGACAGTAATTAAAAGCGCCTATCTATGACAACCACATGGCCTGTAAAATGTAAAAGTTCGCTGAAATTCGACATAGGTTGACCTCAGGATCTGAGGAGCAGGTCTCTCAACTTCGGAGTGCTGCAGACTCCTATCCGAATGGGATTGTTACTTTGACTTCCATATTATGCATTATATCTATAGATGCAGTTGTTTCTTCTGAACAATCATTTTGAATTATAAGTAGGAAACTTATAAATAATTTTAGTCATAATTACCACAAAGCTAAATTTTGCATGACATGGAAGTTGTTGTAGTGTAATATTTTCAGACATTTCTTTTCAAGTTACTCTGGACCAGAGTCTGTTAAAGTATTAATTGATTTTCAATTTGCCATTTTGATGTTAAAGTACGAGTTAATTTGATCTTGCTAAATTAAATGTTATTCACAAACATATACACCTAATAATTGCAGGTATGTGTGGCAACTACAATGGTGTTGTTGATGACGATTACGTTACCAAGAAAGGCACCAGGGTTAAAACCAAAGACAACAAAGGAACATTGATTGGTACAAGCTGGAAGAATACTGAGTCACTACCATTATATGATGAAGAGTATGTATTAGCATTATAAAAACTACTGAAGATGAAAAACACTCATTTGCACACAATTTTACTCAAAGCATATCTGCCTGATAAATTCGTCAATTTCTGTAGATTGTATTTAATTGCTAATGTTCTTTTTACGAGAAATGATGAGTTGGAAATATGCAACGTACTTTCACCATTTTATGATGAATACTTTTGATCTCTCAGAAGGAATGGATATTTACGTCTATATCCTGAACCATTTCCTGACTTATCTTTCACTCCTTTATGCGGACAAATTGTCAAGAAATAATATGGTACGCACTGGGCATAATATAATAGACACACATCGAGAGATAAGTTTGTCATAAACTGTATGTGTTATGCCCCGCCAATTCAAATATTTGAAGGACGGTCTTTGACTTTCACTTTAACATTTACCACTTTTCTAATTTTAGTTCTGATGCTTGTATAGATAACAATTTGCCAGATTTGCCAAGACTTGATGAGATCAACAAAGCGTTGTTTGATGAAGCATCAGCCCATTGTAGAGCCCTATGTCCGAACATATTGGAGTTCAGATATAGCGCATGTGTTGCCGGTTATTTCAACACTCAGAATGACAAAAGGATGCAGTGCGAAGTATTGCTGAATGCGCTCGACACTACGCCATGTTCGAACATTCCAGAAGAATGTGAAAAATATGCGCGAGTATACAGAAAATAAAAAAATAACATTTTAGAATTGCATGAAAAAATAAATTAGCCATTGCGTTATGTTCATTTATTACAAATAAGTGATTTTATGAACACGATCAACCATTCGGGTCATTTAACTTTCAGGCGGAGTTTTGGTATTCGAATGCATCATATTCGGTGTTTCCTAATTACACAGAACACTAGAGTACTTTAATAAGTTAAGATATTTAAACGATGATATACACCAAAACAATTTCTTCTGCGACATCACTGTTGGTTACCATCACCTTTTTGTTGATAATAATAGTAAAAATCAGAACTTCTTTTTCAAAGATTTTATTGGTCTTATCAAGTACAAGCTAACATTTGTATGCATATAACACTGGTGATCCGCTCGATAACGCTGGTTCCCGAAACGGTTCGTTTTGGTAACAAAATGTCGGAACGTCGAAGGTACGATTTTTTCTTTTTTCCTTATTTCACGCGTTGTAGGCAGAATCCCCACGACGTTTTTTCTCACAAACGGGTATCAACATCATATGTTTTAGAAAATGTACATGTTTGCGGAAAATAGCTCAGAAGACAACAGAATCGTCGATTTAAAATTCCTCACTTAAGTTACATAAACGGTTTGGGTTAAAAGTGCAGATCTTAACTGTTTTTCGAAAAACCGTTTATGTAACTTAAGTGAGGAATTAAATCGACGATTCTGTTGTCTTCTGAACTATTTGTTCGCAAATATGTACATTTTCTTAAACATATGATACTGATACACGTTTGTGTAAAAAATGTCATGAGAATTCTGCCTACAACGTGTGAATTAAGGAAAAAAAAAATCGTACCTTCGATGTTCCGAGATTTTGTTACTAAAACGAACCGTTTCGGTAACCAGCGTAATCGAGTGGATCACCAGTGTAACGTACATTATCAATAATAGTAGGAAAAGTATATACATCGTATAAGTGTAGACCTTTCAAGTTGTGGTAATACGCTGTCTTTATATACCTATAAAGACAGTCATTGTTAAATATTTTTGAACTTTAAGGTCAACAATAGTACTTAGGTTGTTGAAGCACGGTATATTAGAACTAATAATATTTGAGCACTTCTGCTCTTTCTTTTGTAAAGGAAGCACAATAGACTAGATGCGAGTAGACATAATCTTGATTTACGTCATTAAATATTCAAAATTCAGTCAAAGTGATGTCATATTTGAAATCTACATATAAAAGTACATCTAGAAATATGGTTTCGAAAAATGTTTATTAACTTTGAAAATTAAATTGTTTTTTGAAAGTTTGACTTCTCGTTCGGGTCGATTCCCCATAGACCCAGAGGGGGAGAAACACCAGGGTTCAAATATGACATACGCTTATAATGTAAATCTGTATTGAGATGACATCGTCGCTGATTGGTCAAAAGTCGACAAACAAATGACGTCATCAATGGCGGTTTCAAAATTTTCGAAATACGCTTCGAATAATATTATGTTCATTTCTGGCGTGTTAACCAATGTCATAGCTTCTCATTTCACATCAAGATAAGGAAAGGTGTACGGAATATGCATATGTCAATTAAAACATCCCATCGAAGTGTAATATTTGATAACTAGCCGATGAAAATTCGAACGAACGAAGGTGGTAAGCAAGAGAGGTAATTATGTCTGTCATCTTTAAACTCTGGGGCTTTCCCTCCTCTTCCATAGACCCAATGTTACAAAATCACAAAAAGTGATATATCTTTTCTTGTATTGGACAGATATCATTTTCTTTTACTGGACATCTTTTAATTTGCACAACTACTAGATACATAAGGGTTATATCAAAATTGAACTACTAAAACAGATGTAATTTAAGTTAACGGGGACTTTCTGCTATACCCGCCATGCTGTCTGACCCGAACGAGCCACCTGGCGGTGAAACTGGAAACTACCTACTTGCATCTGCGTCATTCAAAATAAAATGGGATAAGTCTTCTGCAACAGGTAAGGTCGTACAAAATGGACATTTATAATTGCCACCAAATTTCTTGTTAAGGCTACCGTTTAATTTGGATGTATTTCAACGAAGATTTGATATGTATGTCTTCAACTGGATGTCACTAGAATTTAGATAATGTGGAAAAAGATTGTAATTTTCTTTTGTTTTTAATATCAACTGTAAGCTCACTGAGGAGGCTGATTTTTCATTAACGTTTGGGAAAATAAGCGTAACATCGGAATTTTGCTTAGTTATTATTCTTGAATATATTTGTAGACTCTTGTAATAACCTTCATGAATTAAAATTATACCTTGCCAGGCCAGTTCTAGGGGTTTTACTGCTAGTTTAGAAAGCGTTCATTTTACTATATCGACCTGATCAATATGTGACGTCATAGTGGTGGTCAAGAATGCATTTCAGACCGGTCGAGAATGCATTTAACGACCGCCAATTTTCCCCGGGAAACTAGATATCGTTCATTTCTGCGGGCAATATAGTGAAATATTGGACCTTGGGCCTTCATAAGGCTTTAAAGTATATATATAGGGGTTATGCACTGGGAGGTTTTGGATACAAGGAAAATCCCGAGGTACAGTATATACAATATATCTTCCCGAGGGACCGAAGGGATATTTCATGTATCCAAACCTACCGTGCATAACTGGTGTATCTCATACTTGAGTGGGTTTAGGGAAGATATAACCTTTTCCACCTTTTTCAAACATTCTCGTAATATTCTTTTTGTTCAATACAATGAAATTGTAACATTTAAACTTAAAAAAATTAAATTTTAAAATTAAAAAATTAAAACTTTTGATATTTAAACTTTTTTAAACTTTTGAAGAATTCCCGGGAGCGGGATTGATATATTATATCTGCCCGCATTTGGCCTAGAGCGGGGCCGGACATATACAATATATCATGCCCGCTCCTCAGATATGATATATATTCCCGGGTGATATCTACCCCAAAACCCACTCAAGTATGAAATACAACTCTATTTATTATATGCAAATATGATGACAGTTATTTCTAGTTGTGTTTACAATGTTTCTAAAGCATCTATGTGCAATTATGCGATATCTACAATTGCGTACTATGTACATATAAAAAGGCCTAGGTGTAAAATAAAATGTCTCAAGTCAACTTCATTAAAGATCTAATAGCAAAGGTTTTGCAAAAATAAATCAATGCAGTGTAAAACAAATGTATGTATAATGAAGAAATAAATATTTAATGAAAAAAATAGATATGTGTTTGTAATATTGGTATTAACTTAAGATTAAAAAGTGTCACTATCTCTTTCATTTTTCAACAAATATAGGCTCACGTGACATATGACGCGGGGCAGTCAATTTTGATCTATCGTAGACCATATCAGTATCAAACTGCCGATATTTCAACCTCGTCTTGCGAGGCCATTTTTATTTGAAACATCTTGAATTTGGTGTCAAAATAAAGCTGGTCACGCCCACTTTCAGAGTTATCAATGAATCATTTACTACGACTACTATATTCATTTAGGAGGCGTGTAAAGTTAACCAATCAGAAAGACAATTGCTCCATATATGACAGTTCATTAACATATTCAGTGTTTACTATTGTTTTTCGCGTCATGACAACACGAGTAGTAACCAATCAAAATGCCGTATTTTATCACGTGAGTTCAGAGTGACATGCACGACATGTAAGTTTAGTCTGAGCTGATCGCGATGTTGAACAATTTCTTCTCGGAATTTGTCCAGAGAAATCAGCGATTCTATATTAAGGTAGGATCTCCCATTTCTTCCTGTACAAGTTTTAACTTATCTCTATCGAATCCTAAAGTTTTGGATGAAGATATGAAGCATACGTTTAAAAACGAAGCGATTAATTTGACGATCTGATTTTGCAATTTGCAATGGCCAATTTACTGCAAGTCTGCGTGTATTTGACAAGAGATAGCGCCAAGTCTTGTATCCGAATGCTTGTTAAGCCACTCAAAAACAAGATCCATATTTTCTAAATTTGATAACTTTGCAGAGAGCCCGTTTTCATAACCTGTTTTCCGCGTCTAAATTCAAACTGAGTAGGATTATAGGATCGCTGGGATTCTCAGTCAATGGCAACGGGTCTTCATTCCAGAACGCACATTTTTTTAGTTGATTCTCCGTCATAGTACTTGTCTAAAGTCCATATCTGCTCTTTTACTGGCATACTTGGACATATTTCCCCTCCTTAAATTGTCCTCCTTAAATAACACCCTCTCGCCGATTTATATATAGCCATTTCCCAGAACCCGGGAGTCAGAATCGCTGATGTTTGCCATATTGAACATGTTGAAATATGTACTGTAATATCTGTAATACTAGGCATTGCCTGCTACGCGTAAGGGTCACGTGACTAGCGCGATACAGGAAAAATGGGGAATTTCGAAACAACAATTTTTGGGCACTTTTATTGCAAATTTCAGGTATTTATAAGTGTTTGTGGTATAAAATATAATCCACAGACATAAATGAACATCCAAACTACATATTTTATTACGTTTTGGAGCCTTTTTTGCTTTTAAAATGACATCTTTAAAAGTATGAACACATGCATGTCATGGTTTGATTATCACACGTTTGAATATCACAGATAGTAGTTGCAGAGGTTAATGTAGAAATCATGGGCTTTGTTCTATTGACTTCTTTCTAGTATAGAATAGTTGAAGGCAGAAAGATGTGAACAGTATCAGAATGGGGTGCCACGCATGCCCTGCTTTCCATCCATGTTGCACGATGCATGGCCGTTTGTATACAGGTTGATGCCCTCTGTATCATTTGAGGCCGAATGGTATTGTTCAGACTTTTTACTTTGTTGGCAATCAGTTGACGATGCATTTTCTACTCCTTTGTCATCGTGTTTGTCCTCTAATAACGTAGCTGAACTTTCATTGTTGTCTCTTCTTTCATTCTCACCCCTGTGGGTATATCTTTGCCTTTGACACTTTTTAACTTTGACACAGGCCAATACAATTGCGAGGCCTAAGACTACCAGTACCACTAGCCCTCCGATGACATATATCCAAGGTACACCTGAAATTGCAAGACATATTCGTGTAAGTTCGAATCTATACTTTGGTATCTCCAAGTAATCTTCATATTTTTGATGTATAGCATGCATAGTTGTTATTCTGTTGTTTCAATTCTTGCTTTTAACTGTATTTTGAAATGGTCTTTGCTCTTCTCTCTTTTGACACATGAACTTATTCATTCCTGAATGGTTTGAAGTGATATACATGTACATTGTTTCTTCGTGCGTTTAAGTTTGGGATGGTGTGGGTTTGTTTGCTATATGGCAACCTATGAATTCAAGAGTCATCGAATGGTTTACCATGTATTCCTTCCTGAGGAGTTACCCTTTGCTCTGGTTTTAGCGTTGTGAAATACCCAGATGGTTCCGCTATAAATGCAATGGGTACTCTTGACAGTGAAGATACGACCTTGTTCTTCGATAACACGCAATCTTCAACCATTGGGTCCCATGTATAGCCTAGACACAAATTCAAAGTAATCATTGTTCATCCTCTGAACGCGGGATTCATACAGCATCCAGGAGGGAAAATGATTGACCTGACCAGATCCGTGTTATAGTATCTATATATTTATGACTTTAAAATGTATAATTTTCAAGAGCTAATCAAAAACATTATTCAGTGCATTTTTGAATAATGATTTTTCACAATAATTCAAAATCGTAAACTATGTACCTGATTTGCAGTCCCCGCAATCTGTATCAGCATGTTTTGTGCAGTTTCGAATCACGATCCTATTATTTCCACAATCACTGCAAACTATACAGATGTGTCTTTCGATGTATTCGTTCTGACGGGGCGTTCTACATGTGGTGTCCGTGTATTCAAAACAATGGCTGGCAACACACTGTCCTTTTTGGCACTTTGAGCAAGGAACGCAGCTACTTGTGCCATCCTGGTATTTCACCTTATATTCTTTCAGTTCATGGCAAGGTGGATCTTGTAAAGAAGGTGCACATTCCATTGATGCCTGAAGAGCATATTATTGTATATGCATTATCATACAATATTATACAATATACATACAATACATATTATGCATAAAAGTATTAACTCACCATATATTTGAAGGCCATTGTTAAAGGGAGAAACCAGTTTTGTTGATATTCCCCACGAATTCCGGTCACTGTGACCATAGCAACAACAACAGACACTTTTATGTCTCTGCACATTTTATCACATAATCCTAACCTAGTTGAAAATGCTAGTCTTTCCAGAATATAGCGTTTACGGCTTTATAGGATTTGCATATACTGATATAACATCCAGGAATTGATCGTTGGATTAATTATAACATTCTTCGAACGGTAGCAGCATCTGTCCTCTGGAAAGCTGATAACCGACATCCGCCAAAATCAAAATATTTACCCAATACGCGGGACTATTTTCTATGGATTTAAGTATATTTAGACTAAGAATCCAGGTGCCTATAACAAAGAAATGTCACTTTAACCTTGTTTTACTTATAAGATATGCCATAATAAAACATACAAAGCGTCGTTTCACATTGCAAAAACAGAACAAACACACATCAGTATAAAAAAAGATTCCTGATCCATATCACTTGCATCTAGACTTCCTGGTCTTTTTTTCTCACAATCGAATAATCATACGAATCAAAAATACATACTGTATATAATTGTTAATATGCAATTTAATTGCTGTATTTTTTATTGACGCCATCGACTAATTGTTGTATTGGGGGACTAATAACAAAACTTTTAAGTGGCCCTCAGTCAATTTGATTTGTATTCGAGTATTTTGATAAGATCTGGGCTAAGTGTCAAGGTTAAATTATTTGCATTTCAATGCAACAATTTCGTCGAACTCACCCCTAGATTTCCTTTTTTAAGCATATAAAGATAAATATTAGTACAAACATGGATAACTTCTTTGCAATGGGTTAAAGTTATTCAATTTAGGGAAACAATTATTTGATATTCCGATTGAAATTTAGAGATCTACCTCTGACTTTGTAGATTTGGTGTTTGATGTGTGTGTGTGTCGATATAAAAACAAATTTAGAGAGAAAACGAAAGTAGATATAGATATTATTAAAAATGAATTCGATGGTCAGTGTTTCTTTGACAATTCTTATCTTCGGTTCGGTACATAGTTGTTTCACGAGTGGCTTTTGGAGCCATACAGAAGACAATGAAGTAGACGCGCATGATGAACAAAAACAATCAACAGTCGAGGGGAATCCCACAACTGAGCGGGACATTGAATACAAAGTACCGCCAATAAATGCAATCAAATATAGAACCGAACATGAGGGGAGTCCCGGTATTTACCCGAATGAAATTCTGACGAGGTCAACTGGAGAACGGTTGTTTGAGACCACGACATTCCAACGAAGAACATCCGAATCCGAAACAAATGACATTGATACGAGAAGAATAAGACCGAGGAGCACCTCGCAGAGGCCACGTTCAGTAAAGCGCAAAAAGAAAGGAAGGGTAAGTATTTAAATCATTATCTAAGATAATGGCTCACTTGCCAACAAATTAATAATAAATTTCACATTGAAATAAAACGGCGTTAAAATGTGGTATTTGTTTTTTAGTATTCTTTTATGTAAACTTATTTTTTTATGTTTTTAGAGAGCATCAATTCATGTTATACCTGACATTCAATCCGAATACCCACTTCCGGGGTCTTTTGATAAACATGGTAAGATTTGTAGATCGTTGCTCATTTATACTCATTTTAGAGGTCTAAATACTTCATATTCCTTACCTGTCTTGTAGAATTAGCATATAACTTCTATTATTATATCATTGCTATAAATCGTGTGATTTGATTGGCTGATTCAGTACCATGTGATCAAAAATACCATAGCGTATGTCACAGCTCCCTGAATTCTGACAATTGCTTTGGACGAAAATAATAGTACTTTATAATGATACGTGTACATAATAATGTTAACTTTATATGGGTTTATGATATATATATTGATCAAAATAAATGTTCTATATTTCTAGCAATGACATAATAAAACAAATATTTCATTCTACGTTCGGGCAATACCTGTTGCACTTTCAATGATTTTTGCAGCATGTATTTTCCTCGCTCTATGGACTGCGGGCAAAACATACTGCAATGATAAACAGGCATTGCTCTCCATAGAATGAAATATGTGCTTTATACTTTCGAAAATAAGGTTCCATCGCTTTAGTTATCGACTTTGAAAAAACAATTCAGTATATTTTTTAAATGCCATAATGTGCATGAATTGATTGAGGTAGTATCAAACACACAACTTCCAAAACATAAACGATACTATGCAGCAGGAATTCTAGTTGTCTAATACGTTGACCGAGTCACAATTTTGAAGTGAACATAGTGACCCATCAATGAAAAAGCGGATCCCCAAAATGGAGCCCTGATCAAACCACCGGTTTTGGATATTGAATATTTAATGATGGGAAAATTAGCTGATGAATCGAATGACGTCTTTGACGATCTATGTTAATGCCTTGTTCAAAATGAATGAGCATTAACACTGTGGCAAAAAGACTATATATAGTAATCGAATCACCTGTAAACTATGCTCGACTAATATCAACTGTCATTGCGTGAAATATCTCTTGTATCTCCTGTGTTGTACTACAGACACAACCCAGAGATTTGCCGGACCACTAGAATAGGTAGTACTATTTGCCACTCCACTATATATATGAGCTAATATAAGCTGTTTTATATATCAAGGCTAACAGATAGTCTCTCTACCACTGTCTACTATAAAACTAATAACATTTATTTTTGTCAGGAAACATCAACGGTAAATGGGTCGTAGAATCAAACACAAATACAAAAATGGGTTTAATAATCGACTCTCCAAAAGACCCCTCGTCCTACAATGCGGCATACATCCAGGTGAAAAGAGCCGGGCAGTATTTCATATATGGGCAAGTTTTCTTCCATGGAGAAAATCATGAGATGGCCCATTGTTTGCACGTAGCTGATACATACAAGCCTTGTTCGGAAATTACATGTGACGACCGGAAAGTGATGTGTTCCCGATCAGCACCGGGACACCCCGAGACTATCGCAAAAGTACAAAATGTGAATACGAACTATATAGGTGGCGTTGTGTATTTACAAAAAGGATCCACCATCCGACTCGCAATTGACGTTAATCTGAATATAAACAAAGAGAAAGCAATTGAGCTGGACAAGTCACTTTGTTATTTTGGTGCCTTTGCAGTATGAGATGTATTTCCACTAAATGTGTTTAAACCAAGTATGCCTGTCTAATACATCATGTCAGGGATGATTGGGTTGGGTATGTATGCAGCTGAAGGGAACCAAAAAGTCTGCTACTTTAAATCCTTGTCTTCATCCCAAGCATTGTGTTCAGTTATTTTATTTTGAGAAGCTTTATGCATTTCAAAGATGAAATGTGTTATATTTCATAGTTCATATTTCAACCCTGGTAATTGTGTCAACAGGGTTGTTTTGTTATCTTTTACTTTCGTTTTGATTGCCATTTGGAATACTTACAGGTGTATGCCTCGTTTGACATTTTGCCAAGTCTCAGATGTTTAACCCAGTGTTATATGGTATCCTTCCGCAATTGAAAAAAATCCAGCATCTGCCAATTGATATCAAATATTTAGGCAGGTGCTGTGCTGTAGTGTTTATTGTCAGACTATTCATTTTCTAGCAGTGACAAAAAGTTTGTCCCCTATGGTTAATTAATGAGATGTGGATGTTTGTTTGTTCCACAGGGAGTGCCCCAAACTGAATTCTAAATACAGTTTTATTATCGATTTAGCACGGGTACCAAGTATCGGCAGCTGTATATTAATTTTAAGCTTGCAATGTTTTTCACAACCTAAACGTGAACGGAAAATACTTAAGCGATGTATCTATATGGGCGATTGGTCATACGTATAGGTTGGCGTTTCGATTTTATATGCAAGCTTAAACCCCCTCATAATGAGGCAAGATGTCTGTAAGGAAATGGGTTTCGGGCACGGAACTACCTTTCTGTCGTTTATTTTGCTGTCATCTCGACCCTTCGACTTTCACTTTTTTTAGAAACGTGACAAAAATAATTATTGTGTAACAAGGATACGAGAGAATTGTTAAATTGCTTTTTTATAGGACTATAAAGCAAAACTTATGGACTTATCCCAGTCAATTAATTTCAGTTTAACATCGAAAGTGTTCAAATGCGTCATTGTATTGTATTGTATTTTGTTTACCACCAATGAAGGTGAGCAATACCTCTTGGGTATCTATTCGGTCGTAATTTTACGTAATTATCCTGGAAGATAGACCCAGAAACCCCTCCTTGAAGGAGCCCTGTGTTATTTTATGTGCACTTATACATAGACATACACGTACACACCACAGCCTTTTGTAAGAGTTGCGGACCACTCAGTCAAACACCCTGAAGTACTTCACGCAAACAAGCAAATTTAGTCTTGCCTGAACCGGGGATCGAATCCGGGACCTATTGCGTAAGAGGTACCTGCGCTACCGCTGAGCTACACGGGTGGACTTGTACATCATGTCATGTATGCTGTTGTGGAATGTGCCTCATACTGTCATACCGCATGCGAAATAAATGATAATATATTAAATTAGTTGTTGAGATAAATACATGTATATAACATAATTTAGATACTGTCATTACATGTACTTGAGATTTCAAAAATGCAGACATAGATATATATTGTTTATCTACAATAATCCATCTATGGAACTTGTAAATGTATATATGGATTTATGATATTTTAATAAATATCGTGTAGGTATTTATCGAAATATTGAAGTTGTTTGTTATGTGCTTCTATGTTCTAATCGATAGAGAAGGTATTGGAACAGCAGTTCAAGGCCACAAAAAGTTCAAAGATCAAGGCCACGCTGCACCCGACCGCATCATTCCATTACCCTGTAGGAAACTTGGCATCCTCTCTCCTGAAGTTTTATGGCATCCCCCTGGCTTGCATATGGGGTATTCACTATTGCAACAGAAGTTCAACCCTCGGGGGCAACACACAGGCCATTTGTCGGAACAGCATGTGTAGACGCCACCGTTGTCGTGACAACAATGGGGAAAACCTTTTGAACAGCAGCTATTTTTGTTCGGAACTGGACAGCATATTGCGTCTTTCAATCCACAGCACCAAGCTTCTGTGATATTCTTGGTTTTCACTCCTAGAAAAATATACATGATGATTTTTGTTATGATTTGTTGTCTAAGTAATAAATAAAGGTCAAGGTCACAACTTTAGGTGAAATGCAATAAACAAAAGCTACTGAATATTGCTTGGGTGCAATGTTAATGTATTATTTGGCAGTTTGTAGAGTTAATATTTTTCAGTACAATCTGATGACGGTCGAAAACAGTTCAATTTAAAGAGATTTGAAACCCGAATGGATAACTCCTGGTTTCAATTCTTCACATATAGAAACACAAATTCACCAAAATCAATTTTTTGAGTTTGTCCAAGCGTTCTTAAAAACGCGCGCCCCGCTCACCATGGAAACTAATTTCAGCTTCGCAGCAGGTAGCCGCCTCTCCATCACAACAGGCATTATGACCTGAACATTTTTGCTCTTGTTGGTTACACGGGCAGCCATTCTTGAGTAGACCTACGTCATCTTGACAGCGTTTTGAGGTTGATTCGTCAAAACAGAATTTTGATAAGGACATGTAGTCCGAGGCCGCATCCCAATTTGACCCCGTTACATATCTAAATAGAAAAGATTACACGAGATTAGTGATGATACCCAATGGTATTTCGTGTACGTCCTCAAATAATTGTTTCAGATAAAGCTGACACACTTCTTTTGCCTGATAGCACGATAATATTATTTGAATTTGTAACAAAAGGCGTAGGCAGGATAGGAGAAGCAAATTTAAATTGGGGGAAATTCAAAAGCGAAAACTATCATACTACCAAGTATCATAGAATTTCATCTCTTTAGGGTCATGATTTGTATTTTCTGTAAATAAATTGTGGAGCTTTTCCGTATTTTAAAAAAGCTTCTATTTAACGTCAAACATGACACATTTTCTCATATACAGGGTTATGCACCCCCCTCCCGTAAACCCATACATGTAGCATTGCAACCCTATCCTGTTATATATCATTGTTTCCAATGGAAATTTACATAAGATTCTAAAGTTTCAGAATCTCGTGGTGCCCAAGTGGAATTTTTAGGAAAAAATTCGTTTCTGTATTGCACATTTCTAGCAGTTAATTGTCATCATGGCAGAGTTCAGTGCACATGAATGCAGTTATGCACAAAGATATTTAGATAGGATTCATGCAGTGGCTTATAGGGAGGTTAGGGACCCTGGTGCGACTTATATATCACCAAATATAGGTTATGAGAAAAGTAAACAAATCACCATACCCAGACACCATACCCGCAAACTTTGACACATTGTATCTTTTTTCAGGGACACCGCTGGATTTTGAAACTTTGCACAACTTGTACAAGTTATTGAAAAATAAACATAAAGATATCCTTCATTACTCAACATTTCGTATGATCATCAAAGATAGCTTTTGCTTGGGAGAACGATGCGTCAGTGTGAAGCACATCCAAAGAACCGGGTGATTTATTTACTATGTAAAACAAAGGTGGATTGGCTCCCAGGGTTCAAACTCGATATTCTGCCTTATATGTCGTAATTACAAAATTGAAATTCAAATAGCCGCCATTTTTCACTTCAGAATTTAAATCGCGAGTTTTGGTTTTATTTCCAAACAAAAATTGGAACCCTTGGAGCCAATCCCATAGGTGAAACCGTGATGAAATGCTTACGAGTTAAAGTCTACGTATTGTTCAAGAAGATCCTCTCCCATACTGAACGTGATATCAACTACTGCATTCTGTACATCGCAACACATCAGCTCAAAGTTTGAGAACACTGTCTTTGAGATATCAATAGACTGTATCAGTGAGATTACGAATAACTCGTCTGCTTGAGTTTGATTGATACAAGCTACGGAACTACAGTCACATTTATCTCCTAGTTTCGTACTTTGTCCCTTGATTGTATGTTGATAAAGTCCGCCAACCGAATCAAAGGCTAGCTCAGCACCAGTTGATTGTAAGTTAAATCCCCTACCAATACGCATAACACCTGAAACATATGATAATTCACATTTTTTTCTTTACGTGTTTACCCACAATTGGTAATTTATACAATCGGGAACGCAGAGCTTGGAGGCATCTATCTATGCCCAGATACATTCAGTGCTGGATATAGTTAAAACAAAAACTATTCCTGGTGATAATCATCATCAAGTTTATTCATTTTAAAAGTTCGTGGGTAAAATTAATCATTAAAAAATTTTAAATAAAAAACTAAAATAGAACATTTCATCCTTAGTGTCTCTGTCCCTATCACCACTGTTCCACAGCTGGATGACTCTAACTGCAGTTAGCGTCATTCAAGATGGTTTCCCAAATTCTAATCTCGTTTTTGACAAACCTTCGATTTCAGCTTAACTAAGCTGAATTTTTATTCAAAAAGTTTCGCCATGCAAACTAATAAGACTATAATTGTAAAAAACACAAATAAATGACAAAACACCTGCAATATTAGAGAATGTGAAAGAAAACGGCTTCACTTAGAATGACTCTAACTTAAGTTGATGATGACAACTTCAGTTAGAGTCATTCTAAGTGAAGCTGTTTTCTTTAAAATTCACCCATATCGTGGTTGTTAGAGTATTTATCTGTGGTTGTTCCAATCGTGAATTTATTAGTTTAGATGACGAAACTTTTGGAATGCAGATTCAACTGAGCATAATGGTTTAGCTGAAATCGGAGGTTTGTCGAAAACGAAAGAATTTCGACAACCATCTTGAATGACGCTAACTGCAGTTAGCGTCATCCAGCTGTGGAACAGCGATCACGCTCTATCAGTTCTAAACGGTAACTCAGACTACATGTATACACTTTAGACATATTTATAATTTTACACAAACAAAAGGCATGGCACCCACCAGATGAATCTAGAAACATGCACATCATGTTTGGCTCGTGTTGTTTGATCAGTTCTCTGGGGTCACAGAATGTCTGGTCTCTGAGCACTCGTGGAACAAACTTCAAAGACGATGCTTGCATGGGAGCGATCATTGCATATGCTAATATAACTCTTAGAACCATGTTAGCTGGAAAAAACATAAGACATATGTAAAGCTCTGCTTCAAAATGAAAGAATGGAAATGATCATCGAAAAGTCAACCCTAAATTTTCAGCTAATTTCCAATAATGTCTAGGATATAGTCTACATTAGTGAGGTTAGCCAAATCAGTACTGTACCTGTTTCCTGAGACACTTGTAGAATCTTGTTGTAAGTTTTGAAAAGTTACTCCAAGGCGATGTATGTACACTGTGTCTCAACACCAAACAGTGCCAATGGTTCTCTGAGTAATCCGAATCAGAAAGAGTAATGAACCCCGATATTTAACTCAAGATATACATCTCTCATAAACTCGTGACTACATTTGTTATGGCTCAGGCCAAGTACATTTAAATATAACTCTCTTTGTATTGTGAATGTTTTTCTGTATTTGAGTGTAAACAAAGCGGATAAAGTTTGAATGGCAATTCAGGTCACGAGAACCCGAAAATTGTATTGGCAGTTTCGTGTTTTTATCCAAGCTCAGTTTCTGAGCAAATAGTATAGTTTCCATATAGCTTTTGAAATCTCGCTAAATCTCGTTTTTCGTGAGATTTTAAGAGACTTGCATATTAGACCTCTAATGACTTACATTACCTTCTTTTAAATGGCATATTTGAATTCAGTGAAATGTTTTCTCCTTTAATAGCTTTGATTGATACAGTTATGTAATTTGAATAATTTTCTATAACAATTTAAAAAAACTTGGGCCAAATGTCCATAGATGCAATGCTAAAATTCTTCAAATCCGTGGATTATTTGTATGTCAATCAACATTTGCATGTTTAATCACATCATGTACATAAACAGGGTCATCATGTGGTATGTCATTCAAGTTTTATACAGATTCAACAAACACACTTTGATAAATCATGAAATTAAGCCAATTTTCCAAGATGAATGGAGCTCTAGCCCAAGTTAAAAGCTGAATAAAAGATGGCAGCACGAGATTTCATTGATTTTTCTGCTATTTAGAAACTATCCTATTCTCCAATAGTGAAAAATTTTGTCCGAAGATTCCAATAAACTATTTGAAAGTTGAGAATCAGACGCATGCGTACGGGGATTTCCTGTTAAAATGTCTATTTAGCTTAATTAGTAAATACCAATTTTATTTCTAAACAGTTAGGGCCTAACATTTGAAGAATGACGAAAAGGGGAGCTTTCAAACTTTATTAAAATTTATTCCAGTACAATAACTTGGAGCTTATGAATTAATGATACACTGTCTTTAAAAAGTATAAAAACGCCCTGGGGATAATCCCACTTTCCTGACTTAAAGCAAATACGTTTTTGACAATGTATACCCTAATCTTGCTTTAATAATCTGTGATGTCTTATTGAGTAAACATAATGAAAATAGACACTCATTCTAAAACACGATTTATCTGAATTGACCGGGTACTACATGAATTGATGAATAGATGGCATCACTTTTGTTAATAGAGCAAAATTCAAGTATTCAAATGTCGGTCGATGTCACAGTCCGCTGTCACAATCCAATACAAAATGCTCAAATATTGGATAGGTCATGTTTTATTAGTTCTTTAGTAGAAGAACACAATTTCGTTTTCATTAGATATAAAATCACAACTGACTAAAAATGTGAACAATATAAAAAATGCTCAAATATCAATACCATCGTATAATATTGTGTCAGTCCATGTTTTGGGGGCTGTAAGGTTGTTGAAATAGTATCTATATCTCCCAAAATCCCAGTTACCTTCCCTTATTAAGCGGTAGAAGAAATTATTCAACTGTAGCGCCCACGCACGATATGAACGAATTTTCATACAGCATAGTTCCCATGTCATATACGCCTGATTTGGTTCAAATGTCAAAGCCTAACGTCAACTATAAAGTAGTTTAATTCGATGAAAACTAAAAATACTGAAATCGACAATTACCGTCCGCCATCTTAGATGCAAGGTAACGTCCGTCTCCTTCGCTTGATACTGACCAATGAAGGGTGGGCAAATATGCCTATTATATTGATAAACTACTCGTATGGTATAAGAGGGAGTTTAAGCTTGCAATGTTTTTCACAACCTAAACGCGAACGGAAAATATTTTGTATGGTCATACGAATAGGTTGGCGTTTCGATTTTGTATGCTATTTTAAACTACCTAATATCATAATGATCTACGTATTCTTTGTTTTACTAATGTTGCAAGATCATCTTTTATGTCAAGTTGGCATTTGTTTTTTGTCACTAGTTTGTCCATATGTGCCAAAATTCAAAACAATCAAATATTCATCCTAAAAGAGTATGTAGCTCCTACATTTTTCATTTTCTAAATTGTTAGCTCACATGGTGAGCTTTTCACTCACTTGTCCGTCTGTCCGCCTGTCCGTCCGTCCGTCAACAATAGTGGCACATTTTAAAACCTCTGTCGATAGGATTCTTATTTTAAGTTATTTTTGTTCAGAATCAATACCAAAAAACACCCATATGACTTCTGATCAAAAACTCGCCTATTTTCAGAATGGCCACCATTTGCTAGGTTTATAAATGATTGCAGGTGTCTTGCATAGTAAGAACCCATATGCATGTTACTGTAAAAAAGTAGTCTTATGCAATAATTTTGTAAAAATGGCAAAAACGTATGTCCATTTTTTTAATGTCGGCCATTTTGGGGTTTTCCTACTTTGTAAATAATTTCAAGTCTCCTGCATAGTAAAATACCATATCACTGTAAAGAGTAGTTGTATGACTCAATAATTTTGTTACAAAAATTGGCAAAAATTGTATTCGTTCTTTTTTTTTATTTTCAGCCATTTTAGTTAACATTGATTTGTCCATCTGTCTCGCAAAATCCACTTTTGGACCAATTGCTTTAAAACCTCTGTCGATAGGATTCCCGTTTTAAGTTAATTTTGTTCAACATCAATACAGAAAACCCGCCTGTGACTCCTTGTTCAAAAGCTCGACTGTCTTCAAAATGGCCGCCATTTTTGTCTCGCGAAATCCACATTTGGACCATTTTTTAAAACCTTTGTCAATAGGATTCGTGTTTTAAGTTATTTTTGTTCAAAATCAACAGAGAAAACTCCCCATGACTCCTGGTTTCAAAAGCTCGCCTATTTTCAAAATGGCAACCATTTTTGTCGCACAAAGTTTACTTTTTGTTCATTTGCTAGGTTTATAAAAGATTTCAGGTGTATTGCATAGCAAAAACCCATGTTACTGCAAAAAGTACTTTTATGCGATAATTTTGTAAAAAATGGGAAAAACAGATGTCCATTTTTTTTATTGTCGACCATTTTTGGGTTTTCCAACCTTAAATATTGTCTTTGAAGTCTTATCTACAGTGTACATGTTTTAAGTCAAACCTCTGTCGACATGATTCTGGTTTTAGATTACATTTGTTAATTAACAATATAGCCCCCTATGGCTCCTGTTTCAAAAGTTCGCCTATTCTAAAAATGGCTGCCATTTTTTTGTCGAGGGAAATTCACTTTTTGTCTGTCTGTCCACAATATGCAGAATGTTTTAAAACCTCTGTTGATGGGATTAAGAAGTTATTTTTGTTTAACATCTATCTATACAGAAACAAATTATTGTCAGCCATTTTTGGATTTTCAGTTCTAAAATCTTGTCTATGAAGTTAAAACTATTAACTGATTAGTTTTGGGGCATTTGGGGTAAATTTTAAGGTTCTCAGTTTGGATTTTTTGTCTAGAAAACTAGTAACACAACACCATGTAAGCCCAGTACCCACGGTACTATTCATTGTTTTTGTAATTCTCTCTTTCTGACACTAATCTTAAAATCTAAAAATATACTTCCTGATAAAATTTGATTTTAAGATACACACCTGTGTCCTTGTGGATTTGTAAAAGGCTTAATTCCTCTCAAATTGACAAAAATCTTATTTTATTTGAGATTTAAATTTGAAAATACTCTTCATCATTACAAAATAGATTCTAAAAGATTCACCCTTTCATAATTGTGAATTTATAACTTTTCAAGAATTTTTTTTATTAGAATTGAATAATGTTATTTTATTAATGAAAACTATAGTGCCATGGACTCGAAATACATCAGGTACCCTCAGACCTCACCAAACACCACGAAATATAAATAGCGTATGCAACATACTTGGAAGTATACCATCAGATTTTTAAGGCTAGATTTCTGTTTCCCGATGGTAAGGCCCTGAACTAAGACCAAGAATATGCAGATCTTCTAGACTCGTCAAGAACATAATATTTGCTGACATTCTATTTTGAAATTAATCATAGTCACATTTATCAATAACAGCACAATATATAAATCTATTTTCAATTTATTGTTATGTTAAAGAAAAAATACATGTTTTTATATGTTCTGCAATCCTTAAGGACCTGGAAGAGAATGTCAAGTGATGTTCGCAATTGCGACTTCGCAACTCTCATGGAGTTATATCTTATTGAATTCTTTTAGGACAGGACTACAGATCAGCTATAGTCTTCACAAAGTCCTAAGTTTGTCATAACCTTTTGCTTTGCATTCACACGACTGTCGAGGATAAACGATATCAAAGGGCTATGATATTTCTGGATAAATATCAATCAAATATTTGACTCAACAAGTACTTTTGTTCGCAGGGTGAAACTCCAAAAATAATTTCCTGCCACTAAAACCAAAGAGTGAGCCCAAATTTGGAAAATTTGAGGCCAATTTCCGACAGAATTTGGCCTAAAATTAGAAAATAAGGCCTCAAAAGGCCCAGTAATGACCAAGAAGGCCCACTTTTTTGGCCCAAACTTTTTGGGTCGATTTTTTCTGGGCCCACCCAAGGCGGGCCACTGGGATCCGCCAGTGAGCATGTTCGTGAATCTATTTACGACCTTGGGAAATTCATTAGAATTAACAGACTCAAGTGAACAAAGCACAGCATTTTGTCTTGTTGATGTATGATCGAAAGACATGACTGACAGAAATAAACAAACTAGATCCAACAACGCTGTCCCAAACAAGCGACGTATACATATCATACGATCTTGACGATGGTATTGATCTCTCCCTGCTGCCACCATGTAAAGACATGCGACATTTCAAAATGTACAAACTAACAAGCGTTAATCTCGAAGAATGCATATTTAAATGAATCAGATAAACCGAATTCCGAAACAGGAGTTTTGAGGCAAATAATATAATATATAAAGATGAACAATTAACACCGAGTGACACTAGTTCATACTTTGCTATGTCCCCACACGTAATATCAGAGCATCTGTGACAGCCAAGACTGGGTACCCCCCTAACCCCCCCCCCATTGTCACCATGTTGCAGGCCTGTAGCCAGGATTTCTCAACCGGGGGTTCAATTTTTGCTTTTCCATGAGCACTTGCACGCATGCGCAACCTAATTCTAAAAGATATGCCTGCGATAACCTAACCTACGTGGCCTTTTGTCTTAACAATGTTGCGAGATAACTTTAATGAAAAGTTTAAATTTTGATATTAGAATTCCATTTCATTCTGACACTAATCTTATTTTATTTGAGATTTAAATTTTTGATATTGATCATTTTATCACTTTCATTTTGACGCAAATCTTATTTATTGGGATTTAAATTTAAAAAATACACTTCATTAGCCTATAAAATATTGATTCTAAAAGATACCCCGATGCGTCATTGTGAATTTGCAACTTTTCAAAATGAAATAAGAATCGAATTATATGGCCAATAACCATATGTTTTAATACTCTGATAAAATAATTTTGCTTATAGACATCCCACCCTTGTAGTAAATTCGAATTATTACAATGGTTCAGTTCGTATTTATTACAAGAATGGAATGCAGATGTTTGAATTTGCGACGTATCCAAGTATAATATACTGTCTAATGTTTAGAGTATGTAATTACCAAACATACTCTAAACATTATCAAACATACTCTAAAACATTACCAAACATACTCTAAACATTATCAAACATACTCTAAAACATTACCAAACATACTCTTAACATTATCAAACATACCCTAAAACATTACCAAACATACTCTAAACATTATCAAACAAACTCTAAGACATTACCAAACATACTCTAAACATTATCAAACATACTCTAAAACATTACCAAACATACTCTAAACATTATCAAACATACTCTAAAACATTACCAAACATACTCTTAACATTATCAAACATACCCTAAAACATTACCAAACATACTCTAAACATTATCAAACATACTCTAAGACATTACCAAACATACTCTAAACATTATCAAACATACTCTAAAACATTACCAAACATACTCTAAACATTATCAAACATCCTCTAAATCATTACCAAACATACTCTAAACATTATCAAACATACTCTAAAACATTACCGAACATACTCTAAACATTATCAAACATACTCTAAAACATTACCAGACATACTTTAAACATTATCAAACATACTCTAAAACATTACCAAACATACTCTAAACATTATCAAACATACTCTAAAACATTACCAAACATACTCTAAACATTATCAAACATACTCTAAAACATTACCAAACATACTCTAAACATTATCAAACATACTCTAAAACATTACCAAACATACTCTAAACATTATCAAACATACTCTAAACATTATCAAACATACTCTAAAACATTATCAAACATACTCTAAACATTATCAAACATACTCTAAACATTATCAAACATACTCTAAAACATTACCAAACATACTCTAAACATTATCAAACATACTCTAAAACATTACCAAACATACTCTAAACATTATCAAACATACTCTAAAACATTACCAAACATACTCTAAACATTATCAAACATACTCTAAGACATTACCAAACATACTCTAAACATTATCAAACATACTCTAAGACATTATCAAATAAAGTATATATTAAATCGAAAGATTGATTGCACATGTTGTAATCGCCATTTTCACGGTAATGGTGACAAAAGTCTTTCACTTTAGGCAAAAATTCAATTCCATTATAGCATATTCAATATAAGTTAAAATGAATAAATCAGATATAAATATAATATTCAAAATACTCAGATTGGCACTCAACATTCCAATGGCATAACAAAAGTGAGATTAAAAAGTGTTCACATTGAGGCATGTTCAGATTAGTGAGGTGTTCAGATGTTCAGATGTACAGTACATATTTACTATATATATACATACATTGTTTTAAACTTATCATCCACTAAAAAATAAATTCATATTACATTTCCGTGTTTCATGCACAACTTTATAAAACTTAATTGACAAAATAAAGTAGAAACAAACATTAAGATACACTGCGTACATTTTTATACATTTGCCTATTAGAATTTTATTACGTTCAAGTCATACGTTCAAGTATTCAAAAATAAATATATAACGGTTCCGAATTGAAGAAAACTGTTTTTATTATGTTCAAGTCATTATTTTTCGTTCGCCTCACGTTGCCCAACATCTTGACCTATTAGATTCTACAAGATTAAATTTACTAAGCATTTCTATTCTGAATTTTTCTATTTCCCTCCACCAGTAGTTTCTATGTAGTGTCTTCGTATCAATATCCATATCTGAAAATTTGATTAAGGTTTCTTTAAGTAGTTTTTCGGTAAGATCTTCATAGTTGTCGATTAGAAGTACAGGCAGGTCTTTGAATAGTGGATCCAGTAAAGATCTTTGCACGATAGGTATAGAGCCAACATATAAGGCCTCCCAGATCCTGTGGGTGTCAAGCCCATTGCCCCTGGGTGCTACCCAAAATGGATACTTGGACAGACGCTCGTAAAGCAAAGTGAGTTTCTTATTTCCCGTAATATTGTTCGCCCATAATTTATCCTGACATTCTACAAAAGGATACTTTTCAGTACACAGTTGGGTCTTAACTGATTGTCGAGTTGGATGAGTAAATCCGAAATTAACCACGGCTAATTTTTGTATATCTCCATTTTCCATGCGTTTTCTGTTATTTTGCATCTTTTCTTTAATATTGTCTCCATATTTGTTGTTATAACGCTGCATCGCCTCACCGTGCTCATAACAGTTTAAACCAAGGGGTATTGGTCGGAACTTTGGATGAGCTATGTCGGGGTTTGATCCGTACCATCTTAATATCATAAAATTATCTAGTGATCTTGTATTATTACCTGGACTTTCGTAATCAGTTTGTCCAGTTAGAAGAATATACCCAGGTTTAAGGTGGTGTCCTAGCTGTTTGATAAAACTCTTTACAATTTTTGGATCGCCTTTAGAGTATAATATTGGAATCGGAGGAAGGCAATCCAGAACTTTTCTCACATTTGGTGTATTGATATTTTCATCAAAATGACGGTATGGCCATGCATAAACATAGTCTGCCATATCTCGAAACATGGTCGGACATAGGTAATCCCGATATAGTCTTGAATTAGCAACAGGTGGATAGCCTTTGGCGGTGTCATATTTCGCTGTGCATGGTTTACGGCACCTAGTAGTGCGTTCAAAATCAGGTTGTTCCTTTACATCTTCCATCATCTCGCGATCTGTCTTTATTTCCATCAGACGGGTATTGGATGGACGAAGATGAACATCTTCTGAAATGTTCCTTTGATATGAAACAAATAAATATACTAGTAAGATTGATAAGATGATGATTGTTGCAAAGTAAGTCTTTAATCTCTTTACACCCTCCAACATGATCTCAATATAATGATGATGATGATATTCACAGCATATATTTAGTCCTTTTAAATCACTGTGGCCTATTTCCAACAGACTTCCTGTCTGGTAGGAAGATTTATCTGCCAATGTGGCTTTCAATAAAGGTTAAAAACATACTTGACACATAACCACATATGTTATACTAAACCGATTAAAACTGATAATATATTTTAAACATATATTTGTAAATGTGATATATCTCTCACAACACACATTGGTATATAATTGTTGTGCGTGCTTATACTCCGAGAATAAGCCTACATGGAATAAGTATTTCATAATCACTTGCTGTTTCTTTTTGCTTCATCAAGCTTCGGGCCTGTGATGTGGGAACCGACGATGTGCTGTTTATCATTTTAAAAAAAGCTACATGGTAGAGAAAACTGATGCAAATGACATTTTGAGACCTATCAGAGCAATATGCTAATAGTAATATATTCAATTTAAAAAAAAAGACTTTCCCAATTCGATTTCTAGCAAGCTGAATAAGTTTAAACAATAAATGGGACTTAAAGGTTAAAAACATATGAACTAATGGCAAATTGTGGATAAAAAGGATTTGTTCAATTTTTGAACTTTCGAAGGTCACTGAAGGTCAACCAAAGGTTAAGTCTCAAATCTGAGGTCACATTTGAGGTCCTGACACTTTGTGGATGATGTTTTAAAAGAAATTGTTCGATTTGAGCAAGTTGAAAAAAGGCATTAACATGACAAAATGTCACCACCTAGTTGCTTAAATGAGAAGTCAGATTTGAAGTTGGGAGTTCATTTTGAAAAAATTGGTTAATTCGGAAGCAAGTTGACAAGGTCACTGAAGGTCAAATCTCAAATCAAAAGTCAGATTTGAGCTTCTGAGACATTGTAGACGATTTTGAAAAACAAATTTGGTCAATTCTTTTTTATCTTCAATATCTCAAAAATCTGGGGAAAATGTCTCTATACAGCAAAATGCTATCACTAAAAGAATACTAATATCTATCTGTATACATTATTTCAGTCAAAAATATTGATTTGTAGTTCCAAACTTTAAGAAACTTATGATAGCACAGTTTGTAACAAACTCCAAGTTTTATGACCTTGACAATTTCACATTTTCAGACCTCAGTCGTTTTTTTGTGATTATGTTTTGTGACCTTAATTTGAATCCAAATAGTCAAGTTGAAAAATCAACTTTTTAGCATTTAGGTCACTCAAGGTCAACCAAAGGTCAAATCCCAAATATAAGGTCAGATTTGAACTCCTGAGACTTTGAAAAATGCCGTTGAGGTCACTGAGGGGTGGGGTTGTAAATTTACGGACAAAATCCATGTTTAATAATAGATACATTTTTATTCATTGTTCATTACATGTAAGTGTTTGTAATATCAGATACATTGTATGTTATAAACATTAACTGATTGTTCATTTTTAATATGTGTATTACCCAATGGACTATATCTGCTGATACCTAACTGGACTTGATACAAGTTGAGCATTTACAAATTTATAATATAATAGCATAAATAAACAAGGCATTCACAATTAGTCCTAAATGAATGAAAATGTAATCTTTATGTTGGCTGATGTATTCAAATCATCCATTTGAGATCGATTGTGAAAGTCGTAACACTGCAAAAATATACAGTAAAACCTGTCTAAGTGAACACCTTTGGTACCTCTAAAATATGTTCCACTTGGGAGGTGTTCCACTTATAGAGGTTCATTTAACACTAAGTCAGTTAGACTTGGGACTCTGAAAAGTGTTCCACTAGCCGAGGTGTTCGACTTTAAGAGGTGTTCCACTTTACTGGTTTCACTGTACCTCAATGACTCAAATGAATGCGCATTTTTGCACAAACTTAAATACAAGATCAGCACACTGTATCAAATTATATAAAACAAAAATGCCTTTATATGTTATGATTATCAAGAATTTTAATATCATTATGGAACGGGCCTAAATGTGTACATCATGAAAAAACAGAATAAACATATAAAAATATAAATTACTCAAAGTTATTTACAAACTGATAATATAAAAAGTCATGAAATTTACAGAACAGCAAGTCTACTTTGTGAATATACAAACTATGGTTTATATACAAACTATGGTACTGTTAACCATAGTGCTGGCCTTGATGATATAAACCATAGTGCTGATGCATGATGTAAATCAGAAAGCTAGTCTAAATGATGTAAACCATAGTGCTGATGCATAAGGTAATCCAGAGTGTAAGTCTAAATGATGTTAACCATAGTGCCGATGCATGATGTAAACCTTAGTGCTAGTCTATATGTTATAAACTATAGGAAGTGTTCATAATGTATATCATAGTGCTAGTCCACATGGTGCAAACCATAGTGCTTTTCCATGATGTGAACCATAGTGCTAGTATTATGTGTTAATTCCTATGCACTATGTGCTTCATATTAAAATTCTCATAATAAACTTACTTGATTTGATTTGGAGAAAAACTAAAACTGGGTGTATAAGGATCATTTGTGGAGTCTTGAGGAGTGTATAAGGATCATTTGGGGATGGGTGTATTAGGATCACAAGGGGAGGGGTGTTATTAGGATCATTAGTAAAGGGATGTATAATGATCACTTGGGGAGGGGTGTATTAGAAATTTAGGGAAGGGGTGTGTTTGGAAGGATCATTTTGAAAGTGGTGTATTATGATCACTTGGGGAGGGTTTAATTAGGATCATTTGGGGAGCAGTGTATCAGGATCATTTGGGGATGGGTGCATTAGGATCACTTGGGGAGCAGTGTTTTAGGATCATTTGAGGAGGGGTGCTTTAGGATTACTTGGGGAGGGGTGTATTAAAATCATTTGGAATAGACTAGATGCGAGTAGAAAAAATCTTGATTTACGTCATTAAATATTCAAAATTCAGTCAAAGTGATATCATATTTGAAATCTACATGTAAAAGTACATCTACAAATATGATTTCGAAAATTGTTAATTAACTTTGAAAATTTAATTTTTTTGAAAATGTGACTTCTAGCTCGGGTTGATTCCCCATAGACCCAATGTTACAAAATCACAAAAAGAGAAATATCTTTTCTTGTATTGGACAGATAAAATTTTCTTTTACTGGACATATTTTAATTCACATAACAATTAGATACATAAGGGTTATATGAAAATTGAACAACTAAAACAGATGTAATTTAAGTTAAAGGGAACATTCTACTATACCCGCCATGCTATCTGACCCGAACGAGCCACCTGGTGGTGAAACTGGTAACTACTTACTCGCATCTGCGTTATTTAGGCGGATCTTAACCCAAACTGTTCAAATCATGAAGCAATATGCCTCCTCAAAAGACTCATACTTCAAGGAATGCTACTTATGAACATTAGCATTAACAGAAACATAGAGAATATCTTTCTGCTCAAAAACATACAGGGTTATATAATTATTGAAAACCCAATACATATAATGTTTCCATTCTGGTATATAAAGGATGTCATTTTAGATTAATACATACTGTAGTTGATGTCATTTTATACGGTAATTGATGTCATTTTAGAATAATATGTCAGCTGTGTAATGTAACAAATACTCATTTTTGTGAATTCTATTAATTTTTATTTTGTGTTTTGTGTTCAAGTGGGCATATCTTTGCACTAAATATCATGAATGTTGGCATAATCTTTTTTAACCAAACAGAATTTCTACAAACATTTGACCAACATATATTTTAAAGAAAAAAGAGAGCATTTGTATTTATACATATCAAACAACCTTTCATATTGAATAAAGCCTCCGTTACATTTGCTCTAAGGCGGGCATACAACGGCTGTGGCTTCACAAAAACAATAAAGAAAATCTACATCATTCTGCTTATCCTTATAGTTTATGCTGCATATTTCTCTTGATTTTAGGAAGCTATGTTCGCGGTACTGTCTGGTTGCTTTAGATCAAATGTAACTGAGGCACAACAGCTCTGGTCTTAAGTTAGAAAGATTCAAGTTATGAGATGGTTGAAAGTTTAGAGAGTTCAAAAGCTTTCACATAATATGATGTATTTCATATAGCATCGTATTGTGTATTTATTACTCTTGAAGTAAAAGTCGATGTCAATATACAGTACATTTATGTCACTGGCATGTAGCGGCCCTGATATCGATAAATTCTACACGCAATATAACCCGATTCTAAATGCTTGGTTAAAACTTTACACGAAAAGCCTCTATATCCGGGCATTTACTCTTACACTGAACTGAAAATAGCATCGTCTAAACATGTATGTGTTGGCTTCCGGGTGAGTTTATCAACATTTATACTCAATTGAAAGAGCAGTCGTGCTTATATCGTGTACCAGTTTGATTAATTTATATGTGTGTGTATTTATAATATGATAGACTAGTAATACCGTGTCGTTAGAACAACTGCTAGATATCGAACTGATGACCTGAAATTACATTATTGGACTGATCGCGCATCTGATATTAAATGATTAATTTGCATTGAATCTGATATTAACTTGCAACCCAATACCGTGACTTTACATTTGAATGATAACACGGCCTCATATTCTAATAGAGGAGTTTCTAAATGATTTTGAAATCTCGCTAATTCTCGTTTTTCATGAGATTTTAAGAGATTTGCACGTTTTACCTCTAATGACTTACTTTTCTCTCTTTTGAATAGCATATTTGAATTCAGTGGTATATTTCCTACAATAATAGCTTTGATTTACACATATATGTCATTTAAATCATTCTCCATGACATTTTAAAAAAACTTGGGCTAAATCTCTATTGATGTTATGCTAAAATTCTTTAAAACCATGGTTTAATCGTATGACAAGCAACATTTTCATGTTTAATCACAATATGTTCATTGACAGGGTCATTTAATAGTATATCATTCAGGTTTCAGACAGATTTGACTAACACTCTTTGATAAATCATGAAATTAAGTGACTATTGCAAGCTTTTAGCATAGCACTCAAAGGAAGGCTGGCCCAAGATGAACAAACATGACATCTATTATGTCAGCTTTATTCAGCTTTATTTAGCTATTTAGAAACTATACTATTCATTATACGTCCATTGCAGGCCAAAAATGTTTCAATGTGGATATTGTAATGCACAAGAGAATACATTCGATTCGTATATTGATCATACATCAATTGAACATGGAGATTTTCCTGTACACTTGTCCCAAACCTGTGGAATAGACTAGATGCGAGTACAAATTATCTTGATTTACGTCATCAAATATTCAAAATTCAGTCAAAGTGATGTCATATTTGAAATCTACATGTATAAATACATCTAAAAATATGGTTTCGGAAATTGTTTATCAACTTTGAAAATCTTTTTTAAATATTTTTGAAAATAATTAAAAAATGTAAAAAGAATATCACTTTTCAAACCATCGAATATCACTTTTTATCCCACGATTAATGTGTTATCTGTACAATAACAGCTCTTGATATTTCTGATATCATTGAAATTCGTGTGAAATTTTCCATAAATTTCGTTTATCATACTCATATGCGCGTGATATCGTTTATCTCACGCATATCCGTGTGATATCACATTTGCATTTCGCGCCACAATATTGTTGGAAATTAGGTCAGATAATTTATTCTCTTTTGAGAAAATAGGTCCGTTAATTTATTCTCTTTAAGTTTCATTGGTGTATTAAATTACGATTGTGTATATAATTTGATTAGAAGGCTGCTAAATAACGATTAAAAAATTGTATTTATGACGAACTATATCACAAGGTGATCGTAATCATGGGATAAACCAAATATCACATAATTTCTCGTGATATCATTTTATCGCCTCGTAGATATCAAATATCAACACTCATTCGCTTCGCTCACTCGTGTTGATATTTGATATCAACTCGGCGATAAAAATGATATCACTCAAAATGATGTGATATTCTGTATTTATTCCATACTTAGCATGATATCCATAGGATAACATGTCAAAATAAAAACGGTATTTTTGAAATCAGTGGTAAAATATGATATTTTTTTAAACGAAAATTTGAAAATAAAAATTTGAAAAAAAATTGTGGAAGAAAATTATGTGAAAAAAAATTTGAAAAAAAAATTTGGAAAAAAATGTGAAAAAAATTTGGGAAAAAAATTCATTTTTGAAAAAAATTGAAAACAAATTTGGAAAAAATTTGAATTTTTTTTGAAAATGATAACATATTTTGCAAGTAAACACACCAGAGCATATGGGATACATGCTTACCTCATCAGGTATGGAACACAACAGTTATGCACGGTCGGTTTGGATACAGGAAATATATCTTGGGATATACAATACATCTTCCCTTGGTCCCTTCAGTCCCTCGGGAAGATAAATTGTATATCCCTTGGGATATTCCCTGTATCCAAAACCTCCCAGTGCATAACCCCTATATAAAGTTTAGCATGATATGTACTTCTTTCTGTAACTGGAATACGATTCTAATATACAAGCAACACATACGTATTCCCGGGGAACCATAAATATTTTGTGTAGGGTGTGGACATTTTTCTTTTCATTTCTCTAAAATCAGATTATTCTCATAAAATTCATACAAAGTTGGGCCTAAGCCTCTATTTGCGTATTCTGCATGTTAAGATATTTATAATGTAAAACTTAAGAGATAAATTCAATGTCTTCAGTTGAGAATAAGTATAAGGTGAATGTGTGAATTCTGCTTGTTGTTGCACTATTTTTATAATAAACAAGGATCGATACGCAACACTGAATAGACTGCAGGCATAGCTTAGTTGTAAAGAAAACAAAAGAAGTTGGGACGTGGTCATGCTTGAATACGATTTTAATTATATCGCCGTTTACATTTGTTGAAATCGGCCTGTATTAATTTCAACAGGTGATCGGTGTACAAGGGCATATATTTGAGTTATTGGTTTAATGATAAGTATGACCTATGAGTGGGTAATGTTTTACAAATGCATGAAACAAATACTCCAGTGGCCTAATCTCAATTTTCCTGCATAAACTATAACATTGAAATGATGGTCATTTCCTCTCTAACTTCCGCACCGCATACGTAACTTCGTAACAATTCAATAAGCCAAGACAGGACCGCTATAATCGCTACATGCCAGTGTTATGTACAGGGTGTCAAATAAATATGTCCCCCCTTCATTTCAAGAGTATAAACTTTTGTGCATAAAAGTGCACAAATTAGAGTTGCTCCATGGAGCCTTGTTTTAAGGTACTAAAGAATAATTTGGATATCATACAGAAAAAAAGTTATGCAACATTTTGTGGATGTTAAAGTTGAGGGGAGAACATATTTATTTGACACCCTGTATATTAATGTATATGCGTCTTCCAATCTGGAAACATTTCAGAATTGCACTTAAGTCATAATTATGTGTAAATTCTCAACCACTATATTCAGTTGTACACACTGGTCTTATACTGACATCCTTCCTTATTTCACGAGTTCCCATCATGTAAACATACTTGACACATATAAGAAGCACATGGCCAGTTCAGTTAATACCATAAATATCATTATACAACCAATTAATATCATGGTAACATGTTTAATGCAAGTAACAGAGACGTTGCCAGTTAGCAAACATGTCCAGTTCAAATCATCCTCACTGGGGTGGACTGGATTTGCTATCGTCAGCCCTTAGCACAGGATTTCCTTCTGTATTTCCATTAACTATCATATCACATCATATCGTATCATATTATAATGTCAACATCATATAAACATATCCATTGTTTCCAGTTCTATCATATTCACCTGTACATATAGTAAGGAATGATTAAGGTAAGCGTGAAATACAGCATAACAGCTCATTGACTTCTTCTAGCTCATTGACTTCTTCTAGCTCATTGACTACTAAGCTCATTGAGTACTAGCTCTTTGACTTGCGTATACCTCCAAACATGCTCTGTACTCCAAGTTTGATACTGCTGCGTAAACTCTGAAATAAAAAAATTAAAGCAGTTAAAAAATTCTGTTGAGTATCTAGTACTGTATTAGTGTACAGTTTTATGTACAGTATTCAATTTGATAAACTAGTAAATTAACACTACAGTATTATATATTCAGATAATTTGCATTTATTCTAGGATTCGTCCACAAAGGTTGTCCAAAATCTCTTCGGTTTGCTCGGAATTTTTAACATGCAATGAATAGTGTTCATTTTTTGACCTCAGTCACTCCCTATACACTGGTTTTATTTATGTTTGCATTCTAGGTTTCACATGTATGGAACATTTGAAAAGGCAAGATCAAAAGTACGAATTCATTCATCATAGATTTGTGTTGAGAACATGATACATTCATCAGGAATATAATTAATGATGATTTTAATTATTTCAAAAAGATCCTGTTACTTATGTTTTCAACCATTACAAAACATTCATAATTCTTTTATTTACTGAAAATTGCCACTGTCCAACGCCCTTTTGGAGTTTCTCTCTATTGAAAATTCTTAAATACATGTGCAATGTGACTTGCAGTAGGCAAATCAATTTTTTGTTTCATTCTCGATTCCACCTCCTCTTAATTATTGTTTATGGAAGCACACAGATTTTGCTAGACAATAAAAAAATTCTTTAACTACAATAATGAGAACACCAACAACAAAAAATGGTTTCAGTCCCAAATCTGAGCTTACTCGCATTAAACAGACTCTAATGATATTTTTTCGACCGATCTAATCCTCTATTGAACATGTTGGTTAGTACCTTAACTATCAAGACCTCCTCTTTTTGAACATGACGGTTACCTTAACTATCAAGACCTCCTCCATTTGAACATGACGGTTACCTTAACTATCAAGAGCTCCTCTTTTTGAACATGATGGTTACTTTAACTATCAAGACCTCCGCTTTTATACATGACGGTTACCTTAACTATCACCGTTCCCTCTTTTTGAATATGACGATTACCTTAACTATTAAGACCTCCTCTTTTTGAATATGACGGTTACCTTAAATATCAAGACTTCCTCATTTTGAACATGATGGTTACCTTAACTATCAAGACCTCCTCATTTTACACATGACATTTACCTTAACAATCAAGATCTCCTCTTTTTGAACATGATGGTTATCTTAACTATCAAGACCTCCTCTTTTTGAACATGACGGTTACATTGATTATCAAGACCTCCTCTTTTTGAACATGACGGTTACCTTAACTATCAAGACCTCCCCCATTTGAACATGACGGTTACCTTAACTATCAAGATCTCCTCTTTTTGAACATGATGGTTACCTTAACTATCAAGACCTCCTCTTTTTGAACATGACGGTTACATTGATTATCAAGACCTCCTCTTTTTATTCATGGCGGTTACCTTAACTATCAAGACCTCCTCTTTTTGAACATGACGGTTACATTGATTATCAAGACCTCCTCTTTTTGAACATGACGGTTACCTTAACTACCAAGACCTCCTCCATTTGAACATGACGGTTACCTTAACTATCAAGATCTCCTCTTTTTGAACATGATGGTTACCTTAACTATCAAGATCTCCTCTTTTTGAACATGACGGTTACATTGATTATCAAGACCTCCTCTTTTTATTCATGGCAGTTACCTTAACTATCAAGACCTCCTCTTTTTGAACATGACAGTTACCTTAACTATCAAGATCTCCTCTTTTTGAACATGACAGTTACCTTAACTATCAAGACCTCCTCTTTTTGAACATGACAGTTACCTTAACTATCAAGACCTCCTCTTTTTGAACATGATGGTTACCTTAACTATCAAGACCTCCTCTTTTTGAACATGACGGTTACATTGATTATCAAGACCTCCTCTTTTTATTCATGGCAGTTACCTTAACTATCAAGACCTCCTCTTTTTGAACATGACAGTTACCTTAACTATCAAGATCTCCTCTTTTTGAACATGACAGTTACCTTAACTATCAAGACCTCCTCTTTTTGAACATGACGGTTACCTTAACTATCAAGATCTCCTCTTTTTGAACATGATGGTTACCTTAACTATCAAGACCTCCTCTTTTTGAACATGACGGTTACATTGATTATCAAGACCTCCTCTTTTTATTCATGGCAGTTACCTTAACTATCAAGACCTCCTCTTTTTGAACATGACAGTTACCTTAACTATCAAGATCTCCTCTTTTTGAACATGACAGTTACCTTAACTATCAAGACCTCCTCTTTTTGAACATGACAGTTACCTTAACTATCAAGATCTCCTCTTTTTGAACAAGAAAGTTACTTTAACTATCAAGACCTCCTCTTTTTGAACATGACAGTTACCTTAACTGTCACGACTTCCTCTTTTTGAACATGATGGTTACCTTAACTATCAAGATCCCCTCTTTTTGAACATGATGGTTACCTTAACTATCAAGATCCCCCTCTTTTTGAACACGATAGTTAGCTTAACTATCAAGACCCCTCTTTTTGAACACGATAGTTACCTCAACTATCAAGACCCCCTCTTTTTGAACATGCCCATCACATTGCTCACACCTCTCTGTACACCAGACTTAAGGGAAGCAGTTAGGCCTGCCTAAAATATAGAAAGCAAATAATACAACCATGCTAGGATACAATAAGACATGCAGTATACACAACCATACAGACTGCTGGGGTTTACTAGGGGTCTTCCATCAAATTTTGATCCATGGGGTTATTTCATGCTGGGGCTCTTTGGCTATGGGGTTACATTGACCTTGGCTGACAACTGAAATTTCTGAAGTTAGCTATTTTGTATTTAGATCTCTTCAATCGGATATTTCAATATTTTTAATTTATCATAATTTAAAAATGGTAGACTCTCTAGAACTTTATAAATAAGCCATGGTTGAAATAACCCCAAGATGAACAATGACAATGGTCGACATTGAGCAGAAGTCCCCTAGTGGAAATATTCTTGTATAAACAACATAAATAGGCTGTAGATTATCTAGTCTGTAGCACTAAAAATGAAACAAATGTATTTTTGTCAAATGCAGAATACTGTACTATAAGACCACAGGCCTCATTATCCATTACAGGTATTGCAATAAATCCATCTATGTAAAAATGAGGAAAAATAATATACAAATTCATAAATAATCTCATGCAAAATTCAGTCTGTTGGCGACAATAGTTAAAGCCTTATATTAGCATTACATTGATTGAGCAGTTTACCAGTGTAAATAAGTCATAGCAGCCTTGTCAATCTGTCTTATGGAAAACAACGCCAGTTTCTGATTTGCCTTTTCTGAAACAAGCAATCAAATCATTGATTTTAATTTGTCTGTGTATGTACACAGAGAGAGAGTTCAGTGTTGTTTGTGGTTCTAGTTCATTTCCAGTGATTTGAAAAAAGGGCCTGATTTTATGTGTTTTCATATAATTCTCAGGACATTGTTCGAGCCAGTTGCCAGTTTTCGCAAAGGGGGTTCACTTTTTAAAAAATTCCAAGGGGGTTCACTTTTGACAATTTTGGTCCAAAAATGGCAAAAATCAGTTGTAAAGTGCTTAGAATGGTGAAAAACTGTATGATTTTGAAAGAATTTTTGGCCAGATGAGGGGAGGAGGATGGTTCCCGCAAATTCAGCTAGTTCCACTATATTTTGTGTTAAGAACAATCACCCTGATATTGTACTTATAATAACTTTTTTATTTTTACATTCATTACAGAATAACAGAGGGACAAGGCTGTTATAAGAATATTTCTGTGAAAAGAAGGTTCCAGAAAGTTCTCATACCTTTTGACCTTGGTTCTGCATTTGTTTGTGTCTTTCTCCAGCTGTAGGGTGGGCATCTAGGCATTTCTGATACCTCAACTGAAGAAAAAAGCAAATATTTCAGCTTTGTTTTATCTTGATTGAAAAAACACAAGTATGCCTCAACATTTGCTCTATGGCAACCTGGAGTGACAGCATTTCCTCGAAAATCAAGAAATACTACAATGCCCATAGAATACAGTATATATATGTATGGTTGGTTGCATTACTGCCACTAGTACAGCATATCCCAGTTTTCTATGGGCAGTATGGTCAGTGCCATAATCATAACAAGAGTTATAACTTTTTTACAACATTTCTAATACCTCAAGCAAAACCAAAATACCAAAACAAACACAAATATGATCTATATGAGTATATCCCCCATACCTTACATGCTGCTTCTATAGTTTTACACAGGGCACCTGCAGAAGGGTCACAATGGAAAACATGGGCCACATACTGATCCTCTGCACTGTGCATTATAAAGCCACCAAGTCTAAAAATAAATAGAACAGATATACAAAGGTGGCTGTATATATTTATACAAAGTCGCTCATGTAAAATTGGACTTTTATCATATTTTAATTAAATAATAAAGCATCAACATGCAAAAACTCAGCACCTGCCATTTGTTACAGATGCTCCTTAACATCAACCGCTGAACACTATCCACAAAAAAAGTTGGAGATGACACTCATATTAACAATATGTCACCACTTCTGGTGGTGAAAAAAATAATGCTATTCCAAAATAATTCTAATCAATGAGGGATCACATGAGATTTTAATGCATGATGTTTTTGAAGAGCACTTCAGGCTTATTATATCAACTTGAATTTTACATGAACAGCTTATCTATGAACTAATGAATGCCATATGTGAACAAGTGATAAGGATGATGTTTCGCTTGGTCTGCCGAAAATCTATGACACATCATTTATTTGTATTTAGACTTTTTATTGAAGGTTTAATCCTTAAATAATGCCATAAAATATGTTTTTGACTTACTTGACATTGGACATTGCTATCCCCATGAAAGACAAGAAACGCACTCTGCACTCAGCAAGAATGTTATCTTCATTCTGAAAAGGAATAAAAACACTGAGATATATACGAGGGGTGATCAGAAAGTAATGGACCATTGGCTCTAATTTCATCAATATTTACCCTTTCCACATAATTTTTTCACACAATATAACTGTATTTAATGTCTTGATCTTTGTAGAGTCAAATTAATCAGTTTCGTTATACGATTTCCCCTCAAAACATAATTGCTAAATGACTGAAGTTAAACAATGAGTGATCATAAAATTCTCATCATATCAATCTAACTTGACTTTTCAATATATTCTCCTCAGGAACACCTACCTCACAGTCGCATACAGTAATGGTGGAAGGGGCAATGCCAATGTTACATTCAACCCAATTCTGTTCTGGTACAGTTCGATGCACAGTCTCCAGGGCAGCATTTAGAACATCAACCCCTACAATATAACAGAAATAATACAGTTTAATCCACAGACTCAATTAGATAATTTCCACGGTCCAAGAATATCCCCTACTTTCTTGTTATAGATTCAACTTTTTGTAAACAATGAAAAGATAACATTGGATTAGTTTTTGCTTGTGTGGGAAAATAATCATTAACTAGCTAACGAAAGCTTGTCATAGAACTCAAGGAGGATTGGCTCCCTTGATCGAAACTTGATATTTTCCAACAATGAAAATGTCGAAATGTTGTTATTTTCTGAAATTAAAACTGACTGTAAATTGAGAATAAACAGTTAAAAAGATTCGAACCAATATCTCGATCATTTCTTGTGAGTTTTGGAATTTTTCGGAGGGAAATAAGACCAAAATTCATGATTCAAATGTTGAAGTGAACAAAATGGCGGCTGTTTGAATTCCAATTTTGTATAATGACATGCCCATATATGGGACAGAATATCAATGTTGCACTCTGGGAGCCAGTCCTCCCTCCTTGCATAAAATTGTTCATATTCATAAGTGTAGCTGTAGATGATATGATCCTAATTCATTAACTTAAAAAAATCTCGACAATGATTTTCTCTCCACTAAAAAGCTGTTGAGAGACACTTTCCATTATTGCATATGGATTTTCTGAAGGTATTAAATCACGGGAGTTAACCAGACCTCATGATATTGTAAGCTTGCTTGGGGGTTCTATGTCTAAAACACTGGGACAGGGCTATACATATTACTTGGTGGTATGTTCAGCTTAACGCGGATCCTTAAATGCTCTCATTATGTTCAAGTCTGGTTTGTGCCCGTGAGCAGGAAACAATTGGATATGTAAAGTGTCGTATGAGCATATACCTGTTGACTTTGGAACCTGTGCTGTCCCAAGGTAATGACAGCGAAGCACCTTCTTTGGTTCCTCCATGGGGGTCGGGAATGATGTATCTGCAAATGCAACACAATAGGTATCACAATAATGTATACAGCAGTCAAAATATGTTTAAAATAGAGAACTAGAATTGTTGTAATTTGTTTCGCAAGATGGTCCATGTATTTATCATAATTTGACTAGGAATCCAATAATTCATATAAGTACCATCTACAATTTAAATCAAATTAAATTCAAAAACATAAATTCATCTCCAAATACGTCTAGTTTATTATCTCAATTTGGTAATATTTACTTTTATAAAGTTGTTCAAAGGTTATCTTTTTTCCATTCGCTTCTCCTGCTTTTTCTAAGTTTGGCAAGTTGTTTGGTCGACTGACTGCCATTCTCTGTATGGCTCCAGTGTTACTTTCCGTCTGCTTGGCAATCTGCAGAACATGGACAAAGTGGTACATATAAGATGGATCAATCTGCAGAACCTGTACAAATTGGTATATTTCAAATGGATGACAGGAACGGGAATAGACATATCATAAATACATACAATTATGATAAATTAGTAAAGGTAGTTTCAGATCTATTTATTTGCCTCGCTCATATTCACCCTATGCAGACTGTGCTATACGAAAACAAGTGGTGCGGATATTATGAGCGCAAAGTGCGGATATTAACAGTCATTTTGAATTTGATTTTGTGATATTTACATCATAGACATTTACATCAGAACACCTCTATACACCAATATTGAACATAACTGACACTAATAAACAAATCATAAAGAAACAACAAACATAACAAATAAGGCCATTTCAGAAGCTAACTGAATATTTGTAGCTTGGAAATCTAACTCGCAATTCGATCACTCTAGATTTTATCTTCAATGATGTTAGCTGCTTCATCCTCCTTAGCAGGTATCCAGACTCCATACCTCCTTCTTTCCCCCTGCTATAATCAATTTGGAAGCGCCCGATAAAACTGAATCACGTGATCTAATTATGCGCCGATGACATATAAATGATTGCTGTGTTGCGACAGCGCATCGAATTGCGAGTTCTTAATCAAGGAAATGCTAACTGCTTATCGCAGGGGGTAAAAAGAAAGAAGATATTCTGGGTTTTGAAGCCTTGTGATCGGAGGACGAGCTGCTTCCTTGGAATATTTTTTTGAATTTTTGTTTTATTATATTTCTTGATAATCTCACCTGTTGTTGCATGCTTCGCTCTAGCATTATTTTCTTACAGATGTCTCTCAACGTATTAGCGATCTGCCTCGCAGGTGTGTCGCATCTGAACACATGACACATGTGCTTTCGGGTACTTCTGTCACGCGCCACGTAGGCAAAATCCCTAAAATATGAAAAAAACGTATAGCCTCAAACTTATTCATTTCACAGTAAATGTCAATGATATTTCTCCGAGTAAATTTCAAAAGTTCAAACCTGATTTCTCTATAAACATGGAAATTAGAGCATTTTTGTTAAAATTTATTGAACAGCCCTCGTATGCACTTATATAAATATTAGGGTTATTAGCCCTATCTAGCAAGAAAGTATGATATATAACTTCAGATATCAGACATCATGTCATTAATGTTACCAATTTATTTTCGCTAAAATATTTTTTTTATAAATTAGAGGAATGTTCAATAAATACTGGATAAAGTGATATTGATAACATTGAGACAGATATACTCTTCAAATTATTGTGTATCTGAATGTACCATCATTTTATGCAAAATACCAGTAGCTCCCTCTACAGTTAATAATGTACTGTAGGTACACTTAAAATTACAAATAACAATAAAAATGTAATGTTCATTTCTAAATTAAGAAATTTGATTTTCTAATAAGAACTGTAATTGAAACATTTACCATTAGAAAGCTGTAAATAAAATAACCATTTTCAAAATTAATTTTACACAAAAATATGATGCATTGACAAATACCAACTCTAGTTTAAAAAGGGAAATTTTAACCAAAAACCAAAATAAAAATTTGAATGATTAAATGATGTTCAATTCTGAGTTGGAACAAAGCTTTACTTTACTTTACAATATTCAAGTAATCTATGCAACTTAATATTTTATAAGCTCTAACAACTTTGGGTTAAAATTTTTTATTTTTTTATACAATTTGCATGCAGAATTTCCAGTGGCGTATACTACCCAAATAAACCCTTAAAGAAAAATTAGACACAATGAACAATATTGAACCTAAAAATCATAAATGGCCCAAAATCAAATCAGTTTGAGATTTTTATACCAAGAAAAATCCCTGAAAATTTTAAATCAATCAATGGAAATGCACAGATAAGTAAAGCGAGACGCTGCCGCCAATGACCTGCCCCCTATCAAATGAAACATATACAGAAGACTAATGGCCCATCTGTGATTACCTCATCCAAAACAAGTCACATGACTGAATCCGACTAATTAATTACATCGATTTTTGACAACATGTTGAGATTTATAAGCATCCGGTGTTGTCACCTTAATTTGCAAATCTATCTTTCAAGGAACATTTTAGGCACCCCTTTTTCATGATAAGCAAATAAAATACATGTATATATATGAAAGCAAAAGACATGCTGGATGAGTGAATAAATGTATGTATCATAATTGGCCTATACCTTTCCCTGTTGCAAGCAATTCAGAATAATCAGTTTTGAATATTTTAAAATATCTTAAATACATACTACTGTTGTTTTTTCTGTCCAAGACTCAGTCCCATGAGATGCCTCGATGTTAGGTTTCATTTACACTCAATTAGTTTTAAAAGAGTGGCAGGCCCATAGCCAGCTTTTGTCAAGGGGGAGCAGGCCCATAGCCAGGGGGATTCGCAGGGTTTGGGCGAACCTCCCCCCAGGCCAAAAATTCTTTCAAAATCATGCAGTTTTTCACCATTTTGAGCACTTCTTAAGAGATTTTAGCCATATTTGGGCCAAAATTGTCAAATGTGAACCCCCCTGGAAATATCTGAAAACTGAACCCCCCTTGGCAAATCCTGGCTACGGGTCTGGGGAGGGTTCACTTTTCTTAAAATTCCAGGGGGTTCACATTTGATAACTCTGGCTTGAAAAATGCTCAGAGTGGTGAAAAATACATGATTTTGAAAAAATTTTGACTTCCCCAAATCCTCCTGGCTACAGGCCTGAGTCATTAACCAAATTGGTTAGGCTCTCAAGGGGCTTTGTATTGTAACATGTTTGAGTATTGGCTATGTAGAGAAAGATAAAAGGGTGCATTTTAGGCAAAATTTGCAACATTAGCTCAAGAATTTACAAATGTTGCGTGAGAATAAGGGCCTCCAAGAGAAATGAAAAATTGTAAGCATTTCCCATAATGCTGTAGTTAGAGAGATTGCACCACTTATTATATCGGCATCCCTGTGAAAGAGCTTGTTATGAGAAACATTCAAATTACATATTAATTTAGAAATATAAACATGCCCTAAATGCATGCCCCTTTTTGAAATGTCACTTTGGCCATAATGTTTGTTCAACGAAATCTCTTGAAAAAAGGTTTTATAAAACAATTTTGAATTTTGGGCATCTAAGAAGAATGTTGAATGCCTGCCTGTTGTTGATTCCAAGTCAATTTCATAAAATTTTACATTCTGCAAAATGGCCACATGACATTTCATCTGTGGGTATGTCACTCAAATTCAATAGCCATTTGTTCAACTGACCTTCCATTATCTCTACCTACTCCCCACACACGGATGGACTGTATTGGCTGACGATTCAATAGAGTCATGTCTGTGGGGTCAAACAGGGTGAGGTGCTCATTATCAAGCTCCATGTATAAATCCTTACCCTACAAATTAAATACCAACCATACACTGTGCATGGTTACAAAGCAAATTCTTTAAAAAACTCATTGAATCAGGCCAATTTTCAAAATCTGACCATTTTAAAAACATAATAATTAAATGTCGTTTGGCCTTCCGCCATGATCTGGCTAAAACTAAATTAATGTTTAAAAATATGTAAACCAGAGTTTTACATCAATATGCCAATGTAAAGGAATTTATTAAGTTAGGGATGGTAGGGATGGTGTCGAATTATCAATTTATGGAAAACAAAAATAATTCTGTTATGGTTTGAGCCTCTCCTCATCTAACAAGATTTTAAAATGTTCATTTGTCTTTAGCTTGAATATCAAAAATATTAAAAATCACTATTTGCAAATGAAACCATCATGATAATTTATCTCCTCCCCCTAACCAAACTAACTTCGTTATTCCTCAACTGTTGATAATTGGACCTCATCCCTTACATTAAAACGTTTACTTAAAACATCATTACTTACATCACCCCATCTTCCGACAACATCATTAATATCATTCCTCCCTAGAGACAGGTCAACAATACATTTATTGACAGCTTTGCTACTCTTATCAGGTGTAAGGTCCTCTTCTGCGATTCTGACCCAGCCAAGGGAACGAACAGCGAACCGAATCTTTTTCTCGGCCTCGGGAGAACTTGTGTTGGACAATGACTCTTGTGTTGATGCTTTCGACCTAGGGTAATGAGAATGTGTGTAGATATGTGAAATATCCCTCAGGAGATTTCTGGGATGAATAATTAACAGATTGGAAAATTGGAATGACAGGATCAAACAAAACTAAGCACAAAATATTTTTCATTGTACATCAACTCATATTAAACAAGGCATTAACATCTGCCATTTGTTACAGACACTCAACACCATTTGTTAGACATCAACTGCCAAACGCTGAACACCATCCGCAAAAAGTTGGTTGTGACATCAAAATTATTCAGATATGCAAAACATCAAAAACCTAACATCCTTTATATCAATACTTTTTGAATACTCTGTATTAGCCAACTATTTGTGACTTTTTTTGACTGGATTCAATAACTTACAGAGACTTGACTGATTCAGCTGCATACTTCAAAGCATGGCCCTCAAACTCTTGTAGGAAGTTCTGCCCATTGCCAGGGGTAGTGGGAATAGAACCATTGGAACTCTGTAACAAAGAGTTTAATTTACACACACAGACCATATAATTTACTAAAGGGCCATTGATAAAGAGAGATATTGACATTCTTTCTTTCGGACATGAATATATTTTGTCTGAATAATTTATTGTATATGTAAGGTATCATACAAAGGCTAACATATAAAGCCTAACTTTATGCCAATAGTTGCAACCTGAAATTACCAATATCATGCAGGCCTGTAGCCATCAAAATTCTTTGAAAATCATGCAGTTTTTCGCTTTTCAAGTCATTTTGGGCCAAAGTTGTCTTTGAACCCTCCTGGAATTTTTTGAACAGTGAACCCCTTGGCAAAAGCAGGCTACGGGCCTGTCATGGCAAGGCTAATTCAAACAATGCTAATATCTCAAGACTATTGTCATGTCAAGACCTATATCAGACTTGCATAAACTCAATATGCAGTCTTGATATGATTCTAACCTCACCATGGTATGGTTTTGACTCGTTAGCTTTGACATATAAAATTAGCCTTGCCATGATATTACTCGAGACACAAAATAAGTCTTGACATAATATAAGTCTTGACTTGATGTCAGTCTTGACTTGACATTTTGCAATAATAAGTGATTACCTGGCTGCTGTTGGATGTCTGTCTTTGTGTCTCTGGGGGAGGGGGTGGCGGTGGATCCCGCTGGATTGTACCACTCTTTATATGCCAGTAGTATGCCCCATTCTCATCTGAAAATACATCGCAAAATGTGAAATATTTCATTTTCTATTTTGTGTCATATTGGGTTCCATAACTAATTGAAAGTCCATGCTGAAAACAAGGCACTAACATGCAAAATGTCACCAACTGCCATTTGTTGCAGATGCTGAATGTCTATCGCCGGAGTCTATCTCTCCTCCAAGTAATTTCTCGTTGAACTCTCATCAATTCATTGATTTTGTAGTTTTTCGTTAATTAACACTGATCAAGTGAGCCCAAATTACGGAACTGCTTTAGGATTGCTTTAGTCCTTGCTGATTCCTCTCAATGTCACTTTCATACAATATACACTCCCCTCCATAAGTCTGGCAACTGAGTCTTCATTTGATAGCACATCAAAGTCTGTCCATGATTGGATCTTAATTTTGTTCCTTAATTACAATAGTCCAAATCTATGACAAACTGATGATTTATTTAAATCACAAAAACATAAACAAGCTTTGATGAGTGATCCAAAAGGTGATTTCAAGTTGCCAAATTTATGGAGGGGAGTGTAAATCAGATTTCAATAACATTTATCTGAATTCCCCGATTCCCCGAAGGCCAATCATTCTGAGGCCATATTGATTAATCCCATGTTAAAAACATTTGATTTAATAATTTTGACAAATGGGACTGATTAATGGCGATACGAAGACCAAATGGAGTTTAGATGATTCACACTTAATCCCGTAAACATCTTAAATTTTTGGGAGTTCTTTCAAAAAGTATTTAAGACATCATGATCATAGTTCACCTCGCAAAAACAAAGGAAATATTGAAGTGGAGAATTTAACTAACGAATTGACATATCAAGGGTCAAAATCTCTTGGAACACTTAAAATTATTAATCTGCGTTGTCCGCCGAGAGTTATGACTTATCTTGCAGCCAATCAAAGCTCAAGGGAATGCTAGAGAATACAGCAAATGAAAATCATTAGGCCAAGCCATGAAACTGACAAATGAACATAAGAACTAGAAGAGGGAAGAATAAAAGGGAGGTAGTGATCTTATAGGTATATAATTTTATTCCTTCCCAAATCCATCCTAGTGCTAATATCACTGTTAGATTCTGGAGAGTAACAGGAGGTCAGGTCCTTCCTGAGGTTGGCCTAAAAATGTCCTAATTTTTGATTTTCAAAAAGAGGTCTCTTTTAAAATTAGGACTCAATTTTTGTAAAAGTGGCCCTGAAGTGACCCTTATGCCAGCACAAGAAATAAGACCCTCTTACCATTTTTAATAAGATCAATCTAGTTTCCGTAATCTAAGGTACAAACACATCTAAAGTAACAACATATCTTACCCTCATGTTTCTCCCAGCCTGGGGGTAGATCAGTTAGTTTGGGCGGGGCTTCCGGTGGGGGCAGGGCATCAATCTGAAAAACATATATATCATACATATTATATACCATAAGGCCATCCTAATCAATGGCAGATTTATTACCAAATGTTGATATTTATTTCAACAAAACCAATATACATATAATATGATATATGTATAAATATTAAATCCAGTAAAACTTGTATATCCAAACACCTCTCTAATCTGAACACCTTTCAATGTGAACACTTTTTGGTCCCACTTTTTGATCTGCCAAAAAACTCGAATATAGTATATTCATCTCTTATGTTGAACATATAACAAAGTGGTGAGATCCGACATGTAGTATAGTAGTACTGACACCATAAGGTAAATTTTCAACAGAGTATATATCGTATCTTAAAATTAATATCCTGCTATACATTGTAAAGTAAGATCTCCAGCCATTGCCTGAATATAAAGATACATCTACAAAAACAATGTTTCATGTTTCATCCAAAGCCTGAAGTAACAATAAAGTCCATGCCATCTGGTCCCCTGGTATAATATTTCATGCCTATACCTATAAATAGATTCGTTTTTTAAAGCCGAAATATTCAAGACTATGAAATAAATAATTCTATGCGTAATTCTGGAATGTCCATCGGTCTCTCACCTTCATGTAGACTCAGTGGCAATATCTAAACACTAACAGACAGAGGACGATATTCAGACAGTAGCCCATGAATGAAATATCACAACGATAATGTTATAAAGTGAATAACGAAGTAAAATGGGCAAAATACGCGTGAAATGAATATTCAAAAACGAAGCTTGATATTCCAAAAAATTATATAGTAATTTACGAAAAAACAGACTTTAGTTGAATATCAGAGAGGAAGTTGGGAGGAAATATGTGAAATATGCATGAACGGAGTGATATTTTACACCCAGGATGCCAACATCTAATTTCCCACTGACACTAAGCACTCAACTGTCCAAAATATCTAATTGAGACTCACACAATTTCATGATCTTTTTCATTAGATAACGGCGAGATCATACAGGATGATGTGACATTTCGATGTAATCCAGATCATGAACTTCAACATATTCAGAATATTCCTTGTTTAGTTCTCTCCGTTCAACAATATCTTTGAAGAAAAACTGGACTAGATTACAAATTTTGTGCAAGGTAGGAGCTAAGGGACCAGGAAGATATAAGTCAAAAAATCGTTGATTTATGTTGGATATTTGCCTAATTCATCTTATTACATAACTCTAATAAATGTCACGCTAGTATGTGTATATTCAGTATCCAGAACATAACTCAAAACAAAAGATTTAATTGGTCAACGAAAGAAATAGCTCACAGAATCCATGATGAATTTTCTATTTCTTAGCACAAATGAGGTTTATACTATGTAAGAATATATTACAGAAGTCAATATGTTTTTTGATAAAAAAAAACAGAAAAAAAAGAAAAAAAAACCAAAACAAATGAGGTTGCCCTGTCCAGAGAAATATATCTTGATTGATTATTTAGTCCAACGTGACATTTGCCAATGACTCTTCAAATTATACAACCAAATTATATCCATGGCCTGTTTTAGAGGGTTTCGTTGACTTTTCATCTAAAATGTTTCTGTGACTCTGTTTAAAAGGTTTCTTTGACTTTTTGTCTAGAAGGTTTTCATAACTCCTTGTCTAGTGGGTTTCTATGACTCTTTGTCTAGTAGGTTTCTATGACTCTTTGTCTAAAGGGTTTCTTTGACTCTTTGTCTAAAGGGTTTCTATGACTCTTTGTCTAGTAGGTTTCTATGACTCTTTGTCTAAAGGGTTTGTATGGCTCTTTGTCAAAAGAATTTTTATGACTTTTTGTGTGACTCTTTGTTTAATAAGGGTTTTCTTTGAGTTTTTGTCTAGGAGGTTTCTAAGACTCTTTGACTAACAGGTTTCATTTCTGAGCTTGTATTCGCAAATGCGACTAATGCCGTTGGCTACCAGATTAACCTACCATTTTATTGGCAACTCATCTAAATATGAATTGTACCTGCCACTATTCCATTCATATTTAAATGAGTGGTAGCTGATAGGCGTTAGTTGCATTCACAAATACAAGACTCTCTGTCTAAAATGTTTCTCTGACTTTTCTGTCTAAAAGAGTTTCTTCAGCTAAACAGTGAATCTTTAGCTGAAGGTGAAACCTCAAACAGTTAAGTTGCACTAAAAAGCATGGTCTGATGCAAAATGCAACAACCAACTTAAGTCTTCCAACTAAACAATGGGGTCAAATCTGGGGTCACTGGGCACAGACCTCAGGTCAAGTGTTTTGCCAAAACATGTGAGGACTCTTCAGAAATAGCGTCATTTTGGGCAAAAACTTTAAAACAGTACAACACTTACCTCATCAGATGCTTTCTCTTGTGTAGTTGCCTTTTTGACATTGTTGGTCTTCTTGGTCTTGTCAACCGTGGCGTAGATATTCTCATTGATGGGTCCACGTAGGTGAGTGTCGTCTGCTTGGATGCCAGAGTCATTGGAATCGGGGGAGTTGATCATACGGGCCTTTTCATCCAGGCTGTAAAAGAACATATTTATACTCTTAATTCAGGGTTTTGAATCCATGAATTACATGAAGTGCTCATCAATTCTGACTAGTGAAGTACATAATCAGATATCCCATTCCTCTTTGGAGGACTATGTTGCTCTTAACAATTAGTGGGTTACATTTTGACAACTTGTTTGCAACCTGTAAACATCTATCAGTGCATGAATTTCCCAAGAATTTTTTTGTCAGCAGGGAGCTATTCCTAATTTACAAGGATTGGTCAAAATATCTTCATATTTCAGTCCTAGAATGCAAAAAGATTTTCATCAAGGTGGCATGTCATTTTTTTTCAAGAGGGAAGCATGTAATTTTCAGATTTTCAACGGACCAATCAATGGACCAACAAATGCTGGAGAGATCACTGTATGTTAATTAGCCATGTTGATATTTCGGCCAATACTCCAACTGTGAGCTAGGAACAAATACATTTCAAAACAACATGATGAGAAAACCTTGTATCTGACCAGGCACTGCTCATAACTTACTAGTATATCTTATCATATAGTGGAGAAAGACCATGATCTCATATATACTGTTTCAAAGAGCCAAAAGATAAATCAACAGGATTTGCCTTTATGATGCTGTAAAACTGCCAGTATTCTAGCAAATGAATGGATTGAAGGTCTTCTGCTAGTGCATTTACAGTGAAATGATTATTGATTTAGGATTCTTTATCCAAATTATTAAAATATTTTGGGAAGAATCCATCCCTCGTATACCCCCTCCCCAACCCTACACACCCTAGTGCTTTTCCCCAGCCTCCTCTACCTCTCCCCCACCCTCAATTTTTCAAGTATTTGATAAGTGTCCATTGACTACATATATTTTTACATTGGGTAGCCTTGACAACAGATGCTGAATGCACTGAATGACCATTTGAGTAACTTAATACTCTCTTTAGAGATTTCTATGAGTGCATGGTGGCCTTAAAAATGATGTTATCCCATTAAAGTATCCTTCATGGCTATTGATTGAGCCAGGTGCAAGGTTGAGGCTTTAAGGATAATGCTCTAATACTGCTGATTCGTGTGGCATGTCAAAATGAGCCTTTAAAAATAATGATCTCATGTAGTTTTTTTTCTGTTGGTTTAGGTAAAATGCAAGCGTGAGGCTTTAAAAATAATGAGCTTCTCATGTAGCTATTTTCTGTTGGTTTAAGTAAAATGCAAGTGTGAGGCTTTAAAAATAATGATCCCAAGCAGATAATGATCGCCCAAGGTTGTCTACTGCACTCTGGTTTTACTTTAAGTTTCACTTCACTAAAGTCCCAAGTACCAGTAAACTGTATTTCCATACAGCCTTGAACAGTAATGAAGTCTGAGGTTTAGTATCCTCTTGCAGATATCAACAAGGTTGTGTTATAGAGGCTGTAGAAGCGATTCAAAGTCAAAACGATCGTTAACCAAAAAGTTGCAAAATATACAATAAGAAAAATAACTAAATTCCCCTAACATCCATGTTAATTGTAATGTGTAAAGTTCACCATACCATACTTTCCAATATTTGTTTATAATCCACAATAACAAGTTATGATTACAAATGATGTAATGCCGAGTGATGACAAGTGCCATGTGATAATACCAATTTATGATGAGTGCCACGTGATAATACCAATTTATGATAAATGCCATTTGAAAATACCAATTTATGATAAATGCCAAGTAATGGTATACGCCAAGTGATAATGAACTCTCTAAAACTTGCCTAGTATTGTTGTTATCATGAACACTTTTAGAAGTATTATCTGCAAGTGTGTCATGACTATTCCTTTCTTGAGATTCATGACTACTCATTTCTTGAGATTCATGACTATTCATTTCTTGTGATTCATGACTATCCATCTCACCATTCATTGCAAGTGCTTGTTTTTCTAAATCTTTAAGCCATTTAATAGTAACACTTTCCATTTTGTTTAATGTTGCGATATCACAAATCAAAAAAATTGCTGTCCTATCCAAATCATGAACATCAACTGTATTGTTTCAGTGCATCTCTTTATCTATAAAGAGTTTCAATGTATTTCTTTATTCTAAATGCAGTTTAATGTATTTTAATACTATGTTTAAATGCATTTCTTTGATCTGTATACTTGTTCAGTTTCAATGCATTTCTTCATTCCATATACAGTACAATGCATTTCTTTACATAGAGCTCAATGCATTTCTTAATTATTCCATATAGAGTAGTAAACTCTGAATTATTCTCATCTAAATCATTCCAAGTTCCTTTTACTGTTTGTTACAGAGACTTTTAAAATGCGTCTGCATGTTTTCATTCCTGAGACTTATATCTCTGTATCATAGTTTGTTATTTTATTCCCAATCTTTGGCCAGACAGATTCATAAGCCAAAACAATCTTTGTTTCCTGTTTGATCCATATCTCTGAAGTGGGCTTTTTAGAACTTCTTCCAATTACAGTACTCCATGAATCCAGTCCCCATTCCAAAAGTTTAACTCTAATTATACATTTTCGAAGAAATATTTCTAAAATTTGATTGAAGTGTTTAGTTTTCTTTCATTTCTATACAATTTAAAGTGTTAACTTTGTATTTATCCAACTTATTCCTTGCTTATTCCACTCTGTTTAATATTATTTTACATTTTAAAACATGACCAGAAATGTATTTTATTTCAGGCTAAGCCTATAAAACTAGTAATCTACCTTGAGAAAGAATTTCCTTGTTTCCTCATTTTTACCTTCCTGCTGCTCAGCATTGCCTAAAATCTTGAATTTCATTTGATTTATTTTTAATATAGTGCATCACCATTGTGTTTGTGAAGCTTTCCTTGTTATTTTCATCATTTTCATCATATTTTACAAGGAAGAACATTCACAGTGAAAGATTTTGTGGAAGATGGTTTTTCTTACCCTTGTTTTAAATTCTATTTTGTTAATCTTTATTTCACGTCATTTCACTCGAATTTCTCAATAGAGTGTCTCATATTCTTACTATTTGCTGTATAATCTAGGAAACTGACTGCAAGTCCATTTACTTTGCTGAGATTTCAATCGTTTTTACATTATTTTTGATTAGTATATGTCAATATCATTGTATTTTATCCATGGGTGCTGTGTTTTCAGGGTACAAAACAGCTGTTTTAGATTTCTTTTACACACAGACAGTCTTCAAAGATTTCATATGACAACTGTGGAAATTAGTCTTGGAGTTTCCTGTGGGCAGCATGTCTTGATTTAGTGTAGATTATTTGGGGAAATTTTGTGGCTTACTCTTTTGATCTATTTTATATGTGTAAAACAATGATACATTTGCATTTTTTAATTTGGACTATTCTATACATTATACTATTAAAAGAATGGATTTCATTCTCTATCCCCCCCCCCTGCATTCCTTAGACAGACATGGGAGGAGAAAATAAAAAAGATCATTTCAAAGCCGAATCCCTGATAGATAAATGTATAAGGATATATATGTTGTATCCAGAAATGTAATGTTTATTTGAAAAAGAGAGGATATCATATTTGGAACACAATAAAACACATATGTTTATATTAGATGAACAATTCAGATGTTTCTTGTAATATCACCACCCTCTTTTACCCTCTTTATAGCCCTTTATAATAACCCTCATTCTAAGTATATTGGATGATTCAGATTCCCACTATTGATTCTTGCCTTTGTTTTCCCTTTCAATAGATTCCAAAATGATACGAATAATCTGTAATTTACTCATGTCAAAATGCACATTACCATTATTTCCATTGGCTGATTATATCATTTCAAGCCCCATGCACTATACTGTAATGATAACTTAAACGCAGCCTTAATAAATGCATGGTAAACTTTTCATTAATTTACGAGGGCTAATTACAGTGAAACGTGTGTATACGAACACTTTACTTATCCGAACACCTCTCAATGTGAACACTTTTCTCAGTCAAATTTTGTAATCTCATTTAGACTCATTTATTGAGAATGCCTGACATGTGACTACCTGCTTAACCAAACACTTTTGGCTGGTCCCAATGGTGTTTGGATTATAAATAGGATTTACTATGTATATGTTTCCTTGAGGTTGGGCACCAGACTGTACACACTCTGTTTCAATTGTATCGACCCACCATTCATTTCACTTACTTAATTGGCCATGTATTCTTAGAACTGAGCTTTATACTGTAATTTTATCTAACTGCAACATAGTCAGAGCCTCAAGGCATTAACATACAAAATGTCACCACCTATCATTTGTCACCACCTGCCATTTGTTACAGCCACTGAACACCAACCATCAAACATCAACCACTGAATGCCATCCACAAAAACGTTGGACACCATAACAATATGTTACCACTTGTGGTGCTGGCATAACAAGGGATGATAACCAAATGGGTTAAAAAGTACTATGGGAGTTCATGCATATAAAGAATCTATTACGTGATCACTGGTTCTCTAAATGCATTCAATAGAGTGTGGAGTCCACTGAACTGCGACTGCTTACAGCTTTTGAGCCATAATTTGTCTTATAAAAATGGGTGATATTATCTTGAGCAGAATCATGTAGAGCATTTTATTCCATTGGCCATGTTTTGTTGGTTGTGTGCCTAAGACTGTACTCCTATATATACATACCTGTCTTGACTATCCTCCTTCTGGGGTTGTGTCTGTGATGTAGCCAACATGGCAGTCGTCTCATCATCTCCGCTTGATTCCTCCGCTGCGTTTGCACTCTCTTGACACCGTTTCACGGATTCCTCTAAACTGTGATAAAAATCCATAAATCCTCGATCTGATTTTATTTCCGCGTAAAGATCTTCCCCTTCGTCCTCTTCTTCTTCCTCTCCGGAATATTCCGACGATTTTGATTTGAGATTGTCCGATGATTGTTTAGAGTCGCCACCTGGTGAGGAGACTATGGAACTTGCACCTGTACTTACACCCATAGAATCAGAATCGGGTGAACAAACCGTAAACCCACAATTTATGTCCTTATTTGGTGGGTTTCCTCTACCGTCACCATCCCCAGCGCCACCTATCTCTATACCCATAGAGCTAAGGTCCATATTTGCATATTTTTTCCGACGCTTGCCACTTTTAGTGTTTTGTTGGTCTTGTTGACTTTCGAATGTGTTGACTTCATTAAAGTATTGCGTGCTTGCATTGTGATTTGAGTTTAACGCATCTTCAACTCCGAGTTGATAGTTGGGGTTTGTGTAGCTTGTTATAAGTTCATTGTCTGCAAATACACAGAAATAAATCATAAATAATAGATGGTATAAAATGGCAAGTATAGAACACAAAGATAATGTGTGCAAGATAAACATGTTCTGAAGGCACCTTAGATGAACACTTCTGAAAGATGAACACACTGCAAGGAAACCTATTAGATGAACACCTTAGAGATAGTACTATAGAATATAGTCATGCTTTGCAGAAAACACCTTTGCAGATGAATACCTCTAAGAAAACTGTATCTGGAAGAAAAATACATTTGGAAAATGAACACCTCTAGAAGAGGAGAAACACTGCAGGAAAAACACATCTGGAAGAAAACCTCATTTGGAACATGATCCTTTCGTCTCATCGAAAAATGCATCTATAAGTGGAAAAGGTAAACATATGATCCATCAATGCATCAAATTATTCCTTGAAAATACAAAATTATGCATAATTTTTGAAGGCAAAATCCTGTCCACACAGTACCTGTCCGGCAAAGTCTCGTTAAACATGCCGCTCCAGCGACATCATCTATTGGTCGATCACAAACTGGCGCCATGATGTCGTGAAAAAGCTCCTAAAATTTTAAATCCCTGAGATTGTATTGGTATATAACAGCTTAATATCTTGAAAATCTTGCAGTTTTTATCCTGTTATCATTCTTCTCCTGGTTGTTTGCTGTATATTCCTACAGTTTCTATGAGTAATTCTCTAATTGTACCATTGAACACGGATTCAACTGTTAACCCTGCATGAGATCAAATCTAAGATAATTCTAATTGTTATTTCTAATAGGATTTCTAATGAAAGTTGTTGATTCATGGGACTTTCTCTCTCATAGGAATCTGGATTACAATTAGTGTGAATCCATTTATATTAGATGCTACATGCTATCCTTAACCAACCTATTTCAATGGTTAAGATATAAAATGAACAAATGAAATGTTTGTGAAAGAAACTACATCATCTAAAAATATAAGTCTTATTCTATTGTTCCTTTCTATTCTTTGAATTATTGATAGGCAAATAAGGTTGTAAGTACATTTTTCTAATTTCATGTCCTCTTAAGGCATTGTGACTCATTAAGAAAATGCTATAATGTAATATGTGTATAACCAATTACCTCTCACAAGCGCTATTTCCCAGATTTGTCACTGAATTTCCCATTACAGTTATAGCCTAAGTGCCTTATCCTAGAAAATGCTTGACTCACTTATATATAAATTATAAGATATTTATTGGGACTTAGTCATGACAGTTTTTGATGCATTGGTATGTGTTATCTATCAGTATTATTGATTAAGAAAGCTTGATAGGAAATTCTTTCTGTATTTTATGACATATCAATTTAATATATTTAATTGGTTCTATAAAAGAATGCAATCTGTTTCATTCAATATTTGTCTTTTTTAGGATGGATACATGCAAAGGTACAAGGCATTAGCATAAAAAATGTCACCACCTGCCATTTGTTACAAGTCGAACACCAAACAAGAATTACCAAACACTGTCCACAAAAAAGTTGGAGACTATAACATTGTCTATTTATTTTTATTTATTTCTTATTTCCTTCATATAACAATAAATCAAAATACAAATTACTTACAGAGGACACCTAAAATAGGTGTATATACTGCTTGATAAACATAAATTGAATATTTTGTGGTAGATACATACAGTAAAACCTGTCTTTGTGAACACCTCTCTTTAGTGAACATCTCTTCAAAACACATTTTACATAAACTTGACCCCTGTATAAAATCCCCTCTCCAAAGTGACAACTTTGGCCCAAAATCACTGGAAAGTACTCAGAATAGTGAAAAACTGCATGATTTCTAAAGAATTCAGGGCCAGACCCCCCACTCCCTCCCCTTCCTGGCTACTTGTCTGTAATTTACAAATATTCACAAAAGTCAAATCATAGTCCTCATTCATATTAGTTCTCAGCAATAACTCTATTTTCTCAGATTGTAATGGTTGAATTGGAATAATATTTCACATATTACATCACTTGGGATTAGTAGGCTGTTAATCTAATAATAGAACAATGATACTACATTATGGGCCCCTAAGCCTTGTAATAACGAACATAATTCTATTATGAAGATTATTATATTGATCTATGGCCATTATCACAATTAACCAAATAAGGAGGGGAGAGGTGATGATTTTTGATTTGATGAAATTTGCGTAAGTCAAATATACAATGTTGATTTTTGATTCTGGTGGGGGGGGGCATAGTATCTGGCATGGTGAGGGGGGGGGGTGTCTGTGGGTCATTCTCCCTTAACCTGTATGCATTCTTAGACAATTATTTGCTCCAGTCCTGGTTTGAGCTTCAAGGGCTTCCTAATACAGCCATTACTGAAGGCCTTCTTTTTCACAAAAAGCCCCATTCTTGTACAAAAAGCCCAAATTATGCTCTAATTCAAAACATTTTGACAAAAAACCTGTTCACTGAGTGTACTATCCTTACTCGGTTTATCTCGTGGTTTGGGGAAAGTAGTTCTCTTAGAAACCTGTTTGGGGACTTCAATGGTATATTACAGTACCATCTTTGGATAGAATACTCTCATTTGCTGGCATATAATGCCCAGAATAACTGGGAAACATGTGGTCATAACAGTGAACGGTAAAATATTTGGGATTATTTTCTGCGGATGGATGACCTTGGTAGTGGTGAATTGGTCAATGTAAATAAATATGATGACTTAATTTGTATTCCTTTCCTCAAATCACTAACCAAAATAACTTACTTTTTCGAGCTTTCGGTAGCAGCTACTACCTTTGTCAAGATGATATATTGGCGGGAAATGGGCTGACCCTTGACCTTGTTTGGGTTTTACTCCTGTGTAGTTCCAACAGTCCCGGGGAAACCTTAAATCCAGAGTCCCTGTTAAGTTGTGGCTTGCTTGTATGAATATGAAGTGCTTCCTTTACTTTCCGTTTAAAGTAATGGGGTTCTCTATCTAGAATTTTGTACTCCCAGTTAATCCTATGCGCTTTGGAAACTATATGTTCAGCGATGGCGGATTTATTGGGATTGTTCAGTCTAAAAGCGTCCTTGTGTTCCTTAACTCTTGTATCAATCGCTCTACCGGTTTCCCCTATGTAGAGTTCACTACAGTCCTTACATTCAATTTGGTATATTAATCCTGATGTCTCACCTGTGGGGGTGGGATCTTTGGGTGATACTAACATTTGACGTAAGGTTTGAACAGACTTAAAACTAGTCTTAACTCCTGCTTCTTGAAAGATGCGTTGAAGTTTGGGAGCAATAGTACTAATATGAGGTAACACTACACTAATTTCCCTATCTACACTGTCACTAGGAGGTCTATCTCTAGGCGTAGCTGGTGCTTGGTTTAGAAGCCAAGATGGGTAGCCACAACGAGAGAGAGCTTGAGTGATATGGGCCTGCTCATCCTTAAGCTTAGTAGGGTTAGACACTATCTCTGTGGCTCGTTTATTTAACGTCCTAACTACCCCTCTTTTTGTTGTCAAGGGGTGATGGGAATCAAATCGTAAATAAAGGTCCGTATGTGTTGGCTTACGATACACACTTATATCTAAAAATCTGTCTACACTATCCTTACATTTCACTAACTCTGTAACAGTGTCTAGAAAAGGCAACTTGTCGTCCTTAAGACTTTCACTGGTGAATTTGATATCGGGATCAATCTGGTTAATGAAATCAGTGAATTCATCTTCATAGTCCTTGTCTAACAAAACCCACGTGTCGTCCACGTATCTTTTCCAGATGCGAGGGGGATGGGGTGCTAATCTAAGAATTCTAACTTCCAAATCCTCCATGTAAATGTTGGCGATAATGGGAGACACCGGGGATCCCATTGCAGCTCCATGGCACTGACTGTACAATTGGCTATCGAACGAGAAATATGTAGTGTCTAATGTAATCTTCAAAAGATCACCTATATGTTCTGGTGTGAGCTTAGTCCTACTTGAGAGAGTCCTATCTGCTTTTAGCCTATCTACTACAATTGGGATCACTGAAATTAGTGTAGTGTTACCTTATATTAGTACTATTGCTCCCAAACTTCAACGCATCTTTCAAGAAGCAGGAGTTAAGACTAGTTTTAAGTCTGTTCAAACCTTACGTCAAATGTTAGTATCACCCAAAGATCCCACCCCCACAGGTGAGACATTAGGATTAATATACCAAATTGAATGTAAGGACTGTAGTGAACTCTACATAGGGGAAACCGGTAGAGCGATTGATACAAGAGTTAAGGAACACAAGGACGCTTTTAGACTGAACAATCCCAATAAATCCGCCATCGCTGAACATATAGTTTCCAAAGCGCATAGGATTAACTGGGAGTACAAAATTCTAGATAGAGAACCCCATTACTTTAAACGGAAAGTAAAGGAAGCACTTCATATTCATACAAGCAAGCCACAACTTAACAGGGACTCTGGATTTAAGGTTTCCCCGGGACTGTTGGAACTACACAGGAGTAAAACCCAAACAAGGTCAAGGGTCAGCCCATTTCCCGCCAATATATCATCTTGACAAAGGTAGTAGCTGCTACCGAAAGCTCGAAAAAGTAAGTTATTTTGGTTAGTGATTTGAGGAAAGGAATACAAATTAATTTATCTTTACCTAACCGATGAATACATTTGGACAAATATGATGACGTTTTGGTACTCGTATTATGTAAGAGAGCAGAACTTTTGATTTTTGTGGGATATTTTTGTTGAATTTTTTTTGACATGGAGGTGAGATGCTTTGCTGTATTTCTCTGAAATTCTTTGAAAATCGATGGGCTGCGATTTGAGAAATTCTAATTCGAACTTTGTCAATTTAACATGCATCCCAATGGTACAAAAAGTAATAAGAGAGTTCTACCTCTTTTTCACAGTCAATCTTACTAACAGTATAGCTTAATACTATGTCTTGTGCCCTCTATAATCTGAGACAATGTTATTTTGCTCTCAAGGAACTGTAAGCTTGTAAAGTAGTGACATCTTTACAAGATAAAGACAAAGAAAGTAATT